TAATCATTTTGTTTCCGGAGCATAACTCAAAGACCGTTCGATATTTTTTAACCAAAATTGGTAGATATGTCAAACATAACCTAAGGTGGTGCCTTTTGCTATTTACAGATTATTGTCATTTTTAATTTTCTCGGTTTCCATGGAAACGTTTTGGACTTAGTCTTAAAGAAGGGTGGGCTTCGTTTCCGGAGCATAACTCAAGAACCGTTCAGTATTTTTCAACAAAACTTTGTAGATATATCAAACAGATCCTAAAGTGGTGCCTTTTGCTATTTACAGATTTTTGGCATTTTTATTTTTCCGGTTTCCTTGGAAACGATTCGGACTTAGTCCCAAAAGTGAGGGGTGGGCTTCGTTTCCGGAGCACAACTCGAAAACTTCTCAATGTCTTTCAGCAAAACTTGGCAGATATGTGAGGCAGATACCAAAGTGGTGCCTTTTGCTATTTGCAGATATTTGTGATTTATTATTTTTTTGGTTTCCATGGAAATGATTCGGACTTAGTCTCAAAAGGAAGGGGTGGGTTTCGTTTCCGGAGCATAACTCAAGAACCATTCAATATTTTTCAACAAGACTTGGTAGATATATCAAACAGAACCTTAAGTGGTGCCTTTTGCTATTTACAGATTTTTAGCATTTTACTTTTCCCGGTTTCCATGGAAAAGATTCGGACTTAGTTGCAAAAGTGAGGGGTGGGCCGTTTCGAGACATAACTCAAGAACCGCGTCAATATTTTTCAACAAAACTTGGTAGATGTATGAAACAGAACCTTAAGTGGTGCCTTTTGCTATTTGCATATTTTGTCATTTTATTTTTCCGGTTTCCATGGAAACATTTTGGACTTAGTCTCAAAAGTAGGGATTGCTTTCATTTCCGGAGCACAACTCAAAAAATCGTATAATATTTTTCAACAAAACTTGGTAGATATATCAAACACATCCTAAAGTTGTGCCTTTTGCTATTTGCAGATATTTGTGATTTATTATTTCTCGGTTTCCATGGAAATGATTAGGACTTAGTCTCCAAAAGGAAGGGATGGGTTTCTTTCTCGAGCACAACTGGAAAACTTCTTAATATCTTTCAGCAAAACTTGGCAGATATGTGAGAGCAGATGCCAAAGTGGTGCCTTTGCTATTGCAGATATTTGTGATTTATTATTTTCTCAGTTTCCATGGAAACAATTTGGACTTAGTCTCAAAAGGGAGGGGTAGGTTCTGTTTCCGGAGCACAACGCAAAAACTTCTTAATATGTTTCAGCAAAACTTGGCAGATATGTGAGGCAGATCCCAAAGTGGTGCCTTTTGCTATTTGCAGATTTTTGTCATTTATTTTTTTCATGATTTCCATGGAAATAATTTGCACTTAGTCTAAAATCAAGCTGGACTTTAAGTAACTGTCAGATGATTTGTTCTTTCAAAGATGTGGAGGCCGGGGGGATATGTCATCTTCTGATGACTCTTGTTTGTACTTGCTACTTGATCCCCATTATTGAAAATATATGATGACAAAAATGTCACTGAAACAAACCCTCGACAAGATTTTGCCATAAACGATGACTCGATGCTGCCTTTCGTTCTGGTGACATGATCAGCTTTTTGCTGTGAATATTAAACTCAGCAAAGATTCAGGAAATAGGCGAAGCAGCACAAGTGGAATTTGTAATGGCTAGAAATGTGGAAACCATTTGTTGTTAGAGAAGCAGAAGTAGCGTATAATTTAGTGGAAGTTTCGTAAGCAATAATGGTTGCAGGTTGTGTTTGAGGTTATGTTCTCAGAGGTGGGAGTGAGCTTAAATGTGGGAATTAGCTTGAGATGGGAATATATAAAAAGATTAAAACATTTACAAAATGAAATAAATTTCACATCACATAGAAGTATTCAGCTAAATATTATTAACTGCAATTATATATTTCAATATAACAGGTTTTGTTCTCTTGACAGATAGTTTTGGATGTCATGCATTTTCAAGATAAAATTATAATGCTAGGTCATATTTTGAAATCGTTGGGGAGCGGTTGGGTAGCCTAGAGTTTAAAGCATTTGCTTGTCACTCTGAAGACCTGGGTTCGATTCCCCACATGGGTTCAATGTGTGAAGCCAATTTCTGATGTCCCTTGCTGTGATATTGCTGGAATATTGCTAAAACGGTGTAAAACTAAACTCACTGATAAATCATGGTGCAGTGAAATATCATGTCTATGTACACTGTGAACCCATGATTGCCATAAGACGCAACTTACGGATCAGGTGGTCAGGCTCGCTGACTTGGTTGACACATGTCATGGTATCCCGATTGCGTAGATCGATGCTCATGCTGTTGATCACTGGATTGTTTGGTCCAGACTCGATTATTTACAGACCGCTGCCATACAGATGGAATATTGCTGATTGCGGCGGATGAAAGCTCATAATATCAATCACAGGATTGCTGGCTCTTTGTCCAATGTTTTACAGACTGGCATGAAATACCGAAATACTGTTGAATGTGGTGTTAAAACATCATGTTTATGCTACATGCAAATCCCACACAACAAACAAACAGGACTTAAGGCTTGAAAACCAGCAATCAAATTTTCTATTAACAAAATTTATCTCCCTTTTGTTGTTATGACTATACGAAAAGTATATGGATTATTGTCAAACAGCATGAACAAAATCAGATGATTCCTCATCACTCTTTACAATAACAAACGTCAAAAACATTACGATGTGAACTCCTGCCCATAAACAGTCTCAGATGATACTGACAAAAGAATATTAGAGAGATATAGACAATCACCCAGTCACACCTGGCCAGGTGTGAACAAAAGGGGGAAAGTTAGGTAGGCCAGTAGACAATAAAATCCTCCACCCTCATCCAAACTGTCGTTGCAAATGTCGATAGTTGGCATGGTCGACAGATAGAAATCATTGCTTCAATTGACTGTGTCGATCCCTTGACTGTTTGCATGTTGCTGTGGATGTATGTATGTCTTCATCCATGTGGATGCCAGTGTATATGTCTGTTAGTTATTGATTGACCAATCAGGTGCATTGTTTTCCAGATGGTAGCCAATGAAATCACTGTTTCTGTTTTTACAGATTAGGTTATTAAGGACAAGGGTTTTTAATATGATGGGTGTTAACATGTATTGCAGTTATTTTGACATGATGTTCATTGTTGGGTCTGTATGGTTGAGGGGTATTTAGGTTACCGGAAATGCATATTGTTTAAGGCACATAGTGTCAAGAAGTTCACATGGATCAATGGACAATACTGATTGATTTTCGAGCGATATGTGATCAGATGAATGGTTTAAATGACTACAAACTCTGAAAGGAGAATATATGAAAATGAATACTTTGAGCTATCTTTTATCCAGACTTTGTTTATGTGGAAAAAAACAAAAGGGATAAAACAGGGACCCCAATTATTTTGAGGGTACTTAGACATAACATGTGGGTCTTGTAAAGTAAAACTGGGAGTGAGTGAGTGAGTTTAGTTTTACGCTGCACTCAGCAATATTCCAGCTATATGGCGGCGGTCTGTAAATAATCGAGTCTGGACCAGACAATCCAGTGATCAACAGCATGAGCATCGATCTGCGCAACTGGGAACCGATAACATGTGTCAACCAAGTTAGCGAGCCTGACCACCCGATCCCGTTAGTCGCCTCTTACGACAAGCATGGGTGACTGAAGATCAATATTCTAACCCGGACCTTCACGGGTATAAAGTAAAACTGTAGTGTAATGGTATGCATTACTGAACTGTAAGATTCATTATTCCTTTACTTACAGGAATTCTACATTTCTTCTCAAGAATATGCTCCAGTTAATATGTTTGTGCATCCCTCATGTAATATATATTCTGCATCCAGGTTAAACATTTGTGTTTGTTTGTTGTTTAATGCAGCACTCAGCAATATTCAAACTATGGCACATTTATCTGTAAATAATCAAGTCTGGACCAGACAATCTAGTGGTCAACATCATGAGCATCAATCTATGTATTTGGGATACGATGACATGATTTACAAGATAGCCTGGCACTGCATTCCAGTGTTTCAGTATCTGTGTAATGCTAGGGAACTACTGTTATATTTCCCTGTAAGATCAGAGCAAAATATTTTCAGATGAGTTGACCAAAATTTTAAAAAAAATTAAAACAATTAACTTTTTATTAATTTTTAATATTTATACATACCATGTCTGCTGTAATAGATAGATAGGTCTGGTGGTGAACAGGTGCCTTTTGGTAGTTTTGGATTACCTATTATAATATTTTTTGCGTTTTCATGACAACAAGTTTGATTTCGACTGAAAGTTGGTGGCAGTGCTCTTTTCTGGAGCAGAACTTTAAAACCGTTCAATATTTGTTTACCAATCTTCTCACATAGATAGATCTGGTGATGAACTGGTGCCTTTTGGTAGTTGGGATTTCTGAATAAAACATATTTTCCGTTTCCATGGCAACAAGTTTGACTTTGACTGAAATTGGTTTTAGTTAGCTCTTTTCTGGAGCAGAACTTTAAAACCTTTCAATACTCTCCTTCCACTTTGGCAATATAGTCACTAACTTTGTTGACACATATCATTGTATCCAAATTGTGTAGATTGATGTTCTTGCTGTTGATCACTGGATTATCTGGTCCAGATTCTATTATTTACAGACTGATGCCATATAGCTGGAATATTGCTGAGTGTGGCATAAAACTGAACTCACTAACTCACTGCTATATACACGCAAAAACATAATCATATCTAATTGATAAATTCATGAAGAGTATTTTGCCACTAGATTTTCAACACAACCATATTCCCACATGGGTACAATGTGTGAAGCCCATTTCTGTGTCCCCTATATACATATTCACACCATAGCAAGTATCTATTATGTAATACTTTGTCTGTCAAGATAATGACCGAACAACTGAAGGTGTTGGTGGATTTTAAGCATACCACTAAATTTCTTTTTGTGATTTTATTAAATTTCTGACAAATATCTGTTTTCCTTTCAGATGAAGATCCCAAAAAGGTAAGTATACTTTATCTGGGATTTGGTATTTTCCTTTTTGTTTTGTTCTCGTATGAACTAAATCTATAATATTGTTTACAGTCGGATGATACAACATGGCTACCATGATAGTTTGACATTTCAATTGTCATATTTATATATTTTACTTTTCTTAAGTGAATTATTTGGTTCATTAGATATTTTGCCAGTAATGTACTTTTCATACAGGGGTCAACAGAGTTATCTCCCTTGATGTTCCATTCTCATTGTCTTTTTCATATCTATAGGTAATGTCCATCTCTTCTAGTCCATGTCCAAAAAACACTTTTAAAAAAATTGTTCAATGAGATATCAATATGAATTAATTTCAATGATTTTTTTGTTTCAGTTTTCTTTTGATTACTCCTACTGGTAAGTTGAAATGTTTATTTGTAATTATGGTGTTCAAATTTCTTGATATAGTTTGTTTAATACCTGTGTGGGGGTATGACAGCAAAATGATACCAAAAGGTCATTGATTCCGCGGTTTTAACAGCTGCTATAAAATCTCATGTGTTTGTTTTTTTCATTTAATCTAATTTAATTTTATTGTGAAAATATGTCTGCATTTGTATTACAGTCCACCGCCATATAGCTGGGATATTGCTGGGTGTGGCATAAAACTGAACTCACTCACACTCACTATGGCCTTTCACACTGATGACATTTGAATTTGAATTAGAAAATATGACAGAGGGGCTATTATCAAAGAGAAGCAGAAACGTTCACAATATTTTTGTTTGTTCACAGGTCACATGACGGCTATGTGGAAGAGAATGGTTTACTGGTACCACGACCAGGATCAAACTATGCAAGTCAGCAGGATGTGTTCGGTGACCTTGGTCAAGGCGTGCTGGACAATGCCTTCGAAGGTCAGGGTCACGTAGTGATGGAACATGTACATGTCTGACCTGTTATGATGGTATAACATACATTGTCTACACTTCAGGAGGCACTGGTGGCTTAGGCATTTACGTAGTGGAACTCACTGTACAGATTATGTCCCTTTGGGCATACCAGGATCATATGATCGTTGGTTTTAGCATTTTCTGTTCTTTGTCAGCACCATACTCAGGGGATTACTCCAAAGTGGCAGACAGCTCAAGAACTACATCATTTCTGATTCATCTTCCACATTTAGCTACCACACCGTGATATAATTTCGTACTTTGAAGTTTACACAGATTCCCGAATGTTGGTTGGTTGAGAGAGCGGTCATGTGATCTAAATTTCAAGGTTCATTTCCCTTGAACCCTTCAAATCGTTCATACGTGTGTAAACATCGTTCATACGTGTGTGAACGTTTTCGAGCCGATCTGGGTCATGTGAACTTTTGGCGGAACTACTTTCCGGGTTTTCCCCAGGATACTCGCTGTCCAGCTTGACGTAAACAAAATAAATCATTTGCATTCACACTCCTTTTAATTTATACATATCACTTACTTGTTTTTGTATGTAACAAAAAACACCAACTGAGCACAGTTTTGCAAAATCTGACCGACAACGCGTCCGACAACAAGTCCCAGCCAGTGCGACCTAATTATCAAATTTCCGCTACGGTTTCAAGGAACTCCAATGATCTGGCTGCATTTGGTGATGACAATTGAGCGAGCAATCCTGTTTCAAGTCACCCCAATTTTGGCAATGTCGCTTCTTCACGACCAATCCAATTGCCGAGCATTGTTCCTTATCACAAGAGTTTAATCTCTCGCTGTTTGCAGGTTCTGCCCCGTGATCTTGCTCATTCACACGAGTTTGAACAACGCTTTGACATCGTTCATTTTTCAGTGCAAACACACAAAGTGACATTCAATTCTTAAATAACCAGAATACTGTTCATGCTCAATCACTGAAGGGCAATATAATTTGACAATATTTTTTCTGTGTAATTGGTAGCTTTAAAAATTTGTATGATGTTTAGTTTTTAAATGAGTTTCAGAGTGTTGATGACAAATTATGACATGTTTAATATGAATATGGATGTAATGGTGATGGTGTTAACAGGTTACAACTGCTCGCTGTTCGCGTACGGCCAGACTGGCTCAGGGAAGTCGTACTCCATGGTGGGCTATGGAGCAAATAAGTAAGTTGATTTTATTTACATCCCAGTTCTGTGGAGATGATTCATATGTTTGTTCACAAATGTTAGGATTAATGGCATATTCAAGATTATTTCACTGATTTCGCTGTCCAGACTAATGACACTTTTATAGTGCTAATCTGCTGATATACCACGCCCATTTTACAAAACACCTAGTTTCAACATCATAACTCCCTTTTCAAAAACAACAGACTTTCAACAGGCCATGTGGGATCACTATAGAAATGGGGTCCTGGGGCAGCCTAGTGGTTAAAGCATTTGCTCATCATGCTGAAGACCCACATGGGTACAATGTGTGAAGCCCATTTCTGGTGTTCACCGCCACCGTGATATTGCTGGAATATTGATGAAACTAGACTCAGCCACTCACTGTTGAAATGGCTCTGTACTAGTCATGTACGCCATACTGTTAGAAAACCATTGAGTGACCATTTAGATTAAATTAGAATTCACCAGTATCATTACAAGAGATATGTTATGCTCCTTACTGTCCCATTGGGATTTAGGTTTAGAATTACGAGTAGTCCCTAGTAACCTGTTCTTAGAAAATAGATTGTGTTGTCTGAAGCAGAAAATCAGGTCTGTTACTGTAACCTGATAAGGGGCGGTTGGGTAGCCTAGTGGTTAAAGCGTTGGCTCGTCACGCTGAAGACCTGGGTTTGAATCCCCACATGGGTACAATGTGTGAAGCCCATTTCTGGTGTCCCCCTCAGTGATATTGCTGGAATATTGCTAAAAGCGGCGCAAAACCAAACTCAGTCAGTGATGGTGTAGTGACTTAGAGCTCTGATGAATACATATTTCCATTGCAAAAAGAATTAAGATTGTGTAGGTGATTTATAATTCTACTCAAAAGAAATCAAGGGTCCCCTTGTTCTTTCATATTGCTAAAGTTATCCTGTCATTGCTATATCCTTTATATGGTTTCTCAGTTGAACTGAAGCCCAGTATTATGACAGTTTAATGCTGTATGTTGATCCTTAATTGTTTTCATTTGTTTTCAGGGGAATAGTCCCTATCACATGTAATGAGCTGTTTAAGACAATGGCTGCTAACACAGATTCTAATAAGGTAAGTTTTACTAGAATACTCTTAGTTCCTCAGACAACTATTGTTATTTTCAGACTGATTATTTATTGTTCTTTGAGGACGTGGCATTTTTGTTGAAGACTGGATATTCTTGTAGTTTATTCAAAACATACAATATTTTTTCCTTAAAGTAGAACCTGAACAATTTATTATAACTTTCTTTCATCTCTTTATTTTCATATAGAGCATACATTTTTTTTTTCTTTTGTTAGTATTAACTTTTCTGTTTGGAACGTCAGAAATAATAGTTCTAAAATATGTACTTTTATGGCAAGTTTTATGTGTAACTCTGTTCATCCAGTAGTAAAGGGGTACCCGGTAGGATGACATGGCAGTGGCAGAAAGCTCACCCCAGCTTTAGATAATATATTGGGTAAAGAATTTTATTTGGTCAGAATGATATCACACAAAATGTAAAGGAAATTGATAATGCAGGATTAAAAAGATAGCTTGTCTGTTTTTTTCAGACAGAGGTTTGAGGTGACCTTCTCCATGTTGGAGATCTACAATGAGCAGGTTCGTGACCTTCTGTCCAAAGACAACCCCAAGGGCGGACTCACAGTGAGGCAGAACCCAAAACTGGGCATGTTCTACGTGGAGAATCTTAAACGTGTGCCAGTCGGCAGCTATGAGGAAATAGAAAAGAGGACTGAACAAGGTTTGTGCAGGATTCTTACAAATATTATTATAGCTTCCTTGTATCTGCAGTATTTTCATAAAGCAGTAAAATAATGGAAGTCTGTGATGGTATATGTGCAGTTGAAAGAGTTGTTGAGTGCAAATGCTAGGCAACTATGGTGAGTGTTCATTAAATTATTTTCTCAGTACTATATATGATCAGAATTATTTTTGCTACAGCCAGAATATTGCTGAATGTGAATAAACATCAAAATGAGATTCAGTTGGTTACATGATTGTTGTTCATGGTATTAACCACTGGTTTTGTTAACTCAAACATGATTATTGTTTGTATATAGCTCGAAGGTTGTAGACTGAACGTAAAGATGGGTTCGTTTATTAGACATGATCATCGATCCTTCTTCTTAATACTGGTTTTCCTGACTCAATTTGTGTTACAGGATACAAATATTCAGACAGAATAATGCTGAATGTCATTTAAAATAACTAAACAGTCACCATGATTGAAAACTTTTGAAATAATATTGATGTTATATATGTCCGTGCACTGATGTAAGGAGGAGTCACAGGTAGCCCTTTTGTTCAAGGTGCCACAATTCACTGTGCAGAGTTGCATCCCTTGGCCATGTTAGAAAACTATTATCCTGGGTTTGAATCCAGGTCCAACAATATATGTTTGTTGGTTTGTCAGTACCATACCCATGCTCATGGGTTTAAGCTAACGTTTTAAACCTCTCAAACCAGCATTGGGTCGGTGAGGTAGCCTAGTGAAGGATGAGGACTAGTTTTATGGATATGCAACTTCTTTATTCTGTATGGCTGACGTTTTTTGACATAGATTCTATTGTGAGATTTGCTGGATAGCGACATTAGAATCTATGTTTCGACATAATTCTATTGTCGCTATAGACAAATAGAATCTATGCCCAAACGTCATACAAAAAGTTGTATATCCATAAAAAATAGTCCTCATCCTTCATCTACCCAACTTCTAGAATGCCATTCAAAGTCGGGTAGCCCTAGTGGTTAAAGTGTTCACTCATCATGCCAAAGACATGGTTCAATTCTCTGTATAGGTGCAATGTGAAGCGCATTTCTAGTCTCCCCTGCGTGATATTGCTTAATGTTGCTAAAAGTGGCATAAAACTAAACTCACTCACTCACTAAGACCAGCATCACTTCAGGCTTTTCTCCCACATACAGTTGAAGTGCCATGATGTAGATGGAATACTGCTCTGAGGTGGATTAAACCAAACTCTCATTCACTCATTGATGTATCTTGATTGATCCTGGAATTTTTCTTCAAGGTACGGCAAGTCGAACAGTAGCCTCCACCAACATGAATGCCACCAGTAGTCGAGCTCACACCGTGGTCACCATCACGTTTGACCAGATCATCAAGAACGAGACGGGCTCCGAGACGAAGAAAAGCAGTGTGATGAACTTGGTGGATCTGGCTGGTACGTCACAATATCAGATACCTATATAAGGAGATCTGGGACTGTGGTAGCCTAGTGGTATTTGCTTATCACATCATAGACAAGGTTTGAATCTCCACATGTCCATTACATGATCAAAATTGTCATACACACTTCCACAAATATTTTGGTTAAAATTATAATTGTCAATTAACTTAGAAATTTGATCACAATTACAAATAGATTTAACACCTTCCTTAGTTTCATATGTTGACGACGTTCATGGATCATTTGATTCATCTACTTAAGAAATTGATCTCATTTTTATAAATATATCAGATACTGCCACAATAAGTATTTCGCTTTACTTATATCAGAATGCTTGCTTCAGGTTCTGAGAGAGCTGACAGTACTGGTGCCACTGGAGATCGTCTTAAAGAGGGCGCCAACATCAACAAGTCTCTCTCAGCTCTCGGAAATGTCATATCGGTATGTTACATGAGATAAGCACTTCTATTGGTGATGCTAGGAACTTATCTAGAATACTAAGTAAGTGTCCTTGGTAAGCAATTTTGGAAAAATCATGATGTTTTGAGTGTAAAAACATTTTTCAACATTTTTTGGAGTTTTTGCTGCCAACTTTGGTCCAGATATCAGCCACTGAACAGGTCCAGATAAATCCCTGGTTCCATAGTTCAAGACTGAGTGTTGAAGTGTTGTAGTCACTTCCATGTGTTATTGATGCCTACAGGCTGGCGGACCTGTCTATGGGGAAGAAGAAGGTGATGGTGCCGTACCGAGACTCTGTCCTCACCAAGCTGCTCCAGAACGCCCTGGGAGGAAACAGGTCTGTGTTACATCCTTACTGTCAGTCACCCTGCATCGGTTAGTGACAGTGGACAGTTTCATATCTGTAAACATTTCACAGTGACAAATCTGTGTTGCAGTACCCACAAGCCGTGACCGAATAACCGTAGTCATATGAAAAAATAAAGTGTCCTTTCAATTCTTTTGAGTAGTATATGTACTGATGCTGGCCTATACTTCAAGATGGACTTACTGGCAAACAAGGATAAGTTGGACCGGCACAGAGAACGCGTTTATGAGAAGTAGGCAGTGCACGGCAATAAGAAAACCATTTGGTTTGTGAAAGGTAGAGCAGATGTCGGCTAGTGCACGTGCATTACATGACGGTGAAATTGATTCCGCACAATTGACTCACTCATTGGTGTAGCAAGTCGCACTACACTTGATCGCGGACAACCTGGGGCCCCTTCGCTAACAATGACAAGAACCAGTTTGCAGCACTCATACATGCTAATACGGGTCAAATGTCAGGTCGGTGCTCAACTTCTCCTTGTTTGCCAGTATGAATCATCATCTCAATTGGGGTGGTGGGGTAGCCTAGTGGTTAAGGCATTCGATCGTCACGCTGTCGACCCAGGGTTCGATTCTCCACATGGGTACAATGTGTGAAGCCAAATTCTGGTGACCCCTGACATGATATTGCTGGAATATTGCTAAAGGCAGCTTAAAACCAAACTTGTGCACATCTCATCTGGCTTGTAAAAATTATTTCAGTTGTTGTGAGGAAAAAGCATTTCAGACAGTGTTTGCAATACTTTAATTTGCCAGTTGGCCATCAGGGCCTGCTGCCGCCTGCAGGCGTTAAAATCTACAGGCCCTGGATGACATCAGCAGGCCTGTTTTGTTGAAATCAAACCTATAAAAGCAAAGTAGACTACACTGTATTCGATTTCAGTTTCTACAAAATCAGTTAGCGAAACCTTACAGCGCAGAGAGACATCCCTATGCGCAAAACGCCGAAACCAGGAATGGAAACTGTAAATTATCGTAACATGATGGATCATGAATGATTCCAGAACATTAATAAAGAAAGAAATCATGGGAAAAATTCCAGTTGAAAAAAAGAATGACAGATAATTTACTGAAGGCCACAAGAGCCTCCAAATATTTGAAACTGCCGGCCTGATACAATAACAATCGGCGCTGGGCCTCCAACCGGGCCGGCGATTATTTCGAAGGCTGATTTGAGACACTGCAGTCTGGACTGCTTCTCTTGGTATTCCATGTTGATTCCCAGTGGATTTCCAGGCAAAGTACCCCCTGCATATCTGGCCAGGGTCCCATGCCTCAAAGTGATTGTAGTGCTACGACTGTGGTAAGTACGCTAAAGTATGGGAGTTACAATCGTCTTAGGGTTACGATGGCTTTGAGGAATGGGGCCCCAGACGCCAGTGATGGTTGTAAAATCATGTGTGGCCAGGGTGGTTGTAGGTCATTCTGCTGTCCAGCATGTTGCTCCCCTCGTTCAAATGGTGACACGTATGTTGATCTGCCAACTGTTTTATTCCAGTAAAACCGTCATGATTGCCGCCCTGTCCCCTGCAGACATCAACTACGATGAAACTCTGGGAACCTTACGATATGCAGACCGTGCCAAAAAAATTAAGAATCAGGCTGTCATTAATGAAAATCCACTTGACAAAATGATCAGAGAACTCAAGGTAAGAACACCATTAAAAGTTGTCAGGCAAATAGCTTGTATCCTTCAACAGTTACTGTAAACACCTTCATGCTGAAAGATGTTTAATGGTACTGCATTTATTATGTGTTGCATCTGAAGATTAAGAAATCTTGGTATAGATCCAGGTTCCTCGGTCATGAGGTGATACTAAATTTGTGACACTTTATTTCGTGTCAATATATACTACTGAGAACGAGAACATCTACATTTGAAGGATGTGTGGTGCAATAACCACCAGCCACCAGTGTTAATTATAGTCAGATGATAGAGTCTTTAATCTCTTTTGGGATGTACACATGAACAGAAATCAGTCTCAAATACTCTGAAGGAATTTACTTGAATGAGAATGATGCATTTCAGGAAGAGAATGACAGACTGAAGCGTGCCCTGGATGGTGGAGGAGTCATCGGTGGTGGAGATGTAACCATGTCACCAGAAGGTCAGTTGACCAGATTCATATGAATAGTTGTCAGGTGAATAGTTGTTTAGTGAACAGATAAATACATGTCACCAGAAGGTCAGTTGACCAGATTGATGTAAACAGTTGTCAAGTGAATAGTTGTTAAGTGAACAAATGAGTTTAGTACATTTCAAAGATTCAAAAATATTTAATTTATTACATTGTTAAGAGGAAATGAAGCTTGCAAGATTATTTGTTGATTGCTGATGTTGCTGGAAATATTATCCTGTTTTGTTAACAAAATTGTTGTTGGAGTTGTTTTTTGCTGATTTTGTTGTTGCTCTCATTGACGATGCTGATGTTGCTGTTTTTGCTGATCTTGTTGCGGATCTTGTTATTGTTGTTGAGAGTCTTGTTCTTGCTGTTCTTGGGGCAGTGGGGTAGCCTGATGGTTAAAGCGCTCGCCCGTCACGCTGAAGACCCGGGTTCGATTCCCCACATGGGTAGAATGTGTGAAGCTCATTTCTGGTGTCCCCCGCCGTGATATTGCTGAAATATTGCTAAAAGCGGCATAAAACTTAACTCACTCACTCACTCACTCACTCTTGCTGTTCTTGCAGACCAGATGCAGATGAGGAAGAAGATGGAGGAAGAGATCCGGGCTCAGCTGATGGCCAACCAGCAGCTCCTCTCGGACAACACCCAGAACTGGGACCAGATGGTAGGCAGTTCCTCCTCTCACGTCAGGCCTTGTTATAAACTCTGCAATAATGCACAATAAGTAGAAATAAATGTCTGTGAAGAATGCCAGGACGTAAGTTGTTTTAGTAAGCTCACAATGGACAATCGTACATTAACTTGGAGGGATCCTGTAGCCTGTAATGGAGATTACTGTAAATGTGTGGTTGCTGACCCTCCCATCAAAGCCAGTGTTAGTCTTATCGCTACAATTTATATACCATTACCCAAGAGATAGTTCATGCAAAAGTGAACAGCACAGTCTGTATTCTATTAGATAATTAGAATAAGTGGCACCTTTAATCTCTCCTCAAACTGTGGTAGTATAGTCATAGGTACCGGCAAAAGGTGTCTTCTTGGGAGCTCTCCATGTGCAGATTCAATGGAAAGTTGGTTCCCATGGAGTTCTACTGTTTGTGGCCCTCATTTCTAAGACAGAGTATATTTGTGCTCATGCAGTCAACCACTGGTTTGCCTGGCAGACAAATGTACCTGTGATGTAGGGTCAGCCATTTTGTACATGACATGCAGGGTAGGGGAGTATCACTTACCTTGTACATAAATTTTTTGGGGGGCCATTAATATTGTACATGCTTCTCCATAAATATCATCATCATCACCCCCACTTAGCCATAAATTATGAACGGTCCCTTAGTCATCTAAATTCAGGGGAAAATATAATTCACTCAACACCTGAGAGGCTTTGAAAACAGATGCTCTCCACCTTTCTGTTAAAGTGTGATTGTCCTTCAAATTGTCACCCATGATTTGTGTAGTATAAGCATTGATTCAGAATGTTCACTTCTTAAGACAATTGTACACCTACATCTGTAAATAAACTTTAAAATCATAGCATGATTCAAGAGTATATTCTGAACACCTATTCTAGTTGTCCGAGGAGCGGCATGAAACAGACGCAATAACTCAGGCTGACAACCGAGAAATGTCCAAGAAGAAGACAATGCCTCATATGGTCAACCTGAATGAGGACCCCATGCTCTCAGGGGTCGTGTTCCACTTCCTTGAACAAGGGGACACAACTATCGGAAGGAAAGATGCCAACCCACAACCAAAGATTTGTCTCAGTGGTCTCAGGTAGATATTCTAAAAGTTTGGAGATACAGTGAAATTTTAGTCACATGAATTCCTTTAACTGGAAGTGTAGTTTAATAATTTAATAATTGTTTAACCAGCAAGACCATTGTGAGCACATTAACATTTCTATTTCTTCAAGACTTTCTTTCTTTCTAGGCTTGTGAGCACCATGCATGTTCTCATGGGTTTCCATGTAGTGGTAAATGTCCGAGACTTGCATTGGTTCAGGCTTAACTTGCATATCAAGCTGACATGATGCAATATAACTGTAATATTGTGGTTCGACCTATGAATATCCGAGTTAGAATTGGTCTTCAGCTACCCATGCTTGTCGTAAGAGGCTTGTTGACATGGTTGACACATGTCATCGTATCCCAATGGCATAGATCAATGCTCAAACTGTTGATCAAAGGATTGTCTGGTCCAGACTCGATTATTTACAGGCCACCGCCTTGTAGCTGAAATGTTGGTAAGTGTGGCATTAAACAGCAAATAAAAAAAAAATCAACGTGGTTCCAATACTGTTCCAAGCGGAGTTAAACCCAACTCACTCACTCACTCACACCTGCTTGCCTGTTATTATAACAAATATCCCTGATACCTCCCCAGCATACAGAAGCAGCACGCAGTCATCTACAACACAAATAACGGTGTAGAGATAGAACCGGTGGGCAGCCATGGCGCCAAGACAAAGGTGAACGGGCTGCCACTTGCAGGACGCAAACAGCTGGGTCATAAAGACAGGATTCTGTTTGGTAAGTATCTCCAGGAACTTCATTAAGTGGCATTTAGTAGAGGAAAAAATTATATGGATAGGATAGACAACTTCTTTTTTGCAATAGATGCGACGTTTTGGAGTAGATACTAACACTGTTATCAAGCAAGTTATGATAATGGTGTCAGCATCTACACCGAAACATTGCATCTAGTGCAATAAAGAAGTTGTTTATGCATAAAAATGGTTCCTCTCTATCTCCAGGAAGCTGTTACAGAGAATTGGTCTTCAGCAACCCATGCTAGCTGTAACAGATATCCGGGGCGGTGGGGTAGCCTTGTGGTTAAAGCGTTGGCACGTCACGCCGAAGACCCGGGTTCGAATCCCTACATGGGTACAATGTGTGAAGCCCATTTCTGGTGTCCCCCGCCATGATGTTGCTGGAATATTGCTAAAAGCCGCGTAAAACCAAACTCAGTCAGTCAGAGTCAGTGTAACAGATATCTAACTGGATTCATAGGCTGTTGTTTGTCATCTTGTCCCACATAAGTAGATCGATGCTCAAGATGTCAAACTTTAGATTTTCTGGTCGAGACTTGACAATATTCAGCCTGCTATCATATTCCGGAAATAGTCCTAAAAAATAACAGATATGTTTAAACAACAATCTTACTTTCTTAATTCCTAAAAACTCATCTTACTTACTCCTCTCACTCACTCATACCAGCCGATGAAGATCTGAGTTAGAATTGGTCTTCAGCTACCCATGCTGCATCGTAAGAAAGACTGGGATGTAGTGACATGGTTGACACATGTCATCTTATCCCAATGGCATAGATCAATGTTCAAACTGTTGATCAAAGGATTGTCTGGTCCAGACTCGATTATTTACAGACCACCACTGTATAGCTGAAATGTTGGTAAGTGTGGCATTAAACAGCAAATAAAAAAAAAATCAACGTGGTTCCAATACTGTTCCAAGCGGAGTTAAACCCAACTCACTCACTCACTCACACCTGCCTGCCTGTTATTATAACAAATATCCCTGATACCTCCCCAGCATACAGAAGCAGCACGCATGATCATCTACAACACAAATAACGGTGTAGAGATAGAACCGGTAGGCAGCCATGGCGCCAAGACAAAGGTGAACGGGCTGCCACTTGCAGGACGCAAACAGCTGGGTCATAAAGACAGGATTCTGTTTGGTGAGTATCTCCAGGAACTTCATTAAGTGGCATTTAGTAGAGGAAAAAATTATATGGATAGGATAGACAACTTCTTTTTTGCAATAGATGCGACGTTTTGGAGTAGATACTAACACTGTTATCAAAGCAAGTTATGATAATGGTGTCAGCATCTACACCGAAACATTGCATCTAGTGCAATAAAGAAGTTGTTTATGCATAAAAATGGTTCCTCTCTATCTCCAGGAAGCTGTTACAGAGAATTGGTCTTCAGCAACCCATGCTAGCTGTAACAGATATCGAAGGCGGTGGGAGTAACCTTGTGGTTAGCGTTGGCTCTCACGCCGAAGACCAGAATCCTACATGGGTACAATGTGAAGCCATTTCTGGTGTCCCCGCCATGATGTTGCTGGAATATTGCTAAAAGCGTAAAACCAAAACTCAGTCAGTCAGAGTCAGTGTAACAGATATCTAACTGGATTCATAGGCTGTTGTTTGTCATCTTGTCCCACATAAGTAGATCGATGCTCAAGATGTCAAACTTTAGATTTTCTGGTCCAGACTTGACAATATTCAGCCTGCTATCATATTGAAATAGTCCTAAAAAATAACAGATATGTTTAAACAACAATCTTACTTTCTTAATTCCTAAAAAAACTCATCTTACTTACTCCTCTCACTCACTCAGACCAGCCGTGAAGATCTGAGTTAGAATTGGTCTTCAGCTACCCATGCTCGTCGTAAGAGGCGACTGGGATAGGCTAGTCAGACTCGCTGACTTGGTTGACACATGTCATCTTATCCCAGTTGCGTAGATTGATGTTCATGCTGTTGATCACTAGATTGTCTTTCTAGTCTCAATTATTTACAGACCACCACCGTATACCTGGAATATTGGTGAGCGTGGCGTTAAACAAACAAATCACTCACTCACTCACACATTGAGCATACAGAAGAAATGTCGAAATTGTTTTATTGGCTGAAAGTGTGACGCTCATTCGCATCTCTCCGTGTTCCAGGATCAAACCACCTGTATGTATTCATGAACCCACTGAAGCCAGAGACCGATGTGGACCTCCCAGCTCAGATCACGTGGGAATATGCCCAGAAAGAGATTGCTCAGGCCAAGGGTTTCGCCACAGGGTCAGCGGGCATGACAAAAGGTATGTGTGAAATAAGAATAGTTTGTTTCTACTTTCCTCTTTTCAATATTTGCCACTAGTTGAGATTCAGGATCTGTGGGGTTTCCGAGTCAGAGCAGGTTCCCAGTATCTCACCAGGGTCATCTGGGCACCCTTCAAAATAGCTCACTAGTCCAAGACTACTAACTTGTGTAAGAAAATATTCAACAATGCTGGCCTCATTATTGGGCTGAATTGGAAGGTAATAAGTCTGAACCAGTTCTCAATTTAACAGCTAAGATATATGACCTGAAAAACTTACAGAAATCATAAGAAGTACCAAAAAGAACAACTCAATAGATAACAACTTTTATATTTCGTGAGTGCGACATTTCGATACAGATTCTTGTACCTTTGCTTGATGTTTTAAGAATCTGTATAGAAACGTCACACTCACAAAATATGGAAGTTGCTATCCATAATTTTTGTCTATATTGCCCCCATATAGGTGGAATATTGCTGAGTGTGGCATTGAACAATAACAAACACATGTATAGATCATGCAGTCAACCACTGGCCAATTCTTTACTATTTAGACACTGCTGTGACGTAGCTCTAATATTTGCCAACACTTATAAAACAGTCTTTGGGTCTGTGTTCTTGCAACAGGGTATATTTTGTTTAAAGGTCACATAAACCCTAGGGGGTACAAATACATAAATCACTAACTGGCATCGTTATAAATATAACCCCGTCATTAAAACTACTCAATTCGACCTTTAATTGACTTAAATCGAGCTTTTTTTGACAACAGTGCACAATTCTCACCAGCTGACAGAAATTTCAACCAATCAGGCCTCTGTGACGTCATATGAGGAATAGCTTTGAGGGCCGATGCAGAATTCATCTACATTTTAGGGGTGAATTATGGGTGTTTACAGGCTTGTATAAACCTGAAATCGAAGTGACAATTGTTGTGGAAAATGAAAGCTATATGTTCTCACAATCTACTGTCATTTAATTTTTGTCTCCTGCTTTGCCCTGGTTTCCGGTTACAACTTGTTTTCATAGAGGCGATTCTGTCCAAAATCGATTGAATTGTCGTTAGGCCCTATTTGTATAATGACTGATCCAAATTGATCCCATTTCTTTGTTGTTTTACCTCGATATTTAATCATGTCATGTAAAATCTGTTTGTATTCTCAAAACAAGTGTCGGCCCATAAGTTTTCACATGCAATACAGCAATTGATACTCCTCGTTGTAACCTCGTGTTAGGTGGTATAAACCTACACATGTTATTTGTCATCATTCACTTGATGGTCAGTTAATGAATTTATAACAGGTATAATTAGTGGTAACACACTTAGATTACCCGACAAAGGTTCCCATTTGGCATTTCTTGTGTCTGGAGTAAATATTCAACATTATAAACATCGATCAAAGGATTAACCGATAACAGCTGATTGATTAATTACTTTTATCTTACACAGCGGAATTGTCAAAAGGTAGTGTTTATGTATGTAGATTTACTAATCTATACTGAATACACTCTATTAGGTGGTCGGTGTCTGCGTAAAACAAGCGTCCTTCTTTCAAAGGATTAACCCGGCAATACATTGATTGATTGCCCATTATTGGCTAACTAAATTACTGTTTTTAAAGAAAAGCGGACATTATGCAATTGGTTGCCAGGTGTGCTATCTTGGGTGACCAATGAGACTATACACCAATACCTGAAAAGATTTATCACTTTTTAGGTATATTAAACTGTTAAAGGACATATCATTTGGAACAGTTTTGTGGATATTGATGGATACATTCCTCGAACAAGGTAATGGCCTGATATTGTTCCTATAACTTTAATCTGTTTTAATTTTAATATTTGCATTTTGTTTTATTCATTTGTCGTATCATTCAACAGAATCATTGTTTTAGCCGTGAAGTGTAATGAGACAGACAACATGCACTAGGGTGTGTGTGCTAATTATGATTCACATTGGCAAACTATAAAATGTCTAGATATTACAGTTCTGTTATAAATTCACTATAAGTATCAGCAGATCGTCTGCTTTTATTTAGTTTCAAAATGCATACAAGTGTGATAATAAACTAATTAGGATTATAAGACCAAATATAAAGGCAGCACATTGACTAGTATCTACATACTGGTGAGTGGACATTAACCATGGGAATGTAACAAGAAATTTATCGGCAAGCAGTATTGTGACTTGACCCCCACCTGCGGCTTCCGTGGAAAGAAATCGTTATGTTATAAGTTGTGTCATGCAAAATCCGTTTGGTTATGATTCCAATACATATTTAACAACGAGTAGAAAGTAGTCTTGATTTTCTAACTTGATGAAAACAAACTATAATCTCATTAATTCTAACAGATTTTTTTATTTTTTAAAATGGAAGCCCTGTCGGGAACATCCGCCAGTCTGAGGATAAATTGGTATTTAGGTTTGTTTTCACCCGAGTTCTAAAATCAAAACTACTTTCTACTATTAGTAAAATATATATTTTATTGATAATAATAGGAGTTTTGCATGACATATACGTGATATCATAACAATTTTCTCGTGGCAGCGAGGTGTGTCAATATAATACTACTTACAATATTATTGTTGCCGACCACAACCTCACTTCGAGGAAGAAATCGTTATGTTACAAGTTGTGTCATAGAAAATCTTTATGGTCATCAATCATATGCATATTTACTACAACTAGTAAGTAGTTTTGATTCTTTAACTTCCGTGAAGCGATCTGAACACAAGTAAGATATCGTTTCAAGCTGTCCACAACGCTAAGCCGCACTCACAAATATAACCCATTTGCTTACGAACTGGGGTCCTGTGGAAATCTGTGCATGGTGACACCATCGCCCGACCCCTAAGACAACTGGCGACAAAGCAACGATTAGGCGTATGTCGCCGTTGATGTCGAGAAATCATCAAAATGATGAGCGTGCTACACATTTTCTATACAACTAACTGAAAATCGTTCCTCATATGACGTCACTGCAGTGCTCTGGCGACAGAGTTACGTAACCTGTCTGTGGTTTCGTTGGCGGGCGAGAGGGAAGCAGGCGACTTTTTGGCCACTTTTAATCGCTCGGTATTAATTAACCACAAGTTTTTAAAGAATAAATTTGGTGTTCCGCATAAGACTAACCACAAATCTTTCATATGTAATGGTTAAAAGAGTAACAAAAAACAAAGTTTAGTGGTTCTTTAACAGAACAGCAAATCGCTCAGGAACAGATCCTCGAGATCCTCCCGATGGTGTCGGAGGTCAATGCTGTGTCGGAGGAACTCAACAAACAGAAAAACTTTGAGGTCGTCCTGATCTCCGCAGCAGCCCAGGAGGGTCAGGGTGGCCAGAAGGGAACCAGGTACGTCCCACGTCCCATTGTGTCCTTGTCTTTCAGCAGCTCCATCTCAATTAAATGAATTTTGAAATAACTTTCTAGCATACTTTATTAGAATTGGTCGCACAAAATTGTAAAAGATAGTTAATGGCACCTGCAGTTATTAGTGATGATGACTTTGAGCTTGTTCGTTGAGCCTTATCCCCATTGGTCTAAAGAACCACAATGTTTTGTGCAGAGTTCTGTCCCTTAGCGGACAGAGTTAATAGAAGTCATTGTCTTGCCTACGTCAACTTGTTTCAGAAAGAGTTTACAGCAAGTAATTGCTGCGTAAACAATGAGTAAGTTGTCGTCACAGGGCAGCCTTACAGTTGATATTGACCTATGTGAGGATTAACAGTTAGATCAGAATTATGCTAAGGTGATTAACCTGCTAAATTCCAAGGTATGATTCAACAGTATTGTTCTCATGAAATTATAAAGGGGAATGTTTTCTGTTCTCTATGATTTTTATTAATTATATCTACACACCAAGAATTACCTTTTCAGACTTTATTTTACCTCGGAAGTAATAATTTTAGTAAAGGTCTATTCAATATTAGTCCTGTTGATAAAAATTGCGTTTAATTTTTACTTAAGACATGAAATTGATGATATATAAAGTATAATAACATCAAGTCTTCTATAGGCTTTAAGGAGTTAATGAATGTGTACATTTATGGAATAATCGAATAATATTGTTGGTTGATATTGTATTTTGAATAAAATACTATTTGGGGTCATATGTTATATAGTTTCAGGGCAAGCATTTTCATACCGATGTATGTAACTGTTTGCAGTTCTTGACTGAAAACATGTAGCAATGGTTTGCTTTTATAACTTCACGTCATGCTATGAAATTGGCTTCACCAGTGCATGTAACGCCTGTATGTTTAATTCCTGTTCATCATCCAGGTTTCACAGTAGGATTGGGCACAGGCATCTTAAGTCTTGTAATTGGCTGTGCAGAGTTATCTCCCTTAGATGTACCAGAATCCGATGGTGTGGTTCCAGTCCCACCACATTTATCTAGGATTTGATTAGTCTTATATCTAGATTTGTCTTAGATGTACCACAATACCTTGTGGGATTCGTCAAAGTGGTAGTTGTTTGAAACCTGCATCACTTTGAGCTTCCCCCCAAGTCAAACTGACATGAAATAGTAAACATGACTGAAATAGTGTTAAAAAGCTAAACAGATTCACTCAGTAGAGAAGAAGCTTCACAGTTGACAGTTTTTTTAAAGGCAACAATGCTATCTTCTCACAACTAGTTTTATATAGATTGCTGAAAACAAAGATAAGGGCCCTTTTTTTAAGTCCATCAAAATCGGTCTTGAATTTTCTTGATTTTTTTGCACAACCAAGAAAACTTGATTTAATGCAATAATTGAATTGTTTTTTTATAAAATCTTAAATTCAGTAAAAACAAAAAAGAAATGCATCCAAATGTGTTGTACTATCACCTATATATATATGTTCTAATTCGCACTCTGATTTTTTCTGTTGTGAGAGCTAATCACATATATAAGTGTTCTCATCTTGCAGTGATGTGAGTTCATGTTTTGATGAACATTTTCAGAGTGCATATGTTTTTTGCATATTTTAGATTCTGATATATTTTTCACGTTTTGATTAATTCCCATTAGCAGGAGCAAGGATGCAGCAAGGTATCTCCTTCCCTGATCTGCCAATCCATCCGCTTGTCTTGCAGACAATCATTCTCATTGTCAAGCCCAGTAATCAGTTTGTCTGGAACCCTTATTTCCCTCAAAAGCTATTTACCCTATAACTAGCTTCCTTTCTATGCTGCAAGCTGCAGATTACTGTGGACATGATTTTAAAACATTTTCCTAAGAACCGACATTACTTGATAAGTAATTCTTACTTATATATCTTTCCTGCACGTTTTGAAAACTATTATGATATATTTCATATTTTTAAATCTATTTCATGTATTTGCTTCAATGCTTGGAATGCTTTAAAATATATATTTTCAATATTTTGATATCATATTACTATATTTCCAACATTATTTTTGTCTTACCTTTCTGATATGGAAGGTCGATATGGATTCTTTTTCAGCTCAAGAATAGGAATAGGAAAGATAGGATTCTGGAAAGGAACAAAATCTGTGGCATATGTCTATATATGGGATTACTCTTTCTGTGTAAAGTACAGATTCTGGTATTTTTGGGGTTGAGTTCCTTTCAGGATTCATACTGTCAGGACACAAAGTCAACAATCTAACCCACTCAGCCAGTGCAGCTTTCACAAAAATGGAAGACAGCTGGTAGTGTAGATCCACGCACTTGTGTACCCCTCTGACAACATATGTGAAAACTCTCTGTGCATATGAACTGCGATCAGGTCCTTAGGCATTTGGTTGGTTGGGGCAGTGGGGTAGCCTAGTGGTTAAAGTGTTCACTCATCACATCAAAGACTCAGGTTCGATTCCCCACATGGGTACAAGGTGTGAAGACCATTTCTGTGTCCTCTGGCATGATATTGCTGGAATATTGCTAAAAGGGGCGTAAAACTAAGCTCACTCATTTTGTTTCTCAGCTACAGACAGGAAGATTCATTTCACGGAAGCATTTAGCCCTAGTGGTTGAAGCTCAGCGGGTTCGATTCCCCACATGGGTACAATATGTAAAGCCCATTTCTGGTGTCCCATGCCGTGATATTGCTGGAATATTGCTAAAAGCGGCCCCAAACCATAATCACTCACTCACTCACTCAGGCAGCTCCGATAAACAACAGATAAACAGACACCATTTAAACAAACATAAGACCTGAGAAGTGACTTTCTTTAATGCTCATGATGTTTTTTGTGTTGTGATAAGACATGATCGACTCCAACGGATGCCCGTTGTTCGAATGAAGAGCAGAACTATTAAGATATCTCGCTACATGTAAGTTCTGCGTGCGAAGACACGAGGGCTAGACGTTCTGGTGGGAGATGTTTTAGATGTGGTACAGAAACAGATCTAGACGGAACGACATTACCGGGAACGGATTAACTTACTAACATGCTATGTTACTCACATCATTAAATCTCAAATAGAAATATACTTCTCAAAATAACTTACAGAACACCTTATTCTGTCATATTTCATCTAAAATATGAAAGAATCAAGCGTTCTTTGCCTTTGTTTGAGTGGTATATAATTGAGTGGTATATAAATTTAAACCATTCTGACATTTGAAACTACTACCTAACAAAGTGTTGAAATTCCTGCTGAAATATTCACAGTCTAATGATTAAGGAATTAATATAGAGATAACCAAGCCACAGGAACTCTTACTTTCCATCTAACGGAACTCATGGTGGGGTAGCCAAGTGGTTAAAGCTCATCATGCTGAACGCCTGGGTTTGATTCCCCACATTGGTAATGTTTGCAGCCCTTTTCTGTTTTATGCCACTTTGCTAAACCTAATTCATTCACTCACTCACTCTAACCAAGTGTTGACCTACAACCGTATTAAGATTATAAATGCTTATACAGGAATGTTGATGTGAAACTAGGAATTGAACTTAATATTATTAATATGAATAAGTATTTAATATACTAATACTGTGTCCAAAACAGTCATGTAACAATTTAACATGTTTTCTCTGTTAGTTGGAAATATTAACTATTTTTATTTTCATTCCATAGATTTTTATCAACTTTTATAATTGACATTGCAATTGGTCAAATTTCATTTCATTTTATACGGATATCATTGGCCAGGATGCCTAAAGACGAAAGGCAAAAATCAAAAGTTGTCAGAGTTGTCTTGAGGCTTTTGGAGACTTTATTAAAAGTCAAGAACAGTCTATGAAAAAGTAAATTAGTCTGGTCTAATTATTACAAAATAAGAAAAAGAAAGTATGAACTCAAGGAAACAATGTCCAATGTTTGAGTAATCGTCATCAGAGAAGGATATCACTGTGTAGAATCATACAGCCTGTCAGTTTTTATATATTTTGTGATGAAGTACCATATTATACTTCAGTATAAAATGTTGTAAGGGAAATAGTACTTTATGCAGAAAATACATTTAGCATATGACACTTCCTGCCTGAACTTCTTTCAGTCTCACCCCAGTAACACAATGATTAAGACTTCAAGCATGAAGGGGGCGGTGGGGTAGCCTAATGGTTAAAGCGTTGGCTCATCACGCCGAAGGCCTGGGTTCGAATCCCCACATGGGTACAATGTGTGAAGCCTATTTCTGGTGTCCCCCGCCGTGATGTTGCTGGAATATTGCTAAAAGCGGCGTAAAACCAAACTCAGTCAGTCAGGCATGAAGATCAGTGTGCAGATCTGTATCAAACAGTACATGGGACGTTTCTTGACAAATACCATGTACTCTCATCTTCTATCTGAAGAAGTATCGTTTAGACTATTGGCTGTACTATTCATGAAAACATTTATTTTGTCACTCTGCTTTATGAGGCAGACATGATGTTTGATGTTTCTGTGTAGCTACTAACACCATTATCAAGCAAGTGATGTACAATACTGTAGGAAAGTCGCTACACGGAAACATTGCTCACATTAATAATGAATATACTCCCCTTTGTTGATCACAACAAGTTCTAAATGCCACTCAAAGAAGTTAGACATGATATTTGACAAGAAAACATAAATATCCTCAACATTTTTCATAAGGGGTGATATCAGATATATCTAATAGTGGTGAGAATGATGATTTAAACCATCTACGCTATCATACCCCCAGCAAAGCCGAAGAGGATCTTTCAGTCAGGTACACACGACGAGACTGCCAGCTTGTTACCCATAATCCCCTGCATCTGTTGTCATCCGTTGGTTTCTCTTATGTTGGGTTTGGTTATTTTGGGAACATTGCTAATTTTGTCTTTTCGTTTTAACCTTAGATACAGATATTTACGTATTTGGAACCATATATTGCATTTTATTTTCTCTAACATATTTTGGCTGAGGTTATCATTGATAAGAATTGGATTGAGTGATATGTGGTGGGTTTCAGTAAACTTTATAACATGTGTGATCATACTGTCTTCAGTTTCTACTCTAAAAGAAAAGTTATGTTTTTGAATTATTTGAAATTCTTATATGTAGCAAAGGTGAAGGTCATTTTTAAAAAGATGTTGACTTTCTATCAATTTTTCTATAATATATGGTCATATTCTTTTCCAGTTAGAAATATTTGGTGTGGGTTGAGGATTTCTCTACTTTTCTTTTCAGATCTTTTAAACTTGTATTTTTTCAAATTATCTTAAAAAGTCTGTGTACATCACAAATACAGACCAATTTCCACAAGGAGTGTATAATGAATGACAGATCTTTTGTTTACGTTTTCAAATTATTTTATTCGAAGTTATCATGACTAAGAGGTGACTTTTATATTCGTTCTTGATGTTGATCAAAGTAAAAGCCAACTGGCAACACACAAGAAGTACCAAAATTGGAAACAACCGAACGATTCTATTGCCTAACAACAAGTCATTGGGAACTATATTTCTTAATTAGAACATCTTATTATCAAAGACACTTTGTGCTTTTAAAATAGGTCCTTTGATTTATTCAACATAAAGTTCTTGAGATAGCCCCAGCTAGTATTGTCATGTTAGATAGAACATGTAGGTAGCGTGTATATAGTATATATTGTATAGAGCCAGATAGTCATTGTAGCAACATATTACCTTTGTCTTCTCAGTGTGTTCCCCGATGACATGCGGTAATTTTTGTTACTATTTGCATGTGCATATTCCCAGCATCTTGTTTTGTCTCCGATGTTGGTAGATACTGGTCATGTTACGATGTTGCAACACGGCTTTACGTATAGTTGCATGTGCACGCTGTACTGACGAGGCTTGTGAAGATGTGTATTACCTAGTTAGTTGTAACCAATATCACACCCAGTATACAATCATGTACTTCATGATATAGGACATTGTTATGATGATCAACCCAGCTGCAAGACAGGAATGTTTGATTCTGTGTTTGAATTCTGGTTCTCCACAATTATATTTCTAGATTCGTCAGCACTACCGTTTTATGAAAGTGGGGAATGTCGGAGAGATGCATCATTTAGGGCTTTCCTCCTACTTCAAGTTAAAACGCTGGAATATACTGTCTAAAGTGGCATTAAACCCAGCTCACTCACTCGCTCACACACGACTACATAGCCATATCTTCTTGAAATGGTATTTGAAATTTTGAAATTTTCTGTCCTCAACATATTTTTTCAAAATATTGCTAAGTCACAGCAACAATTATATATTCACAGCCTTTCCGACTGAAATGGACTAATATGAAAAAAGCAGAATAATGAAATGGGAGTTTTCTTTAGGAAAACATTATTTTGGCCCCATTAATGTGATATTTCCCAAGAGTAAGATTTATCCACAAATCTGCGACGCTACTGAAACTAAACATTTCTAATAACTGTATAAAACAGATTCCATTACTAGTGACCTTCCACTAAACGCTACATATATGGGTGACCTCCCCTGACTCATTCACTCACTTGCCGGCACACACTGAATGCCAAGCACCAATATAAGAATGACATCACTGAATGAACACTCAAAATTTGAAATAATAAAACAACACTTCCTGCCTGTCTTTCACATTAAATTAAATATTGTTTATGTCATCTATAATTTCTCTGTGGATATATTCTGCCGCCATTAAACAACTAATCAACCAACCAATGATGGATATATTTAAACTTCAGTTGAATGCATTTTTGTATATCTCATATTTAAGAATTGCGACAATTTCCTCAAATTGACTGTCTGCAGCACTTAAACTTCTTTTAGAGAAGACTTGTGATAATTGTATATCACCTGAATGATTGCCATGATCCCGATGCTTATTCTATCAGCCACTTTCCCATTGGTCCAGATTCAGTTATTAAAAGCTGGCATGATAGAGCTGTAGTATTGCTGACAGCAGAGTAAAATTACATGCACTCACTCACTAACCTGGATATGCTACACAAAAGAAGTGAAAGGATATCCAATTCTTTCAAATGACCATAGTTAATTTGTCATTAGCATTAAAAACAATTGGGTATTCTTTAATTAGGATGACCACCCAAAGTTATTAACATCTGATTCTTCCAAATTACCAGGTAATATGTCAAACTGTGGTTTAAACAACTGGGTGTTTTTGAATAAGGGTGGAAACATGATTCTTTAACGTTTCTATTGTTAATCTGTCATGCATGATTTATTTTATACAATGGGTGTTCCTTAATGATGGGTAGCGGTGGGGTAGCCGAGTGGTTAAAGCGTTGGCTCGTCACGTCAAAGACCGGGTTCGAATCCCCGCATGGGTACAATGTGGGAAGCCCATTTCTCGTGTCCCCTGCCATGATGTTTCTGGAATGTTGCTAAAAGTGGCGTAAAACCAAACTCAGTCAGTCAGTCCTTAATGATGGTAAACACCCAAATCATTGTATACCAACGGCGTGGATCAATGCTCATGATGTCGGTCACTAGGTTGTCAAGTTCAGATCCGATTATTTTACATAACATCATAGTGCAGCTGGAGTATGGGCATACAACATGGAAAGTCATTGCCATAGGTTTGTTGATGTAGTCAGTATTACCTATTATAGACTGGGCAAGGGCATGCTATTATTGAGCACTGTACAACATTATAAATAAACTGTTTCATGGAAATAAGGTTACTGTCTGTCCTCTACTATGTTTTTGATGTCATATATATTTTTTCCAGAATATTTTTTGTATCGTAACTTTTCAAATTAACTGGTACTTGGTTATTTTAATAATAATCTGTGTATACAGGCATCACAGACAATTCCGAAATCTAAACTCACTCACTCACTTTGATTGTGTGGAAGGGCTGTGCAGTACTCGGTTTATACTCCAGGTTATCATCCTCTATGGCTTTACATTAGGGATAACCTGTGATAACTGGATCTATCGTGTTAACAGTGTGACTGCTGGAAGGACTGAGAAATAATCTCTTATACTCCAGGTTTATGTTTAGGTATAATTAGCTCTGTTTTAGGATAACCTATAATAGCTAGATATTTCTAATTAACATTTGTGACTTTGTGTCTTGAAGGGCTGAGAACTGTTCTGTTATAATCCAGGGTTATCGTGTTTATGTTTAGTTACCTGTGTTTAAGGATAACGTGTAATAGCTGGATGTATTGTGTTAACAGTGTGACTGTCTTGGGGGGCTGTGTACTATTCCGTTACAATCCAGGGTTATTATGTTTACATTCCACTGCTGTCTTATTCAAACATTTTGTTAGTGTTTTAGTAAGATTCCTTTTCTATAATATGTTCTGTTTCAATTAGATATTGAGGATCTGTAAATATACTAGGGTTCTGTATCCTGTTTATAGTCTTAGGTTCTGTAGTCTGTTTATTTTCTAAGGTCCTGTATCATGTATTTATTACCAGGTTTTATTTATGGCGTTAGTGCTGGCAGGACTAAAGGTTCCATGAAACCCTATTTGTTGATATGTGTTATTGTGGTGTAATATTTTGTTACGTGTATTGTCGTGTTGTATCTGGTGTAGGTTGATGGCCAGTGTACAGAACTATACCTGGATTATCTATGTTGTAGAGTGATGGCCAGTGTACAGAACTATACCTGGATTATCTGTGTTGTAGAGTTCTGTACAGTGATGTAGAGTCTATGTTGTAGAGTGATGGCCAGTGTACAGAACTATACCTGGATTATCTGTGTTGTAGAGTGATGGTCAAGATGAAGAACCTTCTTAATGGCAACACCTGGCTGTGGGAACGAGGCAAGTTCATGAACAGGCGATACCTCATACAGGTAATAATAGAAACGTTGTTAGTAAGTGATACCTCATACAGGTAATAATAGAAACATACCTCATACAGGTAATAATAGAAACGTCGTTAGTAAGTGATACCTCATACAGGTAATAATAGAAACAGCGTTAGTAAGTGATACCTCATAATAAAGGTAATAATAGAAACAGGTAATAATAGAAACGTTGTTAGTAAGTGATACCTCATACAGGTAATAATAGAAACGTTGTTAGTAAGTGATACCTCATACAGGTAATAATAGAAACGTTGTTAGTAAGTGATACCTCATACAGGTAATAATAGAAACGTTGTTAGTAAGTGATACCTCATACAGGTAATAATAGAAACATTGTTAGTAAGTGATACCTCATACAGGTAATAATAGAAATCGTTGTTAGTAAGTGATACCTCATACAGGTAATAATAGAAACGTTGTTAGTAAGTGATACCTCATACAGGTAATAATAGAAAAGCGTTGTTAGTAAAGTGATACCTCATACAGGTAATAATAGAAACGATGTTAGTAAGTGATACCTCATACAGGTAATAATAGAAATAGCACGTAGGGAGTAAGTGCTATGTTGTACAGGTAATAATAGAAACATCGCTGGTAAGTGATACCTCATACAGGTAATAATAGAAGCGTTGTTAGTGGTAAGTGATACTCATACAGGTAATAATAGAAACGTTGTTAGTAAGTGATACCTCATACAGGTAATAATAGAAGTGATACATCATACAGGTAATGTTAGTAAGTGATACCTCATACAGGTAATAATAGAACTTGTTAGTAAGTGATACCTCATACAGGTAATAATAGAAACATTGTTAGTAAGTGATACCTCATACAGGTAATAATAGAAATAGCAGCTTGTAGTAAGTGATACCTCATACAGGTAATAATAATAGTAAGTGATACCTCATACAGGTAATAATAGAAGCGTTGTTAGTAATACCTCATAAGTGATACGTAATAATACAGGTAATAAAGAAATAGCACATACAGGATACCTCATAAGGTAATAGAAACGTTGTTAGTAAGTGATACCTCATACAGGTAATAATAGAAAGCGTTGTTAGTAAGTGATACCTCATACAGGTAATAATACGTTGTTAGTAAGTGATACCTCATAGCGTTGTTAGTAAGTGTAAGCGTTGTTAGTAAGTGATACCTCATACATCATACAGGTAATAATAGAAACGTTGTTAGTAAGTGATACCTCATACAGGTAATAATAGAAACGTTGTTAGTAAGTGATACCTCATACAGGTAATAATAGAAATAGCACGAGTAAGTGCTATGTTGTACAGGTAATAATAGAAACATTGCTGGTAAGTGATACCTCATACAGGTAATAATAGAAACATCACTGGTAAGTGATACCTCATACAGGTAATAATAGAAAAGTAAGAAACATACAGCTAGTAAGTGATATACAGGCTCATACAGGTAATAAAAGTAAGTAAGTGATAATACAGCGTAATTAGTTGTTAGTAAGTGATACCTCATACAGGTAATAATAGAAACATTGCTAGTAAGTGATACCTCATACAGGTAATAATAGAAACGTTGTTAGTAAGTGATACCTCATACAGGTAATAATAGAAACATCGCTAGTAAGTGATACCTCATACAGGTAATAATAGAAACATCGCTGGTAAGTGATAGCTACAGGTGCTAGTAAGTGCTACATTGTACAGGTAATAATAGAAACATCGCTAGTAAGTGATACCTCATACAGGTAATAAATTAATAGCTACATGGTACAGGTAATAATAGAAACATCGTTAGTAAGTGATACCTCACACAGGTAATACACAAAGTAACACTAGTAGATGCTACATCGTACAGGTAATAATTTAAACATTGCTTGTACGCACTAAAGGTAACAACAGATGTTATGGTTTAAAAATCTGTACCTGTTTGTATTTTCGTTTCCGGACTGTTTTTAGGGAACCCTCAAAATGCAATAAAGCTACAAATAATTGCTTTCTTACATACCTACCAAATACCTTTGCCAAGCAAGGTAATTTGATTTGACCTTATATTCCTGGCCTAATAACATTGGTATATTCTCAGGAAATGTACCAACGTTACTTGGATGGAGAGGATGTATCACACATCAAGAAGGAAGACGACCCGTTCTGGGAGCCGACAGAGGATGTGCTGATTGGTACCGCCAACGTGTTTCTTCAGTCGCTGGCATTCGGGCTAGACTTTGATGACAAGGTTGTCATTACGGATTACAAGGCGCAAGAAGAAGGATTTCTGTATGTGAATGTCACACCCTGTACTCAGTCGGGCAAACCTTTTGACGAGGAATACTTTGTGGAGAGCCCCAACGAGTTGCTGAAGAAGCCGTATCACTTTAAGGTTGGTTGTTATGTTCTGGGTAGCTTCCCTTCTTTTCCTCTCGGGGCGTTGGGGTATCCTAATGGTTAAAGCGTTGGCTCGTCACGCCGAAGACCCGGGTTCGAATCCCCACATGGGTACTATGTGTGAAGCCCATTTCTGGTGTCCCCTGCCGTGATGTTGCTGGAATATTGCTAAAAGCGGCCTAAAACCAAACTCAGTCAGTCAGTCAGTCTTTTCCTTTCAGAGAATATCCAAACATGGGTAGAGTGACATATTCCCACTTGTGAAACCCCTGAAGGGCAGTTAGGTAGTCTAGTGGTTGTAGTGTTCACTAGTTTAACCAAAGAACCAGGTTCGATTCATTACATGGGTGTAATGTGTGAAGTCCGTTCCTAATGTCCTCCACTGTGATATTGTTGGAATATTGCATAAAGTGAGTGAGTGAGTGAGTTTAGTTTTACACCGCTTTTAGCAATATTCCAGCAACGTCAGGGCGGTGGACACCAGAAATGGGCTTCACACATTGTACCCATGTGGGGAATTGAACCTGTGTCTTTGGCGTGATGAGCGAAGGCATTAACCACAAGGCTACCCCACTACCCTATTGCTAAAAGCATTGTAAAACCTCACTTATCTACTTTGTAAGCTAAAACAACATTCTTACTTCCTTATTTTGTAAAACACTGTGTGAAGCCTATTTCTGGGTTTCCCTGGGTTTCTGGAATATTTATGTAAACACCATTAAACCCAATGATTATTTCGGATCACAAAACAGTGATATTTTTTTGTCCTATCAGGTGACAATACAGAGTGCAGACATCAACAAACCCCGCTTCTCGAAGGGTGTCCGCATCAAGTACAAGGATTACAAGGGGGACTTTGTGGAGACTCCAATGGTCAGCGGTACCCTGCAGCCACAGTTTAAACACTCCAAGATCATCACTTTCCCCGAGGTCACCCAGGAACACTTAAACTTCTTTGAGAAAGGCAACATAGCGTTCCTGGTTTACGGTGTTCAGGAGGACACGGTGCCGGATCGCCGTCTGCTCAAACTGTCCACAAGGGTGAGTCTATCCATCTGTCAGTCTGTTGAACAGATCATCTATCTGGGGAGTGGAAGGTTGGTGGTTTCCTCTCCACATCTCACCAAATGATGTTAAAAGATGGTACTTTTTGTTGTCCCCCGCTGCAACGCGGAACGGGGGACTATGTATTCAGCGGCGTCACATGTCTGTATGTACATCTGTAAAGACACGTACTTTCGTACTTTCTGTACATACTTTCCGATTCTTGTTAACGCGATATCTCATGAACCGTTGTACCCAATGTCTTCAAATTTGGTGACAGCCTACATTGGGAGATTATTTCAAGGTCACCAGACACCTTGACCAGTCAACTTTGGATATCTCATGAACCTTGACCTTAATTTCAAAGGTCAGCCCACGACACATGTGTATGTGACCACTTTTCAAACTCCATTCTTTAGTGACGGGGATATGCCATATCAGTGCAAAACTGTTGTCATGGGCTTTAAATGTAGGACTGGTCAAATATTGGTGAAATAGATTACATTTAAGATTAGATTTATGTTTAGAAGGGCTAAGGGTGTGATATAAATTGTTGAATATAAAATTATTGTTAAAATGGTCAGATATAGTTTATTATGATATGACAAACAACTTTAAACGATTCACATGTTTATTCACAAAACTGTATACACTTGTATTTATATCTATAAACAATATACAACACGAAGTTGAAACAAGCTTGAAGGTCCTTCATACCATCCAGTATTCCTGTTATTAATGCAACAATGTTTCTGAATAGTCATCATGCATCGCGATAAACTATTACCTATGTGGTTAATTGTATGGAGGGATGGGGTAGCCTAGTGGTTAAAGACATTATAGTTCCCATATTTAAGACCCGGTTCGAATACCCCACATGGATACATTGTGTGAAGCCCATTTCTGGTGTTGATGTTGCTGGAATATTTGCGAAACCAAACTCAGTCAGTCAGTAATTGTATGGAATCATCAGTATTGATTTTGTTGATGTAATTATTGTGTATATTTTGTGAATTTTGCATATATTCATTTGAGGCCGTTTTGATACAAAAGAATTTCCTCTGGGATAATAAAGTTATCTTATCTTATCTTATCTTATCCAGTGAATTTGGAGGACATTTTGAAATTTCTTCTTACCATGTTTTCTTTCTGTACCAGGAGCTGCGTCAGATGGAACAAATGGGTAATATGGCAGATAATGGGCGTCGTGGTACTATATTTGGAAATGATGCAGTTGTGTCTGATCAGTCCCATCTGAAGACTGAGATTGTACTTCTACAGAGGAAATACGAGAGGCTGGCACAGAAGGAGAAACGGATGCAGGTCAGTGGGGAACATACTTTCTGATATGGGGCGATGGGGTAGCCCAGCAGTTAATGCATTCGCTCCTCACGCTGAAGGCCCGGGTTCGATTCCCCACATGGGTACAATGTGTGAAGCCCATTTCTGGTGTCCCCCGCAGTGATATTGCTGGAATATTGCTAAAAGCGGCATAAAACAATACTCACTCACTCACTGATATATCTTTGGATTAGAGTGTGTGAGTTAATGAGTACGGTGTTACACTTTACAACAATATTCCTTCAATATCTGAAATACATTGTACCCATGAGGGAATTAAACCTGGTCCTTGGGTGTGATCAGTGCTTTAAGCACTGGACCATCCCACCAGCCTTATCTGGATAAGTGTAAAACATATTGCCTTCGTCAGTATTTTCTATGTACTTGTATAGTGCCGAAGGTCCAGCGGTTACACACAGCAAACTTCTCAGTGGTCCTAAGTGCCACACCCGTGAAGGTCCGGGTTAGAATATTGATCTTCAGTAACCCATGCTTGTCGTAAGAGGCGACGGGATCGGGTGGTCAGGCTCACTGACTTGGTTGACACATGTCATCGGTTCCCAATTGCGCGCAGATCGATACTTGTGCTGTTTATCTCTGGATTGTCTGGTCCAGACTCGATTATTTATAGATTGACACCATATAGCTGCAATATTGCTGAGTGCAGCGTAAAACTAAACTCACTCACTCACTCCTAAGTGACAAATATGGATTAAAAGGGGACTAGTTGTTTGTGAATACAGATTAGAATATTTTCTTGTAACCTTTATTGCCAAAACAATCTTTAAAGCTGTTGACATCTCATGATGACTTTATTTTGTATCTAAGTATGCAATGCATATGCATCTGTAACTGGAGATGGTACCGAGTTCTACCACTGTTTAGTTGCGGTTGGCTAAAGAGGGTTGGGTAGCCTAGTGGTTAAAGTGTTCATCACACCAAAGTCCCGGGTTCAATTCCCCACATAGGTAAAATGTGTGAAGCCAATTTCTGGTGTCCCCTGCCATGATATTGCTCGAATATTGCTAAAAGCGGCGTAAAACTAGATTCACTCACTCACTTGCTGCCCAAACCCACATTTACACCAGTTTATCACACACTCAATCACTTTCCTGTATTTTGTTGACAGCAACTGTGTGACGAATGGTCCAAGAAAAATCCGGAGCATCAGCAGTTTGAGCCATTTTTACGTTCAGTGTCTGCTGTGGCTAACAGTTCAGGGACAAGACTCAAGACTCGCGTACAGTTACTCAACCAGGTAGGCGCAAAGGGAGGGAACTCTGGAATAACACCATGTTTCTTATCGGATAATTCAGAAAAGAAATCTATTTGGATGGTGACAGTAATACTTTGACAAAAAGTGGAATACAAAGGCTTAAAGGGGAGGGAACTCTGGAATAACACCATGTTTCTTATCGGATAATTCAGAAAATGTCTGTCAGAAATCTATTTGGATGGTGACACTAATACTTTGACAAAACAGTAGAATATAAAGAAAAGATTAGAGTTCACAGGAACAGGTGACTCAGTACCCACAACTGTTTTGGTTAAATTGGGTTGATCTGTGAAGAACAATTGTCCTCCAAATCCATTTACTGCTGTTTATGTATTATCTGTAGCTTGTATCGGGTCTGAGAATATTAAGGCGTAGCAATCAACTGAACCTGAGTTCAGTTAGTGTTCCTACTGTTATATATCAATAAAATGCGTGTAATTTCAGGAAACAAATTATTTTGAATACTGTAATCGTATATATTTTCACGGGGTGCAATTTTCGCGGAAAGTTCACGAAAGACCTGTTAGCGCGGTTGTTTTTTCTCGCATTTCAAACACCTGAGTGATGGTATCCATCACAAAGTTTTCACAACCAATAGACATGCAGTGATCAAAGCTAGCCGCCATATTTGAATCGTGTTTACTAAAACAATCATAGAGAGAGGTTGGATTATACTTGTGTCAACATGCAACATCTCTCCCATATGCGAGATCAACTGACAACGACATAAGGAAGAGTGTATACGAGGACTTATGATAGTTAAACATAGAAATCATAAAGTAGTGTTTGTTGTTTATGTACACGTGTTGTTCACGTGGTCAAATCGTTGATTGGCTGCATTTCATGTCTTTGTTTCAATTACATGTTGTTCCTACTAGAGTATTTGTCATGACATCACCATGAATATTTCGCTTGGTATGATTATTGATGCACAATGTTTTTGCGCTAAAAGCACGAAAATTAATCCCACGCGAAAATAACTACGATTACAGTATATTTTGGGTCACAAAAAATTACAAAGAAATGGGGAGGGTAATCTTTTGGGGGTACACTCCAGCACAGACAATATGGAAAATTTGAAGAAATTCCTGATCCCTCTTTGAAATAGATCATATATACTGATGGAAACAAATAAGGGAATGCCTAAAAGTTCCTTTGTTCCTGTATTCTTTTCCAGGTTACTTTGCATGCCTTGTATTTGTGAAAAGCTGTAAATAAATATTGGAACACTGGTTCTTCTATATGTTCCAGTATTTGTTTCCATCAGTATATTTTGATGACGTGTAATGGTCAGCTTTTGTGGTGAGGATGATACAGCGGTACTTTTGTTTCATTACCGTTTACGTATCTAAACGGTTAGACTTTTTAAAGAATTAATTTATCTTGTGTCTGTTAAATTTTTTTCAAATTGTTTTTAAAATATTATGAAATAATTGTTTTGTGTTTTCACTATACGATTTAACTCCTAGGTAATGTAGAAGTGTTTTGAAATATCGTAACTAATGAAAATATTTTCATGAATAAGTCTTTAATCATGACTAAATGCAAGGTCTATTTCAGTGTTTTCAGGTGTCATGTGACCAAGGATGATATTGCCCTAATGACTGAGCATGTTTACACACACAACATAGCATGTATATATGTATATATATTGGCTTGTGTCACTATTATGCTTGACGTCATTGTGAGTTGTCCCCCCTTACAGATGTTTCAGTTGCATAAGAGAACTTCCCAAGGTTCAATACCTACAGGAGACAATGTAACTATTTACAATTCGGTACATAACAAGCACTTAGTCTGCTGTGATGCTTTTAACCCCTGAGTAAACCACGAACTACCAAACTCACTCAGAAGACACATAAATGTCTTGACACTTTGTAACTAAAACCTGTTTCCTGCAAACTAGCAATACCCAAGATTAGCTTAGAACACTTTTGTTTATTGGTTGATTTTTTAAAACTGGGAGAACATTATTTGTGAACCAGTGGAGTAAAAAATTGGCATCAAGTAAAAAAAACAACAGTTAAAAATTCAGATGTTTGATAGGCATTTAGAAGTTAGTAGGGTAATACAACACACTTGATATGGATGTGCAACTTCTTTATTATTTACACACAATGTTTCTGGGCTAATGCTTGCCCCTTCATCAGGTGATAGACAGTCAATAGTTACAGAGGTATATATATATTGTATGTACATGAAACCACAGGGTTGTTTTTACAATAGATTTGTGAGAGAATTAAGTGAAAATAGGATATACATAATGTTTGTACAACATGTTTACATCGAGTGAATGACCATAGATGAAGCCAGTAACGGGTATACAGTGATAGAGATTAAGTGATTGGGATATACAATAATAGAAATAGTTAAAAGTTTATATTTTATTTTCAACTTGAATACACAAAACATAACCAATGTTCACTGAAACAGACTTTACTCTCTTAATTAGTGTAAACTCTGTACATACACTTGGATTTTAAATTCTTTTCCTGACTCTGGTTTTGTCAGTTTATAATCAGTGTAAATGTGAAAGCCAAATTGTTTAAATTTCTGACAAAATCAAAGCGTGATCCTACCAAATTGGGAATAAAATCAGCTTGTCCTCATTGTTGTAGAATTTTTTCTTTTTTTAATGCCGATGTACCCATCAATATACAGGTCATTAAGATTAGACTCATTTTGAAAAAGGGTGGGTTCAGTTAAAGAAACTTTCTTTGTGAATTGCCATTGAGGAATTTGAATTTTGATTGAATCTTTATTTTAATTTTGATTGAATCTTTATTTAAATTTTGATTGAATCTTTATTTAAATTTTGATTGAATCTTTATTTAAATTTTGATTGTGAAGTTAATCATAATATATTCATAGTGTTGGTCAATTGTATTGTCTAAATCTTTATTTTTATTTTGATTGTGAAGTTAATCAAAATTTTATTCATAATTTGGTAAAGTGAATAAGATTTATTATAAAATGTAATGATCTTCGACAAAATTTGAATATTTTGTAAGTAATGTTAGTTTGCAGTGAGAGTAGTTTTAACCCAACACCTGCATGATGTCAGTCAACAACTAATAGCAAACCACGATGTGATGACTAAATACACAATTCATTTCAGGTGCTTCAAGCTCAGAAATATGTCCGCGAAAAACACAAACTACACCAAAATGGAGAAGTAAGACAGGCCCCTTGCATGACGACAATTGTTGACTTAACTGTTACATGCTTATGCTTGAACCATGTTTAACCCTTGCTGACTGCTCTAACCTTTACACTGGGTGTCAGGTCTTCAAACCAGGTGTAACACCCCCATCAAATTAAATTTAATGTCAGAACTTTTATTTGAAATATAAAAATCATCTGTATATTTTTACATCTTCATAAAATTAAGTTTATTTCTATATTTGATAAACAAATAGAAGAAATCTTAATTGGATTTTTTTGGCTAATTATTGGCGTAATTTATTTTGATTTCTAAGTTTTATGTCCTGGTTTGAGGACCTGTTGTTGTTGGTATGAAGTGAATGCTGCCCTTTCTTCTCTTAAATAATTTTAATGAAATAATCTGGCAGATATATAAACCTTTTTGAAAGAAATTTGTGGAAATCAGTGGTAAATTGGACAGTTTTAACTTTCATCAAAGTCATGCTGCCAGATTGTTCCTAAGGTAAGTAGGTGTGTGTTTCTGTGATTGGTTAACATGGTTATTGATGTTTGTTTGCATGGAAACCTGGGCGAAAGTGATATTTAAATGTATGCATACGTTGACAGCACTTTCTTTCTAGACAAGAAAAATTCTAAGTTGGACTAAATAACCATCAACACAGTAGAAGAAAGTGTTTGATTAAAAACAATTTCTTCTTTTTATTAATTATTATCCAATAAGAATAATTGTTTTTTGATTCATGGAAATAATTGAAACCGTTACCACTTTGGATGATTCTTGTCTAGAAATGTTTTCTTTAACAGGGCATATATTGACAACACAGGAATGAGTTTTCTTGTGTCAAGGAGCATGTATAGGTTCTATGAGAGTTACCCCCCTTGCAAAGATTTATCTCCCTTTGCTCTCACCAGGTTTCAGAAGAGAAAGATGACGATATAATTAGCTTGTATGTATTTGGTGAAGAGGAATCAGCTTTAGCAGAAGAGGCCGATCAGAATGCGGGGCTCATCGAGTACAATAAAGTGGCCAAACACCATTTTGACTATGATAAGCCTGCCATACCCAGACAGAATGTAAGCCGCTTGTCTGAGACATATTGTCTCCCACCCTCACGTCCGGACCTCTGCACAAGTCTCCTTAGTTTTTGGATCCTGTTGATTTTGTTCAACGTTTTCCCAGCGGATTTCTTTGTTGAGTTTTTCTGCACTTTTATTTTGCTTGATCATCAGATCGTCCTCATTTGTTTCGTTATGTCCACTTCCATCCCCTTGAACACTTATTCATGGTTTTGTTGGTGTTTGTGTTTTGTTCTTGGCCTCGTATCAGATAAGGATGACCTTTGAAATGACCTTGACCTCTCCTAAAACATGTTCTGTCCGATCAAACGCTACACTAGTCTTTGTCCTTTTGCACATGCATCTAACTCCAGAACATATAGCTATGCACATGCATCGAACACCTGACAGGTATGGAATCAATGATAAAAGGGAATATTCCCCTCAAAATGTTTTCCTTACAGATAGGGGCGGTAGGTTAGCCTAGTGGTTAAAGCGTTCAGTCGTCACACCGAAGACCCGGGTTTGATTCCTCACATGGGTACAATGTGTGAAGCCGATTTTGGTTTGATATTGCTGGAATATTGCTAAGAGCAGCGTAAAAGACAACTCACTCCTTCACTCACTGTTTAAGGTCTTGAATTTCTGAATTGCCCATGTTGTTGTAAGAATCGTCTATGACATGACGAGGCTGATACTCCAGTAGTATCCACTGTTACTCTGTGACTGGTTTGCCCCATCCAGACCTAACTGGGAGAGCGGAAGGTCGCGGGTTTGATCCCTGACCGCGTCATACCAAAAGACGTTAAAATATGGTACTTGTTGGTCCCTGCCTGGCGCTCGGCATTAATGGGTACAACAAGGACTGGTCGGCTCGTAGTCAGTTTAATGTGTCTAAGTGGGGTATTCATGCTTCACTGCGGCATGGTATCTCAGTGGGCTAGCACTATAAAACCAGGTTCAGTCTGGGCTAGTACAAGCAGCCGCACATACACATACACACGCATGCACGTCGTACAACCCAAGTACGACGTAAAACCCTATTTCACCTCACCTCACCTCCAGACCTGACTGCTTCCACTCACCTTGATGCAACTTGAATATTTCTGACAAGGATTTGAACACTCACTCACTCACTCACTACATAAGGGGCAGTGAGGTAGCCAAGTAGTAAAGCATTCACTCATCAAGACCCAGGTTCGATTCCCCACGTGGGTACAATGTGTAAAGTCCATTTGAGGTGTCCCCTGTCGTGATATTCCTGGAATATTGCTGGAATATTGCTAATAACGATGTAAAACTGAAGTCACTCACTCACTCATCTCTCACATAAGGTGAGGTGAGGTGAAATTTGGTTTATCGTCGTGAGCTTGAGAATATTTCGCTCATATGACGACGTGCATGCGTGTGTATGTGTATGTGCGGCTGCTTGTACTAGCCCAGACTGAAGCTGATTTTATAGTGCTAGCCCACTGAGATACCATGCCGCAGTGAAGCATGAATACCCCACTCAGACACATTATACTGACTTCGACCCGACCAGTCTTTGTTGTACCCATTAATGCCGAGCGCCAGGCAGGGACCAACAAGTACCATATTTTAACGTCTTTTGGTATGACGCGGTCGGGGATTGAACCCGCGACCTTCAGCTCTCCGGGCGGACACTCTAACCACTACACCACGGAGGCGGTCTCTCACATAAAGGACAGTGGGGTAGCCTAGTGGTTTAAGTTGTAAAGACAGTGTGTGACAAGCATTTCTTCAGGATCTCTCAAGTGATGTTGCTTGAATATTGCTAAAAGCAGCATAAAACCATAAGAAACTTACTCACTCTTTCACATCTACAAAGAAGACACATTTTCTGTGAACCATGCAGTGATCTAAGAGATCCTTTTGGGAGATGAGGTGATAAGTTTGGAAATAGTTTTCAATGAATTCACAGTGTCACTGTGACAGACCCTCTGTAAATATGTTATCTCGATTGATTTCACTCTCAGACACAGACCCTAGAAAAGACTACCAGACTCGGTGATTTATCACACGTGTTTAAACAGACTGCTACGTAATATTTTAATTTTGAAAGGTCTAATTTAACTCAAATACTGTGAGGCACAACATAAAACACATTTGGTATAAAGATTACATTAAATGTAAGGCCTAAAAGGTATTTATACTTTATGTTGATCTCATATTGTGTTTATGTGTTTCTTCATTGTTTTATTTAGCTTACTGCACATTACGTTTCCATGTTGTATAACATCCATAGAATATTTGTAGACTTTTAATTGAGAATGTCCTGACATAGATATATGCATGTAGAATATAGGCTTTGATGTGTACATATTTGCACTTACAAGAGATGGTAGTATATTGATGTGCCTCAGTGAAATGCTATATACTCCTATTATGTGTATGAAACACACTGATAATGACTTGTCTAATGAACTATATGAAGCTCTGTTGTATTTTAAAACTTATTATTATACAAACTTATGAATAAAAACATGATTTAGGTTAGGATTTTGTTTCTGAAACCAGATTATAATTTATTTGGAAATGCTAAAATGAGTTCTATGCAACATATCTATGTGGGTAGCAGTTATGTCCCTTTGATATATCCACTATCTTGATGTGCCATGCTGCAATTAATCTGAAGGAAAGTTTAGATCATGATCTGATTACAATATGAGATGATATCATGGTTTGAGGTTTTGAGACCATTTGGCAAATTCGTAGAAGTATTGTCAGATATTTTTCATACAAAATTCATTTAAATATTGAAAAATGTTAATTCGAAGTTTCATAGATACATTGAAATTTGTCTTCTTGATTATTTTAGGAAATGTTGGTAATTCATCCATTTTGAATACACAGACATTGTAATTGAACGTAACTAATTTGGTATCATGTTATGAAATGACACTGAGTGTATGAGAAGCTATCTTACAATAGAAGAACAATTAATAAATATAGGTTATAAAATTTCTTCAAATGAAAATCTGAATATTCATAGTTTTTACAATCTCTGAAGTCAGAATGATAGTGTTGGGCATTATCTAAGGTTTCCAATAGTCTTATTTAGGTGAGCTTCTGTACCTACTGCAGTTATCTGCAGGACATGTGAAGTTTACAGATGATATAGCTCCTTCCCATAGTAACAATGAATAACAGAGCTCTAGTCTATATCTAGAAGTAAAATTTCACTTTAGTAATTAGGGGTCAGTGGGGTAGCCCAGTGGTTAAAGGGTTTGCTCATCACGCGAAGACCCGGGCTCGATTCCCAACATGGGCACAATGTGTGAAGCCCATTTGAGGTGTCCCCTGCCGTGATATTGCTGGAATATTGCTAAAAGCGGTGTAAAACTAAACTCACTCATTCATTTAATAATTAAGATTATACTGTACTGTTTATACCAATTAAAATGTGTTGTTTACAATGGCATAGAAATTAATTAATATGTTAGAGATTATATTACAACAGAAAAACTGATTACTTGTCGAAGGGTATTTTTCACCCTTACAGATTTTATGGTTTTTGATAGTACCATAATTTAAACATTTTCTCAGCTCACAACATTTCATTCTCCTGTTTCTCTGACAGACGTTTATTAAGTCCCGGAGTTTCGACAGCGATTCATTAGGGTCAGTAGACCTAGAACCCTTCATGAAAGCCCCTAGAGATCATGAAAATAATAACAAGCCTCGCAATCGAAATAAGAACGAACTGAACACATCTCACCGACAACCAAGAGCAAGAAGCATGGGAGATGTGAGTTGATTGGTTGAAATATGTCCCCCGACGGACATCAACCTGATCTTCACTAGTGTCTTCCCGTTGGTGTTGCCTTTGATTAGATTCAGCTTCAAGATGCACATGCTTCTAGATCCATGTTGAATGTCTTCAGTTTCTAGAAAATATTTTGGATGTTTGAATTTTATTACTTTTTCTGTGCATTCCTGTTCCAGTTCCAAACTCCCTTTTTGGTTTGACCTTCACCTTTATCTTCATTCCGAGGTCCTTCCTAGGCTGTAACACCAGTGATTGGTGATGTGTTTGTGGTGATATCCCGGTATATCCAGCAATCCCATTGGCTGTTGTCGGACAGAGTGTCAGTGTATATCCAATATATCAACCCAATCCTGTGTGATAAATATAGGTATATAGCACCCAAGATCGACAGTTCCTATGATAGATAGAGCAGTAAATGTCCCTAGTGTGTAGTGTGATGTAATGGAATCAGATGATGAGCTTGGTGGTAGTCCTGTAGGCAGCCTTGTATCCTTTAGCAGTAGACAAGTTGCTTGATGATACAGTAGATAATAATAATAATAATAATAATAATAATAATAATTGATTTATAGAGAGCCTATTTCCAAAAGATATTGCTCAATGGCACTATGAAGAGAAAAGATTGTAGACAATGTCCATGGAAAAGAGTTTGAACAGATGAGTTTTGAGGGCAGTTTTGAAAGCGTCAGCAGATTCTATTTCTTTTAGGGCGAGTGGTAGAATGTTCCAGAGATCGGGGGCTGCAGCAGAGAACGCTCTTGATCCCATGGCTGTTTTGACGTGAGGCTGTGTAAGCAGTAGGGAGTTTGACGAGCGGAGCAATCGGCTTGGAATATGGAGATGAATGAGGCTTTTAAGATATTGAGAAAACATGTTTTCATAGATGCAGCTGTGTGTAAGAAGAAGAAGTTTGTATTGAATTCTGCTTGATACAGGAAGCCAGTGAAGAGTTTGGAGGATAGGTGTCACAGTTTGGTAGCGTGGTGCACGGGCAACAACACGGGCGGCTGAATTCTGAATCCGTTGAAGTTGTGAAAGGAGCTGTTGAGGAATGTTGTAATAGAGGGGAGTTGCAGTAATCAAGTTTAGAGAGAACAAGGCTGGTCGTTAGAAGCTGGGCGGTGTTGAAGTCTAAGAGGGTTCGGATCTTGCTAATATTGAAGATATGGTAGAAGCATCCTTTGCTGAGTGATTTGATTTGCTTCATGTTAATAAGGATGAATAAAAGTGATGTAGGATAATTTTTGAATACCGGTAACCTCTAATAATTTGGCCACGTTTCAAATTGCGATCATTCTTCTCATGGTGCTACATGTTTTAATGACCAGTAACAGTTATTATTCTACATTCGGTTCCACAAGGTTTGTGGGATGGGACATGATGGGGTAGCCTAATGTTTGAAGTGTACGCTCCTCACGGCAAAGACCAGGGTTCGATTCCACATGGTGCAATGTCTGAAGCCCATTTCTGGTACTGTGAAACTGGTATTAGTGCAGACTACCACAAGATTATCAGATTATGGCTAATATCACTGTGGAAAACAAGTCACTTACATTCTCTGTATGCATGTGTGGTAGCCTAGTGGTTAAAGCGTTCGCTCGTCACACTGAAGACCCCGGGTTCGATTCCCCACATGGGTGCAATGGGTGAAGCCTGTTTCTGGTGTCCCCCGCCGTGATGTTGTGGAATGTTGCTAAAAGCGGTTTAAAACCCTACTCAGTCTCTCACTCCATAAGGTGATCTAAGTGGTATGACAGACATAAGCTTATGTTAAAATATGATACGATAGTTATTCTGGTAGTGAACAAAAGTGTTTGAGAGACAACGATTGTAAGAACATTGAGTGGAATAGGCCATGGATTTATATTCCCGGAGAGCTAAAGGTCGCGGGTTCGATCCCCGACCGCATCATACCAAAAGACGTTAAAAAATATGGTACTTGTTGTTCCCTGCCTGGCGCTCGGCATTAATGGGTACAACAAGGACTGGTCGGCTCGGAGTCAGTATAATGTGTCTGAGTGGGGTATTCATGCTTCACTGCAGTATGGTATCTCAGTGGGCTAGCACTATAAAACCAGGTTCAGTCTGGGCTAGTACAAGCAGCCGCACATACACATACACACGCATGCACGTCGTCATATGAGCGAAATATTCTCAAGCACGACGTTAAACCCAATTTCACCTCACCTCACCTCATGTAGTGATCATAAAGCCATGACAGACCTACATCTGTAATGTTATGACTTTGCATTGTTGTGAAAAATGGTCTTGTGTAGATATTAACCTTTTGGAGATTCCAGACCCAAATAGGTCTTATAAACGCATCTATATGTTTTTCCTTGTATCTTGTAGGCTCCTGGTATCAAGTGACAATAGGTGGTTGTAGTGTGTGGTACCCATGGTATGCTATGATAGTATTGTAGGCTCCTGGTATCAAGTGACAATAGGTGGTTGTAGTGTGTGGTACCCATGGTATGCTATGATAGTATTGTAGGCTCCTGGTATCAAGTGACAATAGGTGGTTGTAGTGTGTGGTACCCATGGTATGCTATGATAGTATTGTAGGCTCCTGGTATCAAGTGACAATAGGTGGTTGTAGTGTGTGGTACCCATGGTTATAGTTATGACAGTATTGATTACTCATAAGCAACCTCTATTGTTCACTAGTGGTACCCACGATTCTATTATCATAGGTGTGACACAATTGTTCCACGGTTAAAGTGTTTGCTCATCATTCGAAGTCCTTGGTTGTAACACCTCTATTGTTCACTAGTGTGTGACACTTCATTTTGTCCACACAATAGCGTGTGACATCACTGTTGTTCACTAGTGTGTGACACCTCTATTGTTCCACTAGTGTGTGACACTTCTTTGTTCCACTAGTGTGTGACACAATTGTTCCACTAGTGTGTAACACCTCTATCGTTCACTAGTGTGTGATACTACTGTTGTTCCACTAGTGTGTAACACAATTGTTCCACTAGTGTGTAACAACTCTATTGTTCACTAGTGTGTGACACTCCTATTGTTCCACTAGTGTGTAACACAATTGTTTCACTAATGTGTAACACCTCTATTGTTCACTAGTGTGTGACACTTCTATTGTTCCACTAGTGTGTAACAATTCTATTGTTCACTAGTGTGTGACACTTCTATTGTTCCACTAGTGTGTAACACAATTGTTCCACTAGTGTGTAACACCTCTATTGTTCACTAGTGTGTGACACTTCTATTGTTCCACTAGTGTGTGACACAATTGTTCCACTAGTGTGTGACACTTCTATTGTTCCACTAGTGTGTAACACCTCTATCGTTCACTAGTGTGTGATACTACTATTGTTCCACTAGTGTGTAACACAATTGTTCCACTAGTGTGTAACACCTCTATCGTTCACTAGTGTGTGATACTACTATTGTTCCACTAGTGTGACACAATTGTTCCACTAGTGTGTAACACCTCTATCGTTCACTAGTGTGTGACACTTCTATTAATCCACTAGTGTGTGACACAATTGTTCCACTAGTGTGTAATACCTGTATCGTACACTAGTGTGTGACACTTCTATTGTTCCACTAGTGTGTAACACAATTGTTCCACTAGTGTGTAACAACTCTATTGTTCACTAGTGTGTGACACTTCTATTGTTCCACTAGTGTGTGACACAATTGTTTCACTAGTGTGTAACACCTCTATTGTTCACTAGTGTGTGACACTTCTATTGTTCCACTAGTGTGTGACACAATTGTTTCACAAGTGTGTGACACAATTGTTTCACTAGTGTGTGACACTTCTATTGTTCCAAAAGTGTGTGATATATCTCTTGTTCACTAGTGTGTGGCACTTCTATTGTTCCACTAGTGTGTGACACAATTGTTCCACTAGTGTGTAACAACTCTATTGTTCAATGAGTGTTTGACTCCCCTATTATTCTACTTGTATACAGGTAAAGTAACCATGATGGATGTTTATGGGATAAGGTATCTATTGTTTTAACTTTGGGCATCCAAAGCAAATTACAGTTGTTTCAGTTTGAAATATCTTTGAGTGCATGTGTACAGTATACTTGGTTCTTGGTTTAATGTGGGATCGGGTGGTCAGGCTCGCTGACTTGGTTAACACATGTCATTAGTTCCCAGTTGCACAGATCGATGCTCATGCTGTTAATCACTGCATTGTCTGGTCCAAACTCAATTATTTACTGACCGCCACCATATAACTGGAATATTGCTGAGTACGGCGTAAAACTAAACTCACTCACTCACTCACTCTTGGTTTAATGGCTTGTCATGGACCCCTGTTATGGTGCGGAACTATTGGTTGTGTGATACAGCTGTGATATGATATCCTAGTTGTGTCCCAGTCCACCCAGTTGTGAATGGTACCTTGTAAGGATGGGAAATCCGCAATATCTTGGTGCGCCTAGTGGCTGCAAGAGATATGTTCCCCAGGGAGTTGAAATTGAAAATACCATGTGCTGTTGAGATTGACGTCCAATGATCGAGGGGGGAAACCCAAGCGCTTTGAACATGTAAAAGTTAGTGGATATGTAAGCTATATATAAATAGCCTAACAATAATTTTGTGACAGCTATGGATCTTTTGAGGATTTTGTACAGCCATAGATGTCTTTGAGGAATGTATATGTTCTATCCTGTATTGTCCATATATTTAGCCCATTCTGTCGTATCATAGGTCTGGTATCATGTCATCTCCTAGATTCCTGATATCACTCGGTTCCCCAAGCTATAGGGCATTCACAGATCAAATATGACATAATGGTCTTAATTCCTGATAATATTTAGTCCTTGAATAGAGTGTATCCTTAGGTCTGGTATCAGGATATCCTTGATTTCTGATATCAGTAACTCCCTGAATAGTGATTATGATATCCTAGTTCTGATATCATGTGGTGTATGTGGTTCATGATATCATGTGTTATGCATAGCGGAAGGCTTTCTGGGTATCCTAGTTCTGGGTATCGAGGAGGTGAGGTTCTTGATATAATCCTGATATCATGGGACCCCGGTTCCTCACCACATGGGTACAGTGTGTGAAGCATTTCAGTTGCTGTGATGTTGGTGGAATATTGCCTTAAAACCAAACTCAGTCAGTCAGTCAGTCTTGATATAATCCTGATATCATGGGATATCCTTGCTTGGCTCAGTTCTTCCTTGCTATCTTAATGATCTTGAGTTAAAGCTCGTTACTGTTGCAGACATCCAACCAGGCACCTGACTATGAAATATTGAATGTAAACAGTTCATCAGGATGTTGACGTATATTTTTATTATCTTTATTATATTATATTTTTACCTGCTTCTGCTCACATACTAACCACAGGCAATAGCTGCATAGCGTTCTCTCTCCAGTTATGCATATACTACTCAAAACAATAGACACACTTTGTAGAAAGTGGTCAGATGTAACATATGTTATACATGGGATTACACTTTCTCAGTAAAGCACAGATTCTAGTACTTTTCCTGGGTTGAGTCCATCCGGGATTCGAACCCACACCCTCAGAGTCAGGCACAGCTTGCCAGCCCACTTGGCCACCACAGTTTCCACAAAAATGGAAGTCTGACAACTGGTAGTTTGGAATCTAGAATCATTTTGTTGCCGATGAAATATAATCCTAAATATAACATATGTTACTCAAAATAAGTTAAGGATCATTGTATTCATTCATATTTCTATAGTTAATCTATGATGGCAGTAGGTTAACTGTAGAAATCTGGTGATCCTTAATTTCTTTGAGTAGTATATTTCTGTCTTTGTTTCTGAATAAACATTATGACTTGATCTGTATTTTGATAAGTAGAATTTGCAGTCTGTGCATGCATACATAGTTGTTAGAGAAGGTGATTTAAAGAGAAGAATATAATTTTTGCTCATTTTCTTGTGATTTTGGTATTATTGGGAGATCTACTGATGACATACAAATTTGGACAATACGACCACAGAGAAACAGTTTTAGCTAGAAGAGATCTGACATAACTCAACTACCAATGAATAATGCTGAGTTTGCGTATATGTATGCACTTAATGACCTGCACTGCACTAAGCTTCGTGTTTTAATCCTTATGTTACCATGGTTACTGTGATAAATACTGATAATAAGCAATAGCTTAAGTAAACCTATTTCCTCGTTTTAGTACTGAAATAAATATGGATCACTGTTAACCAGATTCCCATTCCACAAAACGATATTAGCACCACGACTATTGTAAGTCTATGTTCAATTTATGGGAGTTACAATCATCTTGGTGCTTGGATCGCTTTGTGGGAATGAAACCTCGTACCAAATACAGGTTGGAGTTACTGGGTTTTCATGTAACTCAGCATCTTTGATAAAACCTGAATTTTGAAGTTCATGGTCAACATCTTGATCCATAAAAGGGGAAATTGAGGAAACATGGTTGTAGGAAATATGTGTTGTTTTATTCATTTTAGATGTTGTTCTTCCATTTTAGATGTGTTTTATCTTTCATTAATTTTAACAATTTCTGAAGAATTGTTTCACATGTTTTAAATTTCACTTTTGAAAACTTTATATTTTTGTAATTGTATCATATAAGACATGTCATACATGCTATTTTAGGATGTTTTGATAAATCTGTCAACACTTGTTTTTTTCAATGAATGACAAAATGTTTTTTGTTTTATTAGGCTGCAGCACAGAATGGTGGACAAAATGGCCGTGTTACCAAGAGTAATGGAAAAGACAAAGATGGTAGTTCTGCCTGTGTGATGCAATAATGGAAGATGGAAGATGGTGGGAAAGATGATGGGAAATAGAATGATTGACAAACTTACTACTGTGATATAATGTTGTTATTCATGACCTTAAAGTAACAACATTGTTGTTTTTGGTATATGTGATACAATGTAGACATGATTGTGCAATGTGTGATACAGTTTTTATCACACATTCATAACATGTCATATCATATTTCAGTATGATGCACTGTTAGAATATATTGAAATATGGTTGTAAATATTGATGCAATCTTTTGCATGTTGTGACAGTGTCATGCACTATTGTAATACACATGCATCTTTCCTTTCTGTTACATTTGCATCATGTAATGGATGCATCACTGAAAGTGAAACGTGTGCTTCAATCTTGAACTTTGCAATACATGGTTAACTGTACATATATTTCACAAGGACACAATATTTCATGCACTGTGTTGCTGTCTAACGCAAGCTGTAGAAATACTTTACCTTATCAACCAAGGTGTGTAACATGCAATACTATGTTTACTCAGACTTCATGTTTGTGAGTGTCTTTTCGTGTGAAGTATCAGAACCAAAATGTTCGATGTGAACAGTAAGATGTTTCTGATGGATGTTTTAGATTATTGACCAAATCCTGGTCCCAACGTTAGCCCAAATCCAAATTCAACCTAAAGTAATCCAAACAACAATCCTAGTCCCTATGTGTCCTAAACCCAGTGTCAACCCTTACCACTATTCAAATGCCAGCCTCAACCCAAATCTTGACAATAACCCCAATCTAACCCCAAACCAAACCCAAGTCTAACGCCAGCCTCAATCCAGTCTCAATCCTAATGCAAGTGCCAAGCCAAACCCAAACCCAAATCCTAACCCAACCCCAACCACAACCACACCCTGTACCCAACCCCAACCTCAACCCCAATCCCAACCCTATCCTCAATCCCAATCCTATCCTCAATCCCAATCCCAACCCCAACCCCAACCCTAGCCTCAATGCCAACACCAACTGAAATTGAAATCCAGCCAAGCAGGACTGAATGTTGTATAATATTTCAGAGTGTTTGTGCAAAGTTACCTCTCGCTGTAGTAAAGATATTCATGTTTTTGTTACCTGTATGAACTGTGCTGAAAATACAATTATCCTCTTAAACAATTCAGAGTCTTCATCAGGAACAAATGCATATTTTGCTATATTAGCAATGACATGTTTTACAGTTACCCTACAGATTATTCTGCTGATATTGGCTGTTTATTCACTGCTGTTGAGGTGCCTTGTCTTTGCATTTATTTTTTTTAACTCAACAGATATGATGTCTATGTGCAAAAGCAGATATAATATATTGATAAAATAGCACTTGAATTCCAAGCTCTGAAGATAATACAACAATTGTCATTCAAACATCAAACATAATTTATTGCATCTAAAGTGAAACATTTAAAATGCAGTGTTTTTATAGCTCTAGCATAATTTGTGTCTTTATTTATGATACTGTTGTTTACTTAATGATATTTCTCTAAGAGGCATATTTACTTGATATTACTCTGAAAGGCCTGCAATAACATGGTTGTCTTGTTTACCTCTCTCGGTTTTAACAGCTTGCTGTAACAAATAGGTTTCTCATGCTTTATGAAGACGAAGAGTGTTGCATCTTGCTTCAGAGGCATCGAATAATGTTGTTTTTTGCATTTGTGAAAGATGAATATTTCTTTTTGAGTGAGACTTCTTGACTATAACAAATATAAACCACTTACCTGTCAGAGGACTAGTATTGTTGGGATTTGTTTACTCTTTGAGAAAAAAGCAATAGCAAATATTATTGTACCTTTACTCAGTTTGGAAATATATTTCTTTTATACCTGTACATACAGGAGTGAATTTGACTCTGTATTTGATCAAATATCCGTCCTCGATATTTATATTTCATTTATTTTGTATGTATACCTCACTCTAAATGTAGTGTTTATGGAATCAAAAACATATTTGTCATTTTTTTCTTCCGATTTATGCACACCTTCAGTGTAACTTTACATTTGTGTTACTTTATTGGGATGTTTACGAAAACCTTTGTTTATTTCTTGTGGAGATCCTGGTTAGAATAGGTCTCAATCAACCCATGCTTGTTTTACAAGACGAGTAATGGGATCAGGTTTTATGACTTGGTTAATGTTTTATCATCAAATAACAAGGAGTAGATCAATGCTTGTGACTCAATTGTTTACAGACAACCGTCATATAGCTGAATATAGCTGTGCATGGGGTTTAACAACAAATACACACCCATGTATACACCAATGTTACCAGCCCAAAATGGATTAACCAGACCAAATATGGTGAATTTACTCAGATGTATGGAACATTAAAATGTTTACCAGACCATCGGGCTGGCTAGCTGTAAATTTAGACCGTCTGTCAGAAATCTAGACCGTCTCGGTCGGGAACCTTATTTCATACACTGTATACACCTGTCAAAGCATTACGAGAAACCAGGGTATCAAACTCCCAAAAGTTTTAGCCAGACCAGAGGGCGTGGTTAGATGTAGAACTTGCCAGCCCTGACCAAAATTTACCTGCCCACAAGATATCTTCATATACATGTCTAAATTTTAACCCGACCATTGGGCAGGTGAATTTGAGAATCTGGCAGTCTGTGTTGAAAATAACCCGTCCTGGGTGGTCGGGCAGCAGGTATTTCGAACACTGGATAAACCCATGCTTGTTGTACAGGTGACTAACAGGTTCAGACTTTGGTTGATGTTTTGTCATCGAATACCAATGAGTAGATAGATGTTTGTGACTTGATTGTTCACAGACCACTGTCATGGCTGCAATATTGCTGTACAGTGTTTAACAACAAATACACACCCACAGCCTGGTGATAAACTGTGTTGTAGTGGGATTAATAACAAAACCTTGTATTGTTTATAGGACAAAGTTGTACGAAACATGCTGGAAATGTTTCAATTTTGAATCTGCATTTATATTTAATGATATTGACCTCACCCCTCCTTATTGATTCGGAACAATTGGAATACATATCTCATGTTTATTTTGGTTTTTTGACATCCGTGCTATTGATGTACTGATAAATATTTGTATATTATTACAAGTCAAAATGGTTGTCCCAATCCCTCACCCTAGTCAAAATAAATGACAACCTGTATTAATTATTATACATATCATTATATGTATGAAATATTTCTGATACTTTTGACCCCGAATTTTTTCAGGTGAAAATATCCTGCTTGCATAATTTGACTGCTGAAAATATTTTCTAAAATCTTATGCAAAACAAATTCAATATTATTCTTATCATTATTATTTTTTATTATTATTACAGGATGTCCATTATCCATCAGTATATGATAATCACATGTTTATATGTGTATAACCCACAGACAGTGAGACACTACTGACTGGCCTGCCACAGTAGACAGGAAAGTATTTAAGCTTTAACTTTTTCTTCCGAAACAAAGATAAAATACAGTCATAGGTATAATTTTAACACTTCGGTTTACAAATTTTAATCTTATTATTTGAGATATGTATTTATTTATTCATTGTATTAACTTCACATATTTTTGTGATATTTTCTATATTGATTACATGATTGTTTTCTCTGTTACTCAAAGTTCATATCCATAGCTGAAAATTTGCTGATTTGACATAAACATATACTCACTCAAAGACAACTTGTTTCTGGTAGATAGTACAATCTGTACAAATGCGTCTTGCTGTCACGAAGCAACAAATATGTAAAAAGCTATTGTTATTCTTATCAGTTTTCAGCCAAGGTTGTATTAACAATCTTTGTACATAAAAATGAAACTGGTATTGGAAGATGACAGGAAACTTGAAAACCTATTTTCACCACTATGTTTCCGTATTTTGTAAATATGCTGACAAGGTGTTTTTTTGTTGTTTCATTAATGAACCAAATATGTGGTATATTCTTTCATTTAATACAATACAAATATTTCAGATTATTTTTTTCCGTCCCGTCACGGGAATTAAAACTGCTGTAATAAAGAAAATCCGATGCAAAAATCGTTATGTGAAGGGAGTTAACTCTTGTTAGGCAAAAATGCCTTGTTTTGTTTCAGAATATATTTCCCACACTTATCATGTTTCATGGTCTGAGCACAATATACTGGTAGTTTGTTAGTGTGGATGTTACGCTGTTGGTTAACACGTGTTTCAACTCAATCAGATCATTTCCGTCCATGTAATATATGTGTGCTTTACCTTCTATAATATTGATGGTCAAACTGACTGACTGACTGACTGAGTTTGTTTTTACGCCGCTTTTAGCAATATTCTAGCAACATCACGGCAGGGGGACACCAGAAATGGGCTTCACACATTGTACCCATGTGGGGTTTCGAACCCGGGTCTTCGGCGTGACGAGACAACGCTTTAACCACTAGGCTACTAACCCACCGTTTAGTTTTACGCCGCACTCAGCAATATTCCAGCTATATGGTGGCAGTCTGTAAATAATCGAGTCTGGACCAGACAATCCAGTGATCAACCGCATGAACACCATGTAAAACATTGGTAGTAGGAAGGCGTTTCCTATTCTTGCGGTACTTACGGATATCGGCTGAAAAAAATAACGCAAACAATTCTTATCGTATGAATGCTTGTTGTTTGTAGATGAAGGGCCTTTTCCTCTATCATCTACATCTATCAGCTGCCAGATCCATCAGGTGAATTACCACGCGTGAGCCCGGTGATAAACAATGCCATCTGCCACTGAAGAAACGAGGCTTCTCCCATTCTCGCGGTATTACCAGGAATTAACGTTATTGAGTGTATGTAAGAGCAATCTTGTGGAAGGGGCCGGAGAAAGTAATGATATGTCCAAGTTGGTATAAACTCCCCAATATTCGCGACACTGCAAGATTTTGATCACTCACAGACTTGGGCCACTTCCTAGTTACCAGTCGTTGATGTAAACAACTGCTAAGTGTCGCGCATCGGCGATTTCGACAGAAAACGTGTTTACCGCGAGAATAGGAAACCCGCAAGAATAGGAGACGGACCTATACTGAATACATATCTTCCTCGGTTATAAACCTGATACCCTTCAATGAACCTGGAATACTATGTCAAACACTGTACATACTCATTATGGCATTGCAGCACTTTTGACCATCAATATTGCTCTCAAGGGCTGGGACGAGTCAAATCCCCCATTTCTGCCTGATTACCAAATTCCCCATTTCTACCTGATTACCAAATCTCCCATTTCTACCTGATTAACAATTCTCCCATTTCTACCTGATTACCAAATCCCACATTACTACCTGATTAACAATTCACCAATTTCTACCTGATTACCAAATCCCCTATAACCCATCCTACCTCAATACCTGCTTCAGGTGTCAAAAATTATATACCAATGTCTATTCGAGAAAGTGCTGACAAAAACCGTAAAGAAACGTGAATATAACGATTTGATCTTGCCTACACTGAAGCTTAGTCTTTACCCAGTTATATATTTACTCAAGTCAGAGGAACGTGCACATAAGGAAAAACAAATGACCATTATACCATGTGACTTGTCCTACTCACGGTTAGTTCGATCCAAGTACCTCAGTGACCCGTCCCAACCCAACTGTACGCCCTGTTCTGTTTGTGCAATACATCACGTTTGTCGTCCACCACCTAATGCCAGTGTGCTGCTGTCAACCCAGTGTGTGAAGTCATACAGGTTATTTCCATATTGCAATACAGTGAAACCAGTTTGCCGTGTGATCCGTCAATGATGACCCTCTCGACTGTTGACTTGCTACGTACCTCGGACATTAGACTAAAGTGAAAAAATGTTATCTTATTTTAAACAAATATATCTACAAAATAAACAATATTATCCAAATGGACCAATGCTAAATTTCAGACAATCTAAACTTGCCAAATCATTTCAGACTTTAATATATTTAAGCTAACTCAAACATGAATGTAAAATCATTGTGACTTGTACTATAATCAGAAATTTGAAACTTTTCATTTATCTTTTCATATGTATTATTGCAATATTATTTGTATTGAAGATGTTGCTGTCTCTTTCCAAAAGTTGAAGTTTAAATTTTAAATTAAATTTTAGTTTAAAAATATTTGGTTCATAAAAATCATGCAGTGCGAGTTAGTTCAGGGAACGTTGTTACCTTTCCATCTGCAGATGACTGAAAGCTGTGATGTATTTTCACATTTTTAGATGGTGGCATAATTTAACAGAACAAAATAAAAATTTAATTTACTTATGCAAGCATTTTTCAAAGTACTTTTCTGCATGAACTACTGTCTGGAGAGGGTCAGCTCGGTAAATACTTATGCTGTTAAATCTGTGATACATGTACATTATAATATAGAAACTGGTTTCTGCTTACTGGAATGAATCTGGTAATAAATTCTTTTTCTTCTGTTGATTTTGTTTAGTGTTATGATTATGATGTACCGTATTTCCGCTAATGAGCACAGAGGGTAAAGCAGCTCACTAACAATTACAGTAATTAGACCAAGAAAGCGCAAAAGTGCCAGGCTCTAAAAAGTGCCGGGTCTGGTAGTCCGTTGAAAAAATAAGCCCTGTGCGCTTATTAGAGGAAATACGGTATACAGATTCTTGACATATGAGTGAAAGTTGTGGGATGTGATATGTACAGGTGTAGATAGTGACAAGCAACATGATGAAACAGCAAGTGCTGTATATAAATGTCTTTGTGAGCCAAACCAGACCACCATGAACAGAACTAAAAAGTGTCATTTAGAAAAAGCATCATCTGTTAGTATTGTTTTGTGTGTTGAACAGCACCGTAATCAGCAGTATCCCAGCTGTTGGACCACACAAACCAGTAGATTGATCAGAGCTGTTAGGAATGATGACAGCAAAACTTACCTTTACGATAAGACTGACTGAGTTTGGTTTTACGCCGCTTTTAGCAATATTCCAGCAATATCACGGCGGGGGACACCAGAAATGGGCTTCACACATTGTACCCATGTGGGGATTCGAACCCGGGTCTTTGGCGTGATGAGACAACGCTTTAACCACTAGGCTACCCCACCGCCCCTTTACGATAATATAAGCATGGATTGCTGAAGATCAATTCTTACTTTCATTGGTGTTAAGGGCAATGACATTTTTTAAACACAAAGCCATGGTATTTGACACCATTGCTTTGATCATATGTGTGAAATTAGTTTCATGGAAACAAGAAACATATCACAAGTTTAAAACATGGGCATACTGAGGGCAACAGAAGCATCGATAAACTTTTGTCCCAAAGGGGTGAAGCTGTATTTCAACAATCTCTACTTGACTGCATTGTGGGAGTAGCACCTCCCACGTGCTCAGAGTATTGGTGTTCCTTCTGTTTCTGTTTGTAGCACACAACAGCCAATGTTTCCAGCTGCATGATTGTGGTCAGCAAATAATTGAGTTTGGACCACACAATCCAGTGATTGACATCATGAGCCTTGACCTACACAATCAGGATATGATGACACGAGTCGACCAAGTCAGTGAGTCTTACCACCTGATGTTAGTTGGCTGACTTAACAAGCATGAGCAGTAGACCAATTCTAGCACAGATCTTCACAGGGTAGCGCGCTCCTTCATAGTCTTTGTGGAAGTTGGTTGGTTTGTTGTTCAACACCGCACTCAGCAATATTCCAGCTATATGACGGCAGTCTGTAAATAATCGAGTCTGGACGAGACAATTCAGTGATCAACAGCATGAGCATTGATCTATGCATTTGGGATATGATGACGTGTCAACCCAAGTCAGCGAGCCTGACTACCCGATGTAGGTCGCCTTTTATGACAAGCATGGGTTACTGAAGACCAATTCTAACCCGGATCTTCACGGGTTCTTTGTGGAAGTGAGCCATATTGACCATGCAGTTCTTCCCATGTTATCCCCTTGAAAAACTTCCAGGAATAATAAGTAATTGGTCACAAAAAGGAACAGTAACTTAATTTGTGTAGCTTGGTGCAAACACACGACAAAACAATACACTCACAACAGTTTGAAGTTATTTATTATATTTAAATATTTTACAACAAATTTAACAATGGTCTACAGTCTGATGCATGATTGTTCTAACATGTGTCTGATACATGTGAAAAGCAGGGTATATGCTGAACAGGGACGGTAACAGTCTGCACGACCTGTTGAAGAGACTGAATAGTGTATTAAGAGCCGTTTAAACTAATTTCCATAAGGTTCTTCTCTTAATCTAGGCCAGACAAAGTAACTTTAATTTTTTCTTGTTTTAGAACCAAATTGAAATTTGTGAAAAGTTAAAAAAAAAACAAAAAAAACCAATGAACCTTTTTCAAAATCTGTGTTAACATATGTACTATCTGAAAACATTAAAGAAAATATTTAACTAACATCAAACAATAATTTCTGGAAAACAAACAAAATTTTCAGGTTAGATATTTTACATTAACCTGTTTCTTTTACATTTACCCAAACAATTAAGCCCCTGGGCCAGCAAACTGTGAAAGCAACAAGAAAATATATCTGGCTGAAGTTTGTCAAGATGAGAAGATTAATGGGGTTTCCAAATTGAATACATTGGGGACATTAAAATCGGTTGAACATTATCCACCGATGGGTTGTTACTGTAGATGGAGAGAAACGTAAGAACTGGGACACTACATGAACAACAACAAAAAGATCTTTGTCCTGACGGAACTAGCCGGACCGGTCAGGGTTGTTGGAGAAGTGCCTTAGGCCTGGGAAGTCCTTTCTATACAAAGCAGGAAGTCATTAATGAGGTCTGAACAGCTATATCCCGTACAACACAAATAGACTTCCCCTTGGACTCCTAAGGATAAGCATAGAAACCCCTATCTCATTAAACGACCAATGGGCAATATATAAAAGAGGATACCTGTCCTAACTTGAGAACTAATTTATTCTGGCTTCAGGCAAAATCAGACATACATATTTCGGATATCTGGCTCGTATCTAGATTAAAGATGCAAAATTCCCACAGCAGAAAATATCCACTGGTTGCCATAAGGATGTAAGTGTGTATTTGGTAACAGTAGCAAAGTTTGAAAACAAGTGCATGTTGTTCATAGAAACTCAAAGCTCCAAAACTACATGGATCCTATGCCTACTGGAGTATGCAAGGCACAAGTGTTCATGATGGTTAAATATTTTAAGATAAAAAAAAACAAAAACACTCAATGGTCAATCTCTTATGATGGTCATGAAATATATCAAATACTTTCACACAGAATAAATGCAGCTGGTCAGTTCTGATCCTAGATTAGACTTGAACACAGGATTCTGACCGCATTCGTATCCTTTAAGTTAACAGCAGCTTTTCTATCTGCTGAGTTTGGTGCTTCCTCTAAATCATAGTGAGTGAGTGAATATGGTTTAACGTCTTTTTTAGCAATACTCCAGCAACATCACTGCTGGGAACACCAGAAATGGGCTTCATGCATCGTACCCATGTGGGGAATCAAACCTGGGTCTTCGGCATTACGAGCGAAAGCTTTAACCACTAGGCTACCCCACCAAACTCTTAATCATAGAAGAGTGCCTCGGTAGTGTAGTGGTTAGAGCGGAAGGTCGCGGGTTCGATCCCTGACTGCATCATACCAAGAGACGTTAAAATATGGTACTAGTTGGTCCCTGCCTGGTGCTCGGCATTAATGGGTACAACAAGGACTGGTCGGGTCGGTTCGGAGTCAGTATAATGTGTCTGAGTGGGGTATTCATGCTTCACTGCGGCATGGTATCTCAGTGAGCTAGCACTATAAAACCAGTTTAAGTCTGGGCTAATACAAGCAGCCGCGCATATGCATACACATACATACACATGCATGCACGTCGTCATATGAGCGAAATATTCTCCAGCACAACGTTAAACCCAAATTCACCGCCCCCTAAATCATAGAATCTTCCATCATGTCCATACCTGTTGGACCAAGCTACATCAAGGAAGGTGATTAATTCACAATGTTAGCAGTGAGTTGGTTTAAATGCCACAATGAACCATATTCAAGTTATATCATGGTGTGTGTCATCTGGGAGTAGAAAGCTGAAGAGTGAGTGAGTGAGTTTAGTTTTACGCCGCACTCAGCAATATTCCAGCTATATGGCGGCGGTCTGTAAATAATCGAGTCTGGACCAGACAATCCAGTGATCAACAGCATGAGCATCGATCTACGCAATTGGGAACCGATGACATGTGTGAGTAATGAGAGGATATTGATCATAACACTACATGCATGTAGAAACGGTATTGACAGTAAAGTGTGATCGGTGTCGGTAGAAAACGTACAAAATACGAAAATATACAACAATGAGTGGACGTACTTAAAACAAAGCATAGATGAACATCGCGTGAACGTGCCCGAGCTATATACAGGATATACAGTCACACGTCTACTGCTTGTTGTGCACAGTCAACCAGTGAGGACAGTCCCAGAACAAAACTGTTGATTACCATCATTCAACTACAGGTTAAAATACAAACAGGGCCAACTTGGAATATTTGATCGGTTTGGCATGTTTAGAAAGAGAAATAATGAACTGTCACATAATTTATCCTTGGAAAACCACAAATCTCCCCCAACATGCCTATGGCTCCTGATTCAGGCAGTGAGAAGCAAAACACAGATCTAGACAAACATTTGATAAAACAATGACAAATTTATTTTATTTATTTAAAGCCAAAAGATTGTGGTAAACATAAATGAAGTTATGAACATTATTTTTATTTTAAAGAAAAAGAAAACAAAATCCTCCGACTACAAATCAATTTTGAAAAATTGGTTATCAAAACTGTAATAATCTAAAGTACATTTCTCTATAAAATCATCTGTATTGTATAACATTACCTTTTCATTCTGGGACTATAGATTGGAATTTCATGATATACAAATATATACACCTTCCAGTTCCTCTAATGTGCCAACCATTATCATGATAATGATTATGATAGCAGATCGTTCAACCCTTCCTTTGGTAACACTAGGATTTTTATATCAAACAATGAGAATAAATATGGTCCCACTATCACGTTGATCCTAAAAACATGTAACCCCATAAATACAGCTTACACACATTATTGTGATTATCAAATTATGATATACACTCAATGACTATACACATGAATTTGGTTACCATGGCTACCCATTGATTAATAATATTTTCCTATGTTGAACAATCATTGACTACCATCAGCTGATAAGTGGCAATTACAAACTAATCTCAACTTTTTCCATTTGAATACAGACAATATGGGAAAACAAAAACAAAATTACATTATGAAAATCTCAGATCTTCAACATGTTCAACCCATTCAAGGGACAGGAATGTTATTAATATTCATGAGATTATTTCATGATCTTTCTTTCAATAGCTTCAACACTGAATAAACATTTTACTTAAATCTGACTTCGCAACTTATCATCTATTAAACTCTGAAATACAAAGAATGCAAAATCTTTGAGAATACAACTTCTATATAAACTATGTATCAATAGGGTAACATATATAATCTATCTTTGTATAATTCCGATTTCAAAACCTTTTTCCAGAAATAAGGCTTTAGGGACAGGTCATTAATTATAGGAGTGAGTGAGTGAGTTTGGTTTTACGACGCTTTTAGCAATATTCCAGCAATATCACGACAGGGGACACCAGAAATGGGCTTCACATATTGTACCCACGTGGGGAATCGAACCCGGTCTTCAGTGTGATGAGAGAACGCTTTAACAACTAGACTACCCCACCGCACATTAATTATAGGAAGTAGGTGGTAAGATGGGTCAGAAAGAGGACTGTATGTCATGGCTTACACATCCCCAAACCCCATTTAACATTTTTGTTCCGAAACTCCACAAAAACATTTCAAATAATTACAAGTTATTTGTTACAGGAACAAAATAGAGGTTAATCTCTCATGCTCCTGTGAAGTATGATATAGCTGTGATATTTTGCGCACACTTCGCCCATAATTTCACCCACCTTCCCTCATAATATGACCAGTCCCTGACATTTATGGCATGGTAACCCTCATTTCATGACATACAACCTTAATAACATCAATGTTATTCAACAAAACTGTACAGTTACAGAGTCTGATTTGGAAAGTGATTCATATGTAAGTTCTACATAAAAAACAGACAAGCAGAGAAATGGATCACATTTTGTTATGAGTTGACCTAACCTAATCATTCATCTGAACATAACAGGTAGGAGTGTATCGAAATAGTGTACACTAAACGATACCTTCTACTGATATTCTTGAGTTTAAGTTCTTAGCAATACAACTTCATTATATTCTAACCATGCCAGCTGCAATATGTCAAGGATAACATGACACAACTAAAGGTCATGTTAGTCAGTATACATGGTTTATAAAGAACAAAGAAGTTGTTTCATGATCTAATCAATGAACTAGTCGTGGTTATAATTCCACTGTTGGCCATGCCCTGTTACTGTGGCTGCCTGTGATGCACAGGATAATCTGGCCATGCCCATCTGTCATGTCGAGCTGCTGATGCTTGTAGAGTCAACTTGTGGCATATTTGCAAGGACGATGCCTGAGCAAGACCAAACCCATTTGTGTCTGCCTGCGACAAAGCTCAAGACATACCCACTTGTCCAGTTGCTTCTGATGGATTCACCTGGCCAAATCCACTTCAGTCTTCTACTTAGAGACCACACTATGTATGCGGCCACAGCTACTTGCTTTGGTTGTCAGCGACACTAGCTTGTCTATTGTAATTCCATGAGACAGACGGAAATGTGATGATCGTCCAGCCCAAAATGCACAAGACTGATTGGTCGAGTCATCAATGCACCAATCCAATTGGCTGACATGCACGAACACAATTGGTAAGCACTATTTGCATGAGGATCTTAAAGTCTTTGAAGAAGATAGTTGCTACTGCCGATATCTTCAAATCGATAATAGCGGCACATCGAAGAGATCACAGGCTCCCTCAGTGTCATCAAGGTTGAAGTAGTAATCCCGATCACTTGGTGGCGGACTCAGGCGGAGAAGGGGAGCAAATGCTGACAAACAAAAAACTACAGTAAGCATTGGGCAAATATTTGATAAATCATTCAGCTATGTTTTCAAACATAAAAGGTTGTGATTTTCTGTTACCTTGTGTTTGAATACAGAAACCCCTAAATCCGTCATTTTTTAACAAAGCGTTTGAAACAAGGAACTTATCTTGATGCATACTGTTGAACAAAGCAAAGCCAAATACCTATACATGTATTACAGTGAGTGAGTGAGTTTAGTTTTACGCCGCATTCAGCAATATTCCAGCTATATGGCGGTGACATGTATTACAGAGATACCATTGCATGTATACAAATTTTAAAGGATTTTACAGCTACTTGAATAGTAATTCAAGCAAGTGATATCCCAAATGACACCATGGACACAAATATCACAGTGTCCATTTTATATTTTAAAACAGGAAATACAGTGCAAGATCTGAGAAAGGACAAAAAGATATCATACCTTCTGAAGTAATGAGGTCATCAATGAAAGAGCCATCAACATCTGTAAAACATCAACAGAAATTGTAATTGTCAAGAAACACAGACTGTGTACATACACCAAATAATTTTAACACAGATGTTCATATTATAAGTGTATTTCAATTAAATCAAAGCAGTACTCAACGAGTTGTAGGTGAGATTGATGTTTATATCATTTTTAGCTCTCTGTGAGTGAGTGTTGTCAGATTAATTTTCTGCGCACGCAGAGAGAGTGAGCGATATGTTTTTCACAGCGACATTAGCCATAATCTGATAATCTTATCATAACAAATAAGGAGGCGGGATAAGATTCAAGATTATTATTACTACGAATTCACATACATGTGTGTGTGTTTGGCTATTTGTGGTAGTCTGTACCAATGCCAGTTTCACACTACTAGTTCAGGCTTCAGTATTAACATGGATACAATACTCAGACACACTATACTGACTTGGAGGCAGAGTATCAACAAGTACATCGATTGGCCTGATGTGACCCTATACTTTGGGGCAAACGCTATATGCACGAGACAACCGAGGTGGTGACATGATAGGCAGTAGAGTCTGGAAGAAACAAGCTCATCCATACCACCTGGACAAGGACATGCAATCGGCAAGGTTAAACATCACCATTGGCTGATCCACATATTGGTCGTCCCTGACAACGAACTTGAGGAAGTGGTGCCTATTCTGCATCAAGTCGTGAGAACATGTTTAACAAATCTGATGAAAGATCTGAGATGTCTCACCGTAGTCGCTCCGTGAGGGGTCAAAGAGCATATCAGATGGAAGAGAGTCAAGGCCACTTGGTGTTGTTGGGAAGCTGCTTGTGGAGGTAGATGTGGAAGCTGCGAATGAAGAACACATTTAATCATGTTACGATTATCTACTGAACAATAGTGTTGCTATTACTAATGTCAACAGTCTAAGGGCTCCACACATTTAATCATGTTACTATCACGATTATCTACTGAACAATAGTGTTGCTATTACTAATGTCAACAGTCTAAGGGCTCCACACATTTAATCATGTTACTATCACGATTATCTACTGAACAATAGTGTTGCTATTACTAATGTCAACAGTCTAAGGGCTCCACACATTTAATCATGTTACTATCAACGATTATCTACTGAACAATAGTGTTGCTATTACTAATGTCAACAGTCTAAGGGCTCCACACATTTAATCATGTTACTATCACGATTATCTACTAAACAATAGTGTTGCTATTACTAATGTCAACAATCTAAGGGCTCCACACATTTAATCATGCTACGATTATCTACTGAACAATAATGTTGCTATTACTAATGTCAACAGTCTAAGGGCTCCACACATTTAATCATGTTACGATTATCTACTGAACAATAGTGTTGCTATTACTAATGTCAACAGTCTAAGGGCTCCACACATTTAATCATGTTACTATCACGACATTATCTACTGAACAATAGTGTTGCTATTACTAATGTCAACAATCTAAGGGCTCCACACACATTTAATCATCACACATTATCTACTGAACAATAGTGTTGCTATTACTAATGTCAACAGTCTAAGGGCTCCACACATTTAATCATGTTACTATCACGATTATCTACTGAACAATAGTGTTGCTATTACTAATGTCAACAGTCTAAGGGCTCCACACATTTAATCATGTTACTATCACGATTATCTACTGAACAATAGTGTTGCTATTACTAATGTCAACAGTCTAAGAGCTCCACACATTTAATCATGTTACTATCACGATTATCTACTGAACAATAGTGTTGCTATTACTAATGTCAACAGTCTAAGAGCTCCACACATTTAATCATGTTACTATCACGATTATCTACTGAACAATAGTGTTGCTATTACTAATGTCAACAGTCTAAGAGCTCCACACATTTAATCATGTTACTATCACGATTATCTACTGAACAATAGTGTTGCTATTACTAATGTCAACAGTCTAAGAGCTCCACACATTTAATCATGTTACTATCACGATTATCTACTGAACAATAGTGTTGCTATTACTAATGTCAACAGTCTTAGGGCTGCACACATTTAATCATGTTACTATCACGATTATCTACTAAACAATAGTGTTGCTATTACTAATGTCAACAGTCTAAGAGCTCCACACATTTAATCATGTTACTATCATGATTATCTACTAAACAATAGTGTTGCTATTACTAATGTCAACAGTCTTAAGGGCTCCACACATATAATTAAAATCACAGTTACATATCTCCATAAATTACCACTATACACTTAGATGAGTGAGTTGGGTCTTTATATCAATTTGAACAATATTTTAAGGTATATATCACCTGACCAACTGTGGGAAGAAAGCTTAGAGTGAAGTGTGTCAGATGTTTGACACTTTCATGAATCAAATGAGTCATGATCAGCACGAAAGTAGGTTTCTAAACAACAAGGAACAGAATCTTGCAATGATTGCCAAGGGAGGCAACTCTGATACTCTGCACTTCTAAGAAGCCTGCCAAGAGTTGTAATCCTTGAACTTCTATGAAAATGAAGTGAATTGGAATCATGCCTGCCAATATCATAATAGGCCTTATTATATTAAAAAGACTTATCATGCACAAGAATCTGACATTGTCTTACCTTGTGGAATTTGCTCCTGTGAGTTTTTCCTTGGTGACGATCGTGTTGCCATTCTGGTAATGGGGGCTGTTGTCTCTAGACTGGCCTGCTGTGTCTGCTTTAGTGGCGACTTCACTGGAGACCGCTGAAAAATGGCAACAATCCCTCTATCATCCCACTCCATTCTTCCTCATTTCTAATTCAACACTTGGAAGCAACTGTACTCAACAAGGTTGCACCTATATGGAGGCAGTCTTTAACGGAACCAGTGTTTGATACCAACAAGATAACGAAGACATGCTCAAGCTCCTGCAAAACAACTTGTTAAACAGACAAAACCAGACTTATTTCTTTCATGGCCCAGTTCTAACAAAGAGTTGACAGCAAATCTTCATATCAACATTTCTTACTGTACGACTCACCTTTCCTTGTGACCTTTGACCTGTACGTCCCCTGTGTAGTAGGGTCCACGTTTTGATTGGATGGGTTTTCAGCAGAGTCATCTTTGGGTGGTGGCACTTGCACAACGACAGGACTTGTTGAATCAGCATCTTTGTTGACAAGTAGGACATTGATAGGACCTGCGTGGCTCTTTAGATGGATCTGGTAGTTCTTCTTATACCCTGGACCCTGGACCAATGAGAAGGGAAAGTCAAGATCTGCATCAACACATCTCATGCACAGTGCTCTGTTTTAACATGCATCCTCTCACTAACTTCTAGGCTAATCTGAAAGTAATCATTAGTAAGCACCCCCTCCCCTACCCCATCAATATTAAGCCTCAATATATATGCTATTCCTTGTTAGCTTCACAACAAGTTACCCCGATAAGATATCTATAAGCATGATAAGGAGATATGTAAAGTCATATTTAACATTATAATCAAAAGTAACTGTTTCATGTTTTAACTTACAATTTCTGGAATGGGAACTTCTAGCTGTGTTCCCGATGGTGCCTGGATGGCAAGAAGCGTGTCCCCCTTGAAACACTTACACGTGTCTTCATGTGTCACAAATGCCAATCTGAAAAACAAGAGGGGCATCAGTATTTAACTTCAAACAAAAGAGTGTATTTCATTTCTTTTGGTTAACTTGTTTAAATTTCAACATGAAAAAATATATGCAATTATAAATTTTGTAAATACACTGTCAGCAACTTCCACTGTCTTTAACAATGCACTGCATAAACTAAATAAAACTTAGCCAGAGAGTAAAGATATTCACTGTTCTTGATATTACAAGCATAAGGAAACAAACTTAGCAGAACCATGTATATACTGCTCAAAAGTTGGGAAAGAATGCCCTGTAGTGATTGAACTGGGTGTTCTTAACTTGTGTTTAGAGGTATACATCATCAGCATGGTTAGGATTAGTGATTTGTTATCAAACTAAATATTTGTCAGTTTCACATTAGCTCCTCTTTCGTATTATTTTCTTTGTACCTAGGAATTACTCACCTGGTATTTGTAACTTCGTCTGTGACATTCTTTATACTCTGCTGCACCCAAAGTTTGTGCTGGTCAAGTTCCCTCTCTTGACGTTCGAGGTCGTCAATATCATTCTGTAGTGTGACAAGTCTGTCTGAGATCTCCCTGGTGTTGCATCCTGGCCCAGCACCTCTGTAAATAGATGTATGACATGAGACAAATGTTAATGGTTGAGCAAGTACCATGTTAACTGATCTGTCAGCATGATCCGGGTAGCTAAAATATTACCAGTCAGAGATGTAACAGCCTACTGTCTCTTGTACCTAAGGCATGTGTGCTGTGGTGCTAATTAATTCAATTACCATAGGAAGCCTTGTAGCTAAGGCATGTGTGCTGTGGTGCCTGGGTCAATTCATGAACATGGGTTTCTAACATGGTAAGTGTGACTAAAGCATTCCATAAAATCTCCCAAGTGTGACGGTTATTGCCAGTCATAAATAATTGGGCCTCTTTGATCCCGCACAGAGCAGCTTCCTCATGCTCTAAAATGATTAAATATTACAAACCTTGTAATCTGCAAATCTATGTGTTAATTCAGCCTAACATTACTAAGATTGATCTGTGGTCAGACAAAACATAAAAAATCATCCTGAAACATTACTCACGCTGATTACCAAGGTGTTTAAATCATGAAACTGTTTAACTGTTTAAAGTGCAAGTTACTTGAAAATGAATTACAAATGTTTAGAATCTTATTTCTTTGAAACACTATCCTTATTCTGCCATTTCTGAACACATAAAATATATTCTACTAAGTAGGCAAGATCGGATGAACAACCATCATGTATGTACTGATGACAATTTAAATGAAGTCTGGTAAAGCCTTAACATTTGACATCTAAAACTCAATACCATGTATATGCCAGGGTAGAAACATTGTTCACGAAAAACATTTTTACTGCCAAATTTATGTTAGGTGAGTGAGCTTAGTATTACGCTACTTTTACTAGTTTTAGCAATATTCCAGCAATATCACAGAGGGGGGTCACCAGAAATAGGCCTCACACATTGTACTCGTGTGGGGAATCGAAACAGGGTCTTCAGAGTGATGAGCGAATACTTTAACCATTATCACATGATTATGCTACCCGTCGGTCCGCCAAATTTATGACTTACATAATCTTCTGATGTCTTTTTCGGACCCAATGGGGATCAAACCACTAACCTTGCACTCTACAGCCAGACCCCAACCACCACAACATGGAGGTGTTCAGTAAACATGGAACAGATAGACAGACTGAACAATGTTACCATTTTCCCACATGTTCCACATTTGTTTCAACAACTTACTTCCACTGAATGCTGTTCTTGGACTTCTTTTCAATTAGCCCGATGCCTTCCAAGACATTGGTGATGTCATATATCCTCCTCTTTTGACGTACAGCTAACTGATCTGCCGCCTGAAGATAGTAAGGGAATGTCTACACACAATACTTGGTGCAAGTTGACATACTAGGTAGCAGACTGTTACCATGGATACTGTTGTCAGTCATGAACATGAAAGTAAGCATGTCAAGATGACATCTGTGTGCAACAATAATCATGCAAATGTATGCCTTCAAACTGAAGTAACATAAATGATCATGCCAGTTCTGGCATTACAAAAAATATTTTTTTAACATACTAAATTTTCAAAACCAAGGCTTGCCAGTAATCATGTTATTAGCAAGTTGATAAACATTAACTAAGGTAGTATTTTAATTGCTTATCAGCAATAGGTCATGAAGATAACTTCTAAAGCTTACAATAAAATATCTGTGTATTAATATCCATGATATCACTATACTCAAATGAAAAACACAGAAATACTCATGACAGTGTTATTGCCTTATTATTTACACACAACGTTTCTGGACTAATACTTGCCCCTACATCAGGTGAATGAAGAGGCAAGTATTAGCCCAGAAATGTCGTGTGTAAATAATAAAGAAGTTGCACATCACATATCAAGTGTGTTGTATTACCCTACCAACTTCTAAATGTCTATCAAACACAAGTATTATTGCCTTCAGTCATGTCATTGTTAATTTCTGGCGCTCACTTATGACTACTGACATGTCTCTTCCCCCCAAAAACCCCAAACAAACAACAACAACAAAAACAACCCCAAAACAACCCAAACAAAAAAACAAACAACAAAAAAACACCAGACTGGTTGATTCAATGATTGACATGAACAATGATGAAAGCAATCAAGCATAATTTGGACCTTGGGGATTTTGTTTCAGAGTAGAACAGTATTTAGTGCAAATTATGATTTCTAGTTGTAACAGTCAGTATGGAAGTACATGTAGTCTACTCAAACACGGACAAGAAGATCAAAACAACACTATAATTTACTAGCCCTGCTGACAAACAGCAGATTTTCTCACTGCTATAAGTGCTACGACTAGTAAAAGTGGGAGGACATTAATGATCTCTAGTCAGTATGAATATGATTAACATGATTAAGCATTGCAAACAACTTGTGTGACATTTCATAACATTGTGATTGAAATCAAATGTATGAGGTAAGAATTGTAACGGTATAAGTACTTACTTATACCACAAAATGCTATAAACATAATCATAATAAGATATACATTATTATATATGATGAATATGATACTCTCTTCAAATTTAAATACAAATTTTGGTCACAACATTAAACATGTCAGATTGATTTGTTTATGGTGAATCAGGTAACAGAAACAAATGCCCTTGTCACTAGTGAACAGATGAATGTATTCTAATCATCCCTACCTCTGAATCCTACCATAGATCATGTAACTATCCATTACCTCTCCATCATGCTCAAATGTTAAAAATCTACTTATTTTCAACATGCTCAAAGATTGAATGGTTTGACTTCACAACATTAACAAATTGTCTTGGATACCTTTGCATTTAAACCACAATGTTCAAATCATTGCTCTAAAATAGTACACTGTACCTAAAGTGAGATGGCTACCATACAACAAACCTTGCTTATAACCAATGTTTTGGTGAAAATGACTTTTTCGGAAAATATGTAGCAACAAAATATATACTGATTGTGCTAATGAACCGCCACCAATATGCATTCAACCGCATTCAAAACGGTCCAAAATGAAAGCAACAGGTAGCAGGTGTTATCTATGATGCGTCTCCGGTTACCCCTTGACAGTGACAGGTGCACCACGTGATTGTATTTTGAGGTCAGTAGAGCGTGAACTTTTCAAAAAAGTGGAGCATCTTTATAAATAAATAATTATTAATCTTAGCCGTTCCTCAGTTGACGAATATGTTGCTCGTTTCCAAATTTAAAACCGATTATTGTTACATGCCAACAAAGCGTGACGATAAGGAATATCTAAATTTCCGAAAGAAAACAAACTTTTCGTTTTGAGTTTGGACGGAAACAATGCAGTCACTCGTGAGTTGACATCCGTCGATACAAAATTACAGGCAATCACTGAGTTTTGTTTCGGTTTTCATTCATGCTTTAACTTACGACTTTAAGATCCAATACTCCATCCTTTGCTTCTTGAAGAAGTGATACAAATTTAGTTGTTAGCAATCCTAAACTTTTCTCATGACGACTCGGAGTGTGGTCGGCCATCGTGCTTTCAAGCGTCGCATAGCATTATGGGAAATCTCATTCCACGATGAGATATTACGTTACATCCGGGCACTCATTACATGGCTGCCTCAATCAGCTGGTCCCCAGGGAAACAATAGTAGTTGGTAAATATTCATTTGATTTGGTAAAATAACTATCTGTTTGATGTACTGAAGTAACGATCAAATGCGCTATTATTCCAATATCCAGTGACACCAAAAGAGTGACATGACTTGCTGTGGATTCCCGTAAATCAGCTGTAGCGTGTGGCAACTGTCCCAGTGTAGACTTTGTGTACGTTGTAAAGATTCCCTGTGCTGAGTTGGAGGTACACGTATTCATCAATTGAATCTTTTCTTGGTGATGTTTCCGGCTGTTCACATATGCTAACTGGAATCCTGTGAGGAAATAAATGCTTTACCAATTACCGCGAATACTTTATCTGACAAAAAGCCCCAAAACAACACAAGAATACGTGGGTTATACCCATTGGGCCTAGACGAACATTATTTATTGAGGTTCAAACATTATTGCGGGCAGCGCGGATACCTTAGCCTAGATATACTTTTCAGTCAAAATAGTTAAGTTATTATCGTCAAACTGCCTACTTATCTGTTGTGTATTGTGCCCTTGAAACATAAAATAAAAGAAACAGGATAATTTATTCAATTATCAATATGTTCTTTTAAGTAATATTAACATCTAAGTTTATAATGCATGAATGTATATGAACTTAGATGTATTTTGATATTTTAGATGTAATATGATTGTATTTTGGGCCAGTGGCCTTTATACTGAATAAATATCACATTGACATGATCATTCACAATCCTATACTACACATTACTGTGACAACACATAAATACATTTGTCACATTCCTTCACATTATCACATATACATATAACTTTGACCCTCAAGAAGACAAAGTTGGTCCTTAGCAACAACTTAGCAGATATTTCTGTGCTTACCAATATTTTATTTTCAATTTAAGTTCTACCCTGTTGTAAAGAAATTGTTTGTAGCTGACTTTATGCTTCAGTAACATCAGATTGCCACTGCTGTTGTAAAATCTCACTGAATGAGTAAATCATCTTCAGTAAATACATAATGTATTTTGTTGATAAACTATTAATGGTGCCACTTTCCATCGCTATTTCCCTTATGCTAACTTGCAAATTCAAGCTGATGATGCTAACAGATAAATTCAAGCTGCAAATACGAGTGTCATGGATTCAGTTTCCTCTTAAATTATATAGATAAAATGTTGTACAGTCTATGAACCAGTAATAATAACTCTATAAATAGTTTTTATACATATATGAATGGTTGTTTTCATGTTCTTCAGTATTGTTCAGAAATTATGCTATTACAGTCCAAAGGATATATAATTGTCTAAAGCATTTCACTAATATCTATTTCATTTGTGCCATCTCTTTCAGAAAATATCCTGATTCATTACAAGAGGATGACATAAGAAAAAAATGGCAGATAGTTTCCTGAAGGGGCAACTTGTTAACAACTCTGAAAGCACTTTGAAACGTCTGTGGTCTCTCTATCGCAACTCAACTCTCAGCGATGTGCAGCTGGTTGTGGGTGGGGCCATTTTCTCCGCCCACAAGCTTATCCTCAGTATGTGCAGTGATGTGTTCAAAACCATGTTGACTGATTTCAAATGGCCCGAAGCATTCAAGGAGCAGATAACTCTAACTGAGGATCCTGAGTGTGTCGATGTGTTTGAGGACTTCCTGGAATACATGTACACTGGGCACATCCACCTTAGTAACCAAACAGTGCTGCCTGTAATTACACTCGCAGACAAGTACAATGTGAAGGATCTCTCGGAAACCTGCATCTCCTACATGTGTGATAATCTTGATGCCGTGGGCGATAACCTACAAGTAGTCTCATGGCTACAATATGCTCGATTATGCAACTACCGAACTTTAGAAGCTAAATGTATGCAGTACCTTGAATGGAACTTTCAGAAAGTTGTCCAAAGTAGAGACTTTCTATCAATGAATGGGTCCACCTTGTTTGAGTTTCTGTCCAGTTCTGAATTAGTGGTTCACAGTGAATACAGTCTCTTTCTTCATGTTAAACGATGGTTGTTAAACAATCAAGCTCACTGCAGAAAGTGTCCACATGCACGCAGGCTTATGGTGAAAAAAATGGCTGGGTGTATACGTTTCAATATGATGACCTCAGCCCAACTGGAACTTTTGTGTCAAGATACTTTTATCCATGCATATGCAGACATCTTTGAGGAAGGATTGATGCGGGCATTTCAGTATCACTCCGTACCAGCGGATGAATACTTTGCTAAACTCGATGAAAAAGAGGGAGTTGTCTCCAGCTCCTTGCCAGATAGTGACTCATCGGTTCCTGAGAAAGTCGCCACCTCATGTCAACCATCCAGCAGACCAAGGAACTACACATGTGAAGATTGGAGCTGCCAGTTCACCCTGGAGAACTTCTCCTGTCTGGACGACTTCACAACAAGAACATTTTTCTTCTCCACACCTGTGAGTAGCTCAGCTGCAGATGATCACGCATGTTGGGATTGGCAGGTGGATCTTTATCCCAAAGGTGTCCGTTTTCCCAAAGCCATCATGATCGGAATCCTGGAGAACTATGAGATTGACCAACACGAACATCACATCACACGACTTGGCGTCATGGCCAAGTCACTCCATGGTGAGATCCGCTAATGTGGAAGTGTCCATCCTAGCCATTGCTTCAGACATCAGTGGCTCAGAGTACATCAGGAATGTTGTGAAGAAGCAGTGTATTTTTGACTTTGATGGCTGTCTTCATAATCTAGACGATATTGTTCCCTTTAATGAACTGATGGCAGCAGGATCAGTGTATCTCACGGAAGAGGACTGCAACACGTTTAAAATTCTCATCATCATCAAGCCAGTTCGATGATGATGATCAACTGCATCTGCCCATGTTTGTATAATGAGCTGGAGGTGCTTTTCTAGAGTGCAGTGTGAACTTATTCATTTCTTCTCCCTGTTATCAGTAGGATTCAGCATTTTATTTTGTTATTGCTATAAAATGCACCGTATGTTTTCAATCACATACAGTGTTGTGAAAAATTGACAAGGTTTCAGCAATGTTCCTCTATATCTTCAGGGCAGTGGGGTAGTCTAGTGGTTAAAGCGTTTGCTTGTCATGCTGACTGACTGACTGACTGACTGAGTTTTGGATTTAGGCCGCTTTTAGCAATATTCCAGCAACATCATGGCGGGGACACCAGAAATGGGCTTCACACATTGTACCCATGTGGGGATTCGAACCCGGGTCTTCGGTGACGAGCCAACGCTTTAACCACTAGGCTACCCCACCGCCCCGCTTGTCATGCCAAAGGCCTGGATTCAATTCACCACACCACATGAGTACAATGTGTGAAGCCCATTTCTGGTGTCCCCACCATGATGATATTGCTGGAATATTGCTAAAAGCAAAGTAAAACTAAACTCACTCATCATATCTTCACACATGTTCCTACATGTCATGTCTCATCTGTAACCATGGTAACACCTGAAACTAATGCAAATAATAAACCACGTGATATTCTGTTACCATAGTGACCATGTATCGTTATTTCTATGATTACTAATAACATGTGAAAAGAACGTACATAAACTGAGTTTGAAAAGTAACAGGCTACAAACATATCAGTTTAATTCTCAGGCAATTCTTACCTGTTCTAATGATTTTGTCCGGAGTGCAGGATGAATCTTTTTCTTTTCAAAATATGTGGTGCTCAGATTTAAGAATTTACATTTTATGTCTCAGAAATGATCTTAAGTGTTTCTGACATGGTGGAAGTGTTGATAAGCAAGGCTTTATTTTTTTATGATTATTTTGCTGTATAAACAATGATAAAAGCTATCATTACATCAACATTATTAAAACTGTTACTAAAACGTTTTACCCCTTGAATTTTGTTAACAAATCGGAATGCTTTTGGACATTTTGTTCAATAATGCTACATTGTATTTAAATGTTTAAGGAGAGCAGAATGTTGTTCCATGTTTTAAAAAAACGGTTCATGTTCATTAGGGGAATATTCTTTTCACAGGCAACAATATTGAATATCCATTTCCAGAGGCCAAGATAAGATGCATTATCCGGGTAAAAACGCGATAGAAAATTTCCAATTACGCATTGAAAAATAATTGTTGCGTACCAATTACGCATTTAAAATGTTAGATACGCAAAAAGTTTAAAACAAATGCGTACGGAACATATTTATAAAAATCACTTGCGTAATGAAAAAGACATCGATTGCTATCAAGTTCTACCGTTAGTATAGGACTAGTGTTGTACTGTCAGTATAGGATGAGTGATTTTTTATGAAATCATTTCCATTATATTTAAGTTGGTTTTAATTAGGTATGACATAAGGCAATACATACCTGCTTAGTATACTTACTCAATGACATAATACTTAGGTGAGTAAAATGACTGAAATATGCACGTATCTGAAAGCAGTGGGTAACGGAAAATGAAATACCCACTCAATATTCATAATACCCACTCCAAAAAAATACAGTGGGTACAGTACCCACATGAGCTAAATCTTATCTGAGCTCTGTCATTTCACCTTGATATGATCTTGATGCTGTGGGTTATAACCTACAAGTAGTCTCATGGCTACAATATGCTCGATTATGCAACTACCGAACATTAGAAGCTAAAATGTATGCAGTACCTTGAATGGAACTTTCAGAAAGTTGTCCAAAGTAGAGACTTTCTATCAATGAATGGGTCCACCTTGTTTGAGTTTCTGTCCAGTTCTGAATTAGTGGTTCACAGTGAATATAGTCTCTTTCTTCATGTTAAACGATGGTTGTTAAACAATCAAGCTCACTGCAGAAAGTGTCCACATGCATGCAGGCTTATGGTGAAAAAAAATGTCTGGGTGTATCGTTTCAATATGATGACCTCAGCCCAACTGGAACTTTTGTGTCAAGATACTTTTATCCATGCATATGCAGACATCTTTGAGGAAGGATTGATGCGGGCATTTCAGTATCACTCCGTACCAGCGGATGAATACTTTGCTAAAACTCGATGAAAAGAGGGAGTTGTCTCCAGCTCCTTGCCAGATAGTGACTCATCGGTTCCTGAGAAAGTCAGCCACCTCATGTCAACCATCCAGCAGACCAAGGAACTGCCACATGTGAAGATTGGAGCTGCCAGTTCACCCTGGAGAACTTCTCCTGTCTGGACGACTTCACAACAAGAACATTTTTCTTCTCCACACCTGTGAGTAGCTCAGCTGCAGATGATCACGCATGTTGGGATTGGCAGGTGGATCTTTATCCCAAAGGTGTCCGTTTTCCCAAAGCCATCATGATCGGAATCCTGGAGAACTATGAGATTGACCAACACGAACATCACATCACACGACTTGGCGTCATGGCCAAGTCACTCCATGGTGAGATCCGCTAATGTGGAAGTGTCCATCCTAGCCATTGCTTCAGACATCAGTGGCTCAGAGTACATCAGGAATGTTGTGAAGAAGCAGTGTATTTTTGACTTTGATGGCTGTCTTCATAATCTAGACGATATTGTTCCCTTTAATGAACTGATGGCAGCAGGATCAGTGTATCTCACGGAAGAGGACTGCAACACGTTTAAAATTCTCATCATCATCAAGCCAGTTCGATGATGTTGATCAACTGCATCTGCCCATGTTTGTATAATGAGCTGGAGGTGCTTTTCTAGAGTGCAGTGTCAACTTATTCATTTCTTCTCCCTGTTATCAGTAGGATTCAGCATTTTATTTTGTTATTGCTATAAAATGAACCTTGTGTTTTCAATCACATACAGTGTTGTGAAAAATTGCCAAGGTTTCAGCAATGTTCCTCTATATCTTCAGGGCAGTGGGGTAGTCTAGTGGTTAAAGCGTTTGCTTGTCTGATGCTGACTGACTGACTGAGTTTTGGATTTAGGCGCTTTTAGCAATATTCCAGCAACATCATGGCGGGGGGACACCAGAAATGGGCTTCACACATTGTACCCATGTGGGGATTCGAACCCGGGTCTTCGGCATGACGAGCCAACGCTTTAACCACTAGGCTACCCCACCGGCCCGCTTGTCATGCCAAAGGCCTGGATTCAATTCACCACACCACATGAGTACAATGTGTGAAGCCCATTTCTGGTGTCCCCCCACGTGATATTGCTGGAGTATTGCTATTAGCGGTGTAAAACTAAACTCACTCATCATATCTTCACACATGTTCCTACATGTCATGTCTCATCTGTAACCATGGTAACACCTGAAACTAATGCAAATTATAAACCACGTGATATTCTGTTACCATAGTGACCATGTATCGTTATTTCTATGATTACTAATAACATGTGAAAAAACCGTACATAAACTGAGTTTGAAAAGTAACAGGCTACAAACATATCAGTTTAATTCTCAGGCAATTCTTACCTGTTCCAATGATTTTTCCGGAGTGCAGGATGAATCTTTTTCTTTTCAAAATATGTGGTGCTCAGATTTAAGAATTTACATTTTATGTTTCAGAAATGATCTTAAGTGTTTCTGACATGGTGGAAGTGTTGATAAGCAAGGCTTTATTTTTTTATGATTATTTTGCTGTATAAACAATGATAAAAGCTATCATTACATCAACATTATTAAAACTGTTACTAAAACGTTTTACCCCTTGAATTTTGTTAACAACTTGAATGCTTTTGGACATTTTGTTCAATAATGCTATTTAAATGTTTAAGGAGAGCAGAATGTTGTTCCATGTTTTAAAAAAACGGTTCATGTTCATTAGGGGAATATTCTTTTCACAGGCAACAATATTGAATATCCATTTCCAGAGGCCCAGATAAGATGCGTATCCGGGTAAAATACGCATAGAAAATTTCCAATTACGCATTGAAAAAATAATTGTTGCGTACCAATTACGCATTTAAAATGTTAGATACGCAAAAAGTTTAAAACAAATGCGTACGGAACATATTTATAAAAAATCGCTCGCGTAATGAAAAAGACATCGATTGCTATCAAGTTCTACTGTTAGTATAGGACTAGTGTTGTACTGTCAGTATAGGATGAGTGATTTTTTATGAAATCATTTCCATTATATTTAAGTTGGTTTTGATTAGGTATGACATAAGGCAATACATACCTGCTTAGTAAACTTACTCAATGACATAATACTTAGGTGAGTAAAATGACTGAAATATGCACATATCTGAAAGCAGTGGGTAACGGAAAATGAAATACCCACTCAATATTCATAATACCCACTCCATAAAAATACAGTGGGTACAGTACCCACATGAGCTAAATCTTATCTGGAGCTCTGTCATTTCACCTTGATATGATAGGCCAGAATATGTTTGTTATAAACAGTCCTTCAGACATTGTTAACCAAGTTAGCTTGGTAAATTAAAAACTCATAGAAATTGAATTAACTTGGGACTTAACTAAGAATAAGGTTAGAATGAGTTTGTCACACAATATGTAATCAATACTGTGGATGCCTACTTGTATATTATAAGTTGATATCCTTTCCTTCTGCAGTTGAATTACAAGTCTAACTGATTAGCCTTTAAACTTCAGGGATCTAGGATTATTGTAGGCAGAAACACAGCACTGAATATTATGCTGTGTATAGTCAACAGGGAAATACTACGAAATATTGTTGCTAAACAGTTTCATTAGCATGTTAAACCTGTTATGATTTACATGTCTTTACTCCAGATACAATGCTGTCTCCCTAATGACACCATGTGAGGTTACATATTAAAATTCATTTTTTAATAATAAGATACCAATTCCTACTAGAAAGGTTCCGCCAACAATTACCTTGCCATGTTTCCTATGCAAATTAGAAGTTAGAGATTTCTTTGCAATCTAGTAGCCTAGTGGTTAAACCATTTTGCTTGTCACACCGAAGGCCCAGGTTCGATTCCCCACATGGGTACAATGTTTGAAGCCCATTTCTTATGTCCCGCCGGGATATTGCTGGAATATTGCTGAGAGCAGCGTAAAACCAAACTCAGTCACTCACTACGCCTATTACACTCTAAAATTAGTGGTTGCTTTGAGTTTGTTACAACCACACTGTACTAAGTTAAGACAGTATACTACTAACACAAGTTAGGAACCACCATATTCTTTCATTTTACTGCAGTATGAAGTAACCGAGTTGAGGTTTTTAGCAGCATACTAAACAAAAGGCTGTTACAAGATAATATTTTTCCATCCCAATTGTTCAAAATGTGATAGGTATGTTATTTTTATTTTTTTACTTTTTAGCAAACCTTCAAGCATCTGTGTTCATTAAATGTATAGAGTTTGATTCGCATGAAGGCTAAATCCCACCATGCAATGAATTCGAAAGAAAAGGACACTGTGAATTTTTTGTCCTTAGATACTTATAGTCTGTTTGCAGTGAAAGCGTACCGATGAATTTCACTTTAAACAAAAAGGTAAATCAAATAAAGTGAAATTAAGATTGCAAATCCTCATAATTTTACCTTGCCAATTGAACTTTTAAATCTCAGAATTTTGTTCAACTTAGGATAAAAGTTGGTTAACAAACGATTATAGTTTCACATCGCTATTATTGGTTTGTATTACAACGGGCTATGCACATTAGTTGAAACAGTGAAACAAATGCACCTGCAGTGCGTAATGAGCGTTAACCATGTTAACTTAGACTACCGTAGAAACCAACCCTTCTTGTTTTCGGGGTTTCGTTTAATGTGCATACCCCCTTGTAATACACAATTTTTTCGTCCTTAGATACTTAGGGGCCACAGAGGGATATTGAGGCTGGTGGCGGCAAAGATGTCTTATTTATGATGATGTTTATGCCTGACCCTGGCTAGGCCCTTGTTATGTTTGACCCTGCTACCTACTTCTATGGTCTACCTTCACACCAATGGCAATGTCTGGGAGAAGCCATTTTGCCATCTGAAGCAATACTCAGAACACCCTTAACCATCCCATATTCTCAGATAACATGTCGGGTGTTTTAATCATCATTTCCTCTCAGTATTTGTTGACTTGCTCTTTTGATTGTTTATATGCTGATTTTGGAAATAAAATCTAATTTGATTATGTGTTCAGTTGAAGTTTGTGGAGATTTGTCATCCAACTAGTCATCTGGTGAAACAGGTGCAGTCCTACATCCAATAGATGAGTGAGTGAGTGAGTTTGCTTTTACGCCGCTTTTAGCAATATTCCAGCAATATCACGGTGGGGGACACCAGAAATGGGTTTCACATATTGTGCCCATGTGGGGATTCGAACCCAGGTCCCCAGCGTGACAAGCGAACGCCGTAACCACTAGGCTACCCCACCAGCCCTCCAATAGATGAGAATCTGTACTCTTGAGGGACTTGAGGGTTGATGATGATAAAGATATAGGACATGGTCAGAGGGCTACATTAATACGAGGTCAATGGATTAATGTTCACTGGATATTCATTCTCAACTCCCAGGGTAGTAAACTGGTGAAGATCCTGGTTAGAATTGGTCTTCAGCAACCCATGCCTGTCCTAAGAGGCGACCAACATGATCAGGCTCACTGACTTGGTTGACAGATTGCACCGTGTCCCAGTTGCATAGTTTGATGCTCATGCTGTTGATCACTGGATTGTCTGGTCCAGACTCGATTGTTTACAGACCACTACCATATAAGCTGGGCCCCGTCTCGCATATTGCAATATAGCTTTGGCGCAAGTTAGCGCGCGCAAAGGGAGCCGGGAACCAGCTTAACTGTCATATAGCTGGAATGAGTGTGGTGTTAAACAAAAACAAACCCTTGGGAGTATACAACCCAATCTCTCTGTGATACACAACAAGGTTAACATTCTCTCTATGCACTGCCACTGTCTGAGTTTGGTTTTCAGAACGCTGCTTTTACCAATATTACAGCAACATACCAAAAGACGTTAAAATATGGTAATTTGTTGGTGGTCCTGCCTGGCACTCGGCATTAATGGGTACATCAAGGACTGGTCGGGTGTCAGATATGCTTGCCATCTCTCACCTGGGTACCAATTCCCACGTATGCTCGTTTTGCCCCAGAAAACATGCTTCAGTTTAGAGCAAGACAGAAGCCAGAGAAGCTCTGCAAGCTGCACACAGCCTTTCACACATGGTATAAGAATATAAAATAGAATGTACTGGTAATAAAAATTATGTCAGGTTTAAAAATGAGATTAGGCAGTTTTGTAACTTGTAAACTGGTCAGTATTATTAAATATTATTCAACACATACAGTTGTGTATGGAAATTACTAGAACTGCCACCTAGACCATCAGGACCATCATAGGTGTTCTGAGTGATGTGTCGGTCAGCAGGCAGTGATGTCGCTGAAATAGTAAATCACAAACTTCCAAGTGTATGGGACTTTGTGTGTAGGGAACGTGAATATCGACAGAAAGGAACATAGTCCCTAAATATGTCTTCGACTCATATAGTTGTGTTACTAGAACTGCCACATATTGCAGTAGACCATCAGGGTCCACTTGCACAAAGCGATCTTAGCGCTAAGACCATACTTAGTCTGTGTTTAGAGTATGGGAGTTACGATAATCTAGCGCTAAGATCGTTTTGTGCAAGTGGGCCCTGATGGTCTACTGCAATATGTGGCAGTTCTAGTAACATAACTATACTGGACAAAATAAGTTAGGGATATTGGTATTTTAATGATTGATATTTTATCAGTGTGGCAATGAATAAATAGATCATTATTCATAATTTCGAAATTTACATATATCCCTAACTATTTTTGTCCAGTATATATGTGAATCAGCATGGTTCGGCTTGCTTAGATTGATTCCTCAAAATGTGAAGATGAGTTATCTCATTAGACCCAGTAGTTAGGTGATACCTGACAACTGAACAAACTGTGTTTCTGTTTTCTTTGTTTTTCAAGGAAATAATTGATGTGAAGTTGGAATGTTTTAACCGTGCCCCCGCCACTTTTCCGACTCATGATTACAACAGCTGGGGTCAAGATCCGACTTAATAAAATAATATATTCTTATCGCATAGCCATACATGGACAATATGCTTATACATCTTCGTTCGTTGTTCAGTGCTGCATTCAGGAATGTGCTAGTTGTATGACGGCTTTCTGTAAACAATTTTGTCTGGACCTAACAATCGATGCCGTCATCCAAGCGAACTACCGCCTCCGTGGTGTAGTGGTTAGAGCGTCCGCCTAGCGGATTCGGACGTTCGATCCCCGACATACCAAAAGACGTGGCAAAAATATGGTACTTGTTGGTCCCTGCTTGGCGCTCGGCAACGTTGGACTTACAACGACTGGTCGGCTCGGAGTCTCTGAGTGGGGTATTCTACCATTCACTAGTGTCATCCAGCTGCAGAGAGCGAGCCCGACCACTGGATCCTGCGATCCATGGATCCTGCTATAGTTGTCTTACCACAAGCATGGTGTGCTGAAGATCAATTTGAAGACCGGACTTTCACGGGTCAATACAGTTATAAATTAAATATTGCTAAGATCGCTATTGTGCAAGTGGGCCCAGGAGAAGAGGTTTGTTGATGATTTTAAGAGGGGTCACCCATTTTGTTCTGGTGAGGGGTCATCACTGACATTTTTGTGACTGATTTGGTTTTACGCCGCATGTATTTGAAGTAGAAATATTTAGCAGTATTCCAAAATCACGTAACACTGTGTTACAATTGCCTTATGTAAGGGGACACCAGAAATGAAGGCTTCACACAGGTTTTGTGCCCATGTGGGGATTCGAACCCGGGTCTTCGGCGTGACGATTTTAAACGCTTTAACCATTATAAAGGTTTATTGTTAATATTCCCACCTCCTGATCAAGATAACATCTTTGAGGGGTCATCAATATCAGTTGTTAAAATACTGTAAATCCTTAAGACCAGGACCTTGTGTTGAATGAGGTTTGTCTTTGGAAAGTTTTACAAATTACGTCTTGAGGTATTGTGATGTAATTTGTAAAGTTTGTGGTGCTGTATTCTAAAGATAACCCAGCAACAGTCTGACGTCACAGAGCAAAGTCAATCCAGTGATCTTGCGAGTTGATTAGTATACACCTTCATGATTTTATTGAGGTGTGGAGGTAACGTTCATTGACATTTCCAGCGTCCTTCATAGTTAACTGCTTGTTGTAACCGAAAAAAATCTTCAAATCATTTCAAATATTTATATAGCAAAACATACTAACAGCTTGACAGGAAACAAAGTGTAACAGCCAACATCGATCCTAACTCAACTTATTCCCTTGGAACTTTCTAAAACAGGTCATAAAAAAATCCCTTCCCCTTGAGAAGAATTATTACGATACGACTGCTCATCCTCTATTTGTATGTGCTCTATGCATTTCGCGATGGATAATGCAGTCTTTGGTCCAACAACTTCTGTTTTTATTAGCTTTTACATTGTCTTCTTCTTCGCCTTCTTCCCACAGTATAACTGGGCCGTTTCTCCCTCCACACGTCTGCTTTAGACGTTTTGATACCATGGAAACAAAATATCGCGAGATATTATGAGATTGATAATGGGCCGTTTCAGAAAACATTCTTTGCGCTTCAACTATGTTCGTTCAGTTTAAATGCTCTATCTTTAGGTTTAACTTTTCCTAGTCATTCTGTTTGTGACGTAAAGCCATTATGATGTTCTTTGCCTACCACGCATCCCTTGCTTCTTCACATTATGACGTCATAACATTTTCGATGACATCACTTAACTACAACCCATGCTACAACAAGATGGCGGATACATGACTTCTGACAAACATGTCACTTCCCGCTGATGAAGGTATGTATTGTTGGTTAGAATGAAAATTCGGTAAGACTACAGAATACCGGATACGTTCCGCCATCTTTGAAAGCACGCGAGTTTACTTTTGGTTTGGGTTAGGGTAAGGTTTAGGGTAAGGGTAAGGTTTAGGGTAAGGGTAAGGTTTAGCGTTAGGGTGACGTGACACTAAACAATATGGCTTGCAGGTATCCGGTATTCTGTAGGTGTACCGAAAACATTCAACTCAAAGATAAATAGAAAGGTTGATTGTGGATGACGGGTATGTCTTGGTCCAATTACCTGGATAACCTGACCAAAAATAGACCATTGTGTGTTTTGCAAGTTGCCAAAGACTTAGATCTACTTGTGGAGTGAATTATGTTAATTGTTATATAAACCTGACACCTTACCTACCTTACATACCGCAGCCTGTAAACAAACAAATAAATAAATAACTGGGAAAAATCGCCGCTTGCATTTGTATGGTTTAATATGATTAAACCTCATACTTGAATTTATGGCAATTCATGAACGTAAAAGTGTACATCAAGTTCCCCAATATCGTGGAGGCCGATAAATTGTTTTGAAGGACCTGTGCATTATCCTTATCAATATGGCGGAAGGTATTCGGTGTTCAAATTGCTGGATTTGAATACACTGATTTATCCTCGAACTAAAAGAAAACATCGAACCACCCACATAGCACATGTATTTCAATAGGTTTAACCTTTGCATTTGATATTTATATTGGCGAGGAAGCTTCGCTGGTCAGGTCTTATGTGAGATCGTTTGCATGGACTGTGTTGTTAGAAATGTACGTCTGATATATTATCCACGCCTTCTAATATGATACATACTCTAAATAATTAATATGATACAGGCTCTAAATAATTCCATATATTAGAAAAAGTAGAAAGTAGAGAAAATATAGAAATAAAACAAATTATGAAAGTTTATTTTCCTCTGTAGCAAACGTTCTTATTTACAGCGCAGTTATTATTGCAATATGTAATTTGCAACTATATTGACCAGTGAAGGTCCGGTCTTAGAATTGATCTTCAGCACATCATGCTTGTTGTAAGGGACAACTATAGCAGGATCCGGTGCTCAGGCTCGCCTACTTGGATGACACATGTCATTGTATCTCAGTTGCGTAGATCGATGTCAATCACTGGATTGTTAGGTCCAGACACATATTATTTACACACCACCGTCATATAGCTGGAACATTGCAGTGCAGCACTGAACAACGAACGAAGATGTATAAGCGTATTGTCCATGCATGGCTATGCGATAAGACTATTAACTCAGATCTCAACCCCAGCTGTTGTAATCGTGACTCGGAAAAGTGCGGGGGCACGGTTAAAACATTCCAACTTGACCTCAACTGTTTCTTCGAAAAATAAAGAAAACAGAAACACAGTTTGTTCATTTGTCAGGTAACGAACTAAACCATCTTCACATTTTGTGGTATCGATTTAAACCATTTTCACCTTGACACAACACCTTTTTGAGGTATCAAACCAATCGATCCTCTATTAAATACTTCACCTTTTGAGGTATGAAAGCAAGCCGAATCATGCTGACTCACCTGGTCCCACTCGCACAAAACGATCTTAGCGCTAGATGATCGTAACTCTCATGCTCTAACATAATACACTCGCAGAACCCTCTGCGACTGATGGCGAGCGAGTGCAAGTCGGGGGGATCGTTTCGGCGAGTATTGCGAGCTTCCTAAGACCAAACGACGATCTCAGTGCGAGTGAATGCGACCGAGAGGTCGCAGTGGGGTCGCAAGCTCGGTGTAACGGTGGTAATAGCCTTAAGACGGCCTTAGCGCTATGACTGGTTTGTGCAAGTGGGCTCTGACAGATTTGACGACAGATACAAGATATGTACAGTCAGCTCTCGTTAATCCGACAATCACGTTAATCCGACAAAAAATTAGGGAACCATTTAAAACTGTGATAATAACTCTCGTTAATCCGACATTCTATGCAGAATAGCCGACAAATAATCCTAAGCGAAGACTCCCTGTCCAGTGTCTGTTCTAGAAAGCTAAACAACTAATTCTGATTCTACTTCCAGCTGAGCTCCCGTCGCTAGATGAGTTTGACTTGCTGCTAGAAGACAAGGCCTTCGTTGACCACTTCAATGTGTTCCTGTCTCTACCTGTGAGTACCTGGATGTATCTGGACATGTCAATATAGTAGGGCTGCGCAATATAACCGGTTCACCGGTTCAGACATGAAAACGATACGTATTGCGATACGCTGATCGAAAACCGGCATTTTTACTTGCATTCGGAAAACTTCGTAACACTCGGAAATCTTCGGATATTTCCTTTTTTCATTTGTGCCAAATACTATTCACATTTTTATTTTTAAACCATGAATAAAAGTTGTTATTAAAGCTTAATCAAGCATAGTGATTTTGCTGTGTATTTGCTCTATAAATCAAGCATTACCTCGATTATATGTAGTTTTTTGTGTAAAAATACTTCACGCAATATATTGCAATACATATCGCAATACATGCTTTCGCATCGCATCGCAATATATCGCAATATGAAAATTCTCTGCAATACCCGCCCCTACCATATAGCCACTGGCCAGCGGACCAGGGATGAACGAGGCCCACATCACTCTAATGATCGTACATGCAGTAGAGAGTGTTAGGTTAGGTGGCTTGGTCGATTCCATGTCGTCTTACCCTGTGGGCGATGACGTTGTTCATGATATCAATCACTGGTTAGCCACGCCCATACTTGACTATAGGGCGTGGTCATGTAGTTTTTAACATGTGCCTGACCACGGTGTACAAGAGTAAACACATTTAATAACCCCACATATATTACAGAAGTTTCTACTGTGGGAATTTCCTCAGGTATACTCAATGTTGTTTGTTGAAACCCGGGGAACATGCGTCCCAGTTATACTCAATGTTTGTTTTAGTTGTTGTTTTTTTATATTGAGACCCCATTTGGAATCCGGGGGAGAGTAGGTTACAGAACCTCGTGACTGGCATAAGTCGACTGAATGGGGATGTGATGTCACAATGTGTGACGTCATTGTCATGTATACGTAACACTGCGCCGGGATAGATGGCACCTCATACTATCAACTCGATTACCTAATGACTGCTGTATTTGGAATACTGTTGATTGGTGGTAAGATCAACTCTTTTTTTTTTCTTTTCATGAAAGAATAAAGTCTTCCATCATAACATTCGTTACATAATGACACATACAAATACATGAATATGATCATCCAATATATCAGGCTGTGACACAGTTAAACCTCCGATATATAATGGTGTATAGGGTATTTTTGCGTGTAGTGCCACATCCAACATATCATGTTTTATCAACGTGCGCAGCATGCTGTATTCAGTGTTGTATATGGCCTCATATCAGACATAGCATTTTGTATATGGGTCACAACCAACATATGTTGTATATTGCGCAACTTCCAAAATAAGTTGTATATATAATGTCATATCGCCTGATATATCATAAGTATATAGTATTACATCCCATGTCATGTTGTAAATAGCATCATATATGAACATCAACTCTTGATTGTTTTATATTTTAGTAGAGAGAATGCGTAAAACAATCTACATGTACGTTTATGACGTACTACAATTAGCGGTCCCTTTGAGTTCGTTATAACCGCATAGTTTAACTTTTTTTCTCGGAATAAATGTTAGTTTGAGATAAATCTTGTGCACACAACATATTGTATACGTGGATGCAGGTATGATGCACTGTGTTGAGGTCTCATGTAATCGTTATATGTGAAAGTATCGATGGCTATAATTTGCTTCGCTGTAGGTGTTCGGGCAACAAGCCATCTACAGCTTCAGGGAAAAAGAGTTCGAGTTCGACCCCCCAATCCGCCGTCGTCGATACGTAAGTGATTAAAACGTGCTGTGTTGTTGTTGCTGGGTTTTTTTTGTCTTAACGGTCAAATGGGCCAGAATTCTGTCCCTTTCGCCGTGCCAGGATCCGCTAAGAATTTATTGCTTTAGTTTAAGAGCAATTATATTATGTAATTGCAATGGTAAATAGCTGAAAATTCAACCGTCTATAGATAAAGAGCAGCCTTTATTGGCCACCATTGGCAGCAACTACTGCTCGGCACTGAATTGTATAAGTCGACGAAGTCGCTCTTGCGGAATTCTTCCCCACTCTTCCTGCAATGCGATGGTCACTTGTGGAAGTGTCTGAGGCGTGTTTTGACGTTGACGTACACGTCGGTCGAGTTCATCCCATAGGTGTTCTATCGGGTTTAGATCTGGGTGCCGTTCCACTAACCGATCTTAGCCCTACGCCAATCGTAAACCCCTAAAATCACAATCTTAGCGTGACGTTACGATCGGCATAGCGTTCCACTAACCAATCTTACCTAAGTCAATCGTAAAGTTAAGATTCAAAGTCTAAGTTGCTCATGACCAACTTAGGATAGCTAAAATCAATCGTAGAAAAACAAAAATGGTGGCTTTCCTATTCTATGTGAAAAATAAGAGCGAGCATTTCACCGTGAGCGTCCCCTAAAACCCCCCATGAAATGAATTTGTATATTTCTGTGATGTAAACAAACACTGCACTGAAGCCTTACAAATGTCAGGCCAGTCTGACCACTGTCGTCATGGGAACACAACCGAGCGAGTCGGTGTAACACATTTGTACAACAATATTGCAACGTCATGGTTAAGAATAGGGACAGCCGTGAAGTGAACAATGTTCTGAAACAAAAAGATACAAATATGTTTGATTTCACATGCGCTTATTTGGTGGGGGATTCTAAAGGCAGGCCGCGTGTTCTTCAAGACCACTGACAGATTCTAGATACGTTATAGAGGATGCCTCGTCACGCCTTGTTTATTCTGATTGACAAGGTTCAGGCACATAATAAAAGCTCTGACACAATTGACATTTTTAAGTCCAGACTTAAAACCTGTTCTCAGTATATTACTTATAATCTCGGCTGTAAATGCTCTCGTGTAAATTATCTGTACATAGCGCTTTGAGCATGCCCCAGGATGTGGAATAGGCGCACTATAAATATGCATTATTATTATTATATTATGCCTGATACCCAGCGTTCACACACACTTGCACCTGAAACCAAGGTGCTCACTACCCTAATATTTTGCTCTAGGTTTTTTCTCCACGTTTACGCTTGGTTGGAAAAATACCCATGAAGGCCCGGATTAGAATATTGAACTTCAATAACCCATGCTTGTCGTAAGAGGCCACTAACGGGATCGGGTGGTCAGACTCGCTGACTTGGTTGACACATGTCATCGGTTCCCAACTGCGCAGATCGATCCTCATGCTGTTGATCACTGGATTGTCTGGTCCAGACTCGATTATTTATAGCTAAGATACATAGCGTTCACTAACATGAACGCTCATGTTAGTGAACGCTATGCATCTTAATTAGCTAGATTATTTACAGACCGCCGCGATATAGCTTGACTATTGCTGAGTGCGGCGTAAATCTAAACTCACTCACTCACTCAGTTGGTTCGTAAACTACTTCCATCATTTGCTAGACTATGCAAAGGGAAATAACTCGTGCCTCGCATTCCTCTATCTCTCTAACGAAAGAGTCTCGATCTAAGCTTGGATCGGATCGTAAGATCGGGACCGGCTACGATCGGCCTAAGATCGGTTAGTGGAACGGGTGTAACTTTTAGCTAAGACGATTGTAAACTTGGCGTAACTTGCTAAGATTGATCTTAGATAAGATCGGTTAGTGGAACGGCACCCTGGTGGTATAGGGAAGACCATGGCAAGACACTGACGTTAGAATTGGCAAGGTAGCGGACCGTGACGCGTGCTGTATGTTAAGTAGCGTTGTCATGCTGGAACAACTCCCTCTGTCGGTCCATAATCGGAAGCTTGTGACGTGCAAGGACGTCGTTGGTGTACCGATTTTCTGTCAAATTCCCCTTAACCACCACTAAATCAGATCTTTGTGTGCTGGATATCTCACCCCACACCATGACACTTTCTCCACCGAATCTGTCGACCTGCCGAATGCAATTATAGGCACAAAACGTGAATTTTGCTTGTTTTTCTTAGTGACGTTTTGGCGACTATATCTTCAAACGCTTCTAAAACAAGGGGAAAAGTTACAATTGCCGCGTTTTGGCGCTGAAGCTGGTTACAATCACACAAAGAAAACACTTTGGAAAGAAATAGTATTTTGCATCGCTATGGTCACAGCTACATGAGTCCAATATTCTCAAAATCACTTATGCGTTTCTTTTTTTGAAGAGTGTACTACCAGAGTTGATCAAATGCAAGTTGACTGAGTTGACATTCACAAATATCTAATGTTTTTCCTCTGTGGTCTCCAGTTCATCCACCGACGTTCCGTGATCAACTGGTTGCGAGAGGAGCGGTTCCCCTACTTCAGGAACACCCGTTTGTACGCGGAGTACCTGCTGTGTACACGACTCCGGGAGGTCGGCTTTCACGTGCAGGATGCATACGGAAAAGGTCGAGTAGGCCACACCTAACTGATGATTTGTTTGTTACATTGTTGGATAAAAAATTATTTTGGTCGTCAAACCCTGCATGATTTAGAGTGAGTGAGTATGGTTTTACGCCGTTTTTTCAGCAATAGTCCAGCAATATCACGGCGCTGCATGATTTAGAAATACAATAGCAATACCTTAGAAAAGGTTCTTTACAAAGGCTCTCGCAGTTGTTCGTGAAAATGAGATTTAAAATGTTTAAGAGAAAATGCTTCTTGAAAAAATATTAAAGCATTAATTGGACATATTTTAGACACATTTAAAACTTGTCTTCCACACTTGCATACTTTAAGCTAATAACAATTTTAATGGCAAGGGTGCGTCTAGAAATGGGCTTCACATATTGTTCCCACATGGGAAATCAAACCCGGGTTTTCGGCATGACGAGCGAACGCTTTAACCACTACTCTACCTTATCTCCCCCTTTTTAGAAGAAAATGTAATTCTGACGCTTTTTCTGAAAGACAATCTCACTTTCAGATCAGCCGGAGACACCCGAGGTCACGCGAGTGTTCACGGTTAACCTTCTGAGTCACGTGGCCGGCACGCAGCTCTTCCGCCAGTCGATGAGCGGCACCAATGGCGAGAGAGTCTACAACTGCTGGCTGGACATTGAAATCTTGAAGCGAACCACGGACCCCATTCGTCGACGACGACAGTTTCAACGAATCAATAGGTTGTACATCGCCGACGGTGGCTCGCAGGACCTAAATGGAAACAAGAAAAATCTCGTTCTTTACGGTACCAAGTGACCAAATTACTTAAAATCAAAATAATATTCCTTCGAGATTTTAAATATAATAATACGAAAATAATATTATTTGTACCCAATTTTTGAAACAGAACTTACCACACATGTATTTACATAAACAGGGCGGCAAAATGAACGATGTATCTCAGTTGACGTTATTAAACGTTTGATTTTCCTTGAAAATATCTCAAGTCAGTGATATTCTATAAAATAAATGAAAATGTACTGGCGCTTTGGCAGCTCTTCATGATTATTCGTACATGTTTTTGTTTTTTTCAGAAATTAAACTTTGATTTCATTTTTTTAAAATTATATAACAAACACAAAGAGTGACGGAAAAACACAGTCACCAAAAAGTCGTATACTACACAACTGCTGATGGGTATCTTACACATATTAACTTTGAAAATCAATAAAGAAACATTCGGCATACATTTCACCCATGGTGGGTGTTTTCCACCAGTCTTCATTGAATCAACGTATTTTTAAACAACATTACCCACCCACAGATAATATTTCTTTAAAAGCTGTTCTTTGAATGAGTGATGTCCAAAAAATAAATACATGTATAATGAACCTTTTGAAATTTAACAACAGTCCCCTCAAATTTAAATCGCAGGAAAAACTATGTCTGTAAACTTTCTTTTGCCCTTATCCACCGTGTTATTGCTGGAGTATTGCTAAAAGCGGCGTAAAATTAAACTCACTCGCCCTTTTGCCCTTCAGATTACAGGAATGTGTTTCATTAAGGTAACCAGGTATGTCATTTGGTTTTTTAAAACAATTACTTTTTTTAGGGAAACTCAATTTTGAAATTTTGGACAAGAACATTACTGAGCTCATGGGAACGTTGTCGAGGTTGCCGTTCTCTGACGATGTGTTTTCCATTGACGCTGAGGACGCCCTAGTGGCGCTCCAAGGGCACCTCCTGGATCTACTCAAAGGTTACTGGGTCCCTCGGCACGTGCTGCACGTGCTCAACACAACCAACGTGGAAGTCCTGAAGGTGAGCAATCTAATGTAAAGTGAATGAGTGAGTCAGCTGAGTTTAACTCAGCTTAGAACACTATTTGACCAGAGGAATAGTCAGGTCTCGCAGAAGATCCTGGTTCGATTAGTAGAATGGTGAGTGAGTTTAGTTTAACGCCGCTATTCCAGCAATATCACGGCGGGGGATACCAGGAATGTACTTCACACATTGTAACCATGTGGGGAATCGAACCCGGGTCTTCGACATGACGAGCGAACGCTTGAACCATAAGGCTATATATACGCTGAATATTACAATACAGTGCGAAACCCAACTGACTCTCAGACAGAAGTAAAGAGGAACGCAGGTTGTTTTCCACTCCTTGAAACCCACGATTATGGGTATGGTGTTGTCAATCCACAAATGCTAACCAGGGATTCGGAACCATGGTCATAGGATCTTGACACGTCTACGGGGCGTAACTCCGCATATCTGGACCGAGCCAACCAGCTCGTTTGATACTGTTAAATGATTCTGACCTAGCTCTGTAGAACTACACTTAATGTTTTTTCAGCCGCTCTTCAGCAGGTGTGAAGGCGAAGATCTGAGTTTTGACGAGGTGGACAGAATGGTCAGATGTCGCAGGATGTTCCCCAAGTTTGTCCTCGCTCAACCGGAAGCTGTTCCCACGGAGGTGTTCGCGTCAGTCACAGAATGGGACGACCCCCGCCTGCCGCCACCCTCTCCCGACTTGTCCGAGCCCAGGGAAGTAAGACCTGATGATCTACTAATGCTTTGGGGAGGTGAGCATATATCGGACATGGGGAGAGGCAGTCTAGCCTGCAAAGTGACGTTATCATTTTGGCTGAGGCGAAATGTGAGTTTAAGATTATTGCATTTCCATAGCTACGTACGTAAAAAGTCCTTATAGCTGTTCCTGTACGTTTTAGTATATTCTTCTGTGTTTTTTCAAGCAGGGGATTAAAATATATTCATAAATTTAAGTTATCTGGATCCCGATTCACAAAGCATTCGTAGCGTTACGACATCGTAACTGTATACTATATCATTGGCTTACAAATGACGTAGTGCTACGAGCGTTTTGTGGATAGGGTAATAGAATTCGAAAGCTTCAGAGCTGAGCTGAAAGAGTGGTCACCTGATGAAGACATGGTGGCATTAAGCTTTTGGATTACGTACGTCTGTGTCGAACCTACGGTTGTCTCGAGTGAGTGAGTTTAGTTTTACGCCGCACTCAGCAATATTCCAGCTATATGGCGGCGGTTGTCTCGAAGTAAAAATTTGGTCCGTGCGCAATCCTTATGTCATTATTTTGCGTTGTGTCAAACCTCCGAAAACTCGAAGTATCTACACAGGTCCCTTTAGCCTCCACACAAGGCTGTTTGACTATTGTTTGTACGGTGTTTGTATGTATATTAAGTATAATGTTTGTATACAGGAGCACCTATAAAACCTCCAGAAGAGACCACCACTGAAGTCGAGAGCTACTCCGTGTCCAGACCGTGGTCAGCGGTGTCCTGGGCAGATGACGACGACGGCACTGACACCCCAGATAGTCCATGCAGGGAGTGGAACTCACCGTCACGTGGAGACGACTTCGACAACAGCACCAGGACGCCGTCAGGGTCGTCGGTGTCGAATCTGTTGCGGGAAACATCGAGCATTGAAATGTCGGACAACAGTCTCAGCCGAATGGTTCTGTCCAGTATAAACCCCAAGAAGCTGGGGAACATGTCGCTTCTCCTTAAGACCTACGTTTTAGGGCGGAGGGATTACAGGACCAACGCTCCGCGAGTGAGTAAGCGCATCCTGTGCGCGCTTGTGTCAGACAACCTCGCTGGGTACCCGTTCTTGCAGTTTCTTCAGAGGAAGAACATGACCCTCGACATCAACTACCTCAACTTCTGGGACGACGTGAGGTGTTATTTGAGGACGGATGACAAGGTTGACAGCCACGGCAACAGCAGTAAGAGGGTGATGGCGAGGAAGCTGGCGGAACGATACCTCTTGTCGTCTGATGACGAGGCTATTTTCTCAGAGGGGCTGAAAATGGCGTTGTTGGACACGCTTTCGAGTGGAGATGACGAGTCACTGTTGTTTTCTGCGCATGACATCGTTTCAAGTGTAAGTATCTCTTGTATGACAAAATGGTTGTGTGCGACCCGTGAAATCTGGGTTAGAATTGGTCATCAACAACCTATGCCTGTTGTAACAGGCGACAAACTGGGTCGGGGGGACAGACTCGCTGAGTTGGTTGACACATGTCCATTGCGTAGATCGATGCTCATGCTGCTGATCACTGGATTGTCTGGTTCAGACTCGATTATTTACAGACCGCCGCCATATAGCTGGGATATTGCTGAGTTCGGCGTTAAACAATAAACCAAAACCAAAATAAAATGGTTGTTTTATAGGAAGATGATCTCTTTTTGCGCAATATGGTCGAACTGCCGAAAATTGTTTCCGTTGGCAGTTTACGGTAGTCGTGAAAATCCTTTGCCACTCTCTTTGAACATTATTTTAGTTAACTACTTAAAACTTAAAATGATGCCGTAAAAATTAAAACTAGCGAATTCAACAAAAACAGTTATGGTGCTGACAGACCTTAGATCATTCGGGATCGGAACGCACAATCTGTGGTCCCTGTTAACTAAACGAGGCAAGTCTTTACGGCTAATTGCAACGACACTTCTGGACCACCCGTGTTCCCTATTTACTCTCAATATATTTCTTTGAAACATGTCTTTAAAATGGCACCCTCTATGAAAGTAATCCTTAGTGGTCCTTGGCTTGTTAGCACCGTTAGTGACCCTCCGTCAGGTGCGCGTGATACCAGTGCTGGAGTAAATAGATCGATCTCCAATACACCTATCTACTGTCTTTCAGAGTCTCAATATCTCATGGAAGAAGTACGCTAAGATTGACAGACGGAAGTTCGTCAGAGCAGCGGTAAGTACGAGCAGACTATGAGACTGGTTCCGAAATTTGTGACGCATAAAAAATAACCTAATATTTCTGGGTATTAGACGGGAGAAATCTACATATTATTGTTATATGATGTCAATAATGTCTAAACCGAAAAAAAGGAAACCGCGAAAAATATATTTTGAATCCTTATTAAAAAATACTTATGTGTGTATAGATTTGTATGGATTTGTGACACTCATATTTGGAACTTGGACTAATACCAGTCTAGAATGGTGACTTATTGATACCGTATGTCCTCTAATAAGCGCCGGGTCCTGTCCCCCAGAACTTTCAAGTGGGCGTTACGTCAAAGGCTTCGAAGTAACGCTCACTAACAATAATTACACCCAGTAAGCGCAGTAAACACCGGGCCTCTAAATAAGCGCCGGGTATGGAAGTCCGTTGAAAAAATAAGCGTCTGGCCACGTATTAGAGGAACTACGGTATGCACATTTGATATATAGCTGGATTGTACCCGTGAAGACCTGAGTTAGAACTGATCTTCAACAACTCATGTATGTTAGGGGCGAGAAACGGGATCGGGAGTTCAGGCTCGCTGACTTGGTTGACACGTGTCCCAATTGCGTAGATCGATGCTCATGGCTTGTCTGGCCCAGATTACTTAAAGACCGCCGTCATAAAGCTGGAAAATTGCTGGGAGCAACGTTAAACGACAAAGATATGTTTGTTTGTTGTTTAACGCAGCACTCAGGAATATTAAAGCTAAATGTCGAGTCTGGACTAGACAATCGATCTATTGGATCAATTCGGCATGTGTCAACCAAGTCAGCGAGCCTGACCACCCGACAAGCATGGGTTGCGAAAGACCAGTTGTAACCCGGATCTTCACGGGTCTCAAACATTGTTGACGCCATTCTGTTCCAGTGCGGCAAACGGTTCATGCTGTTTGTCAACAGTCTACAATCACCTGTGCCACGAGTGAGGGTTCCAACTGGAGACACAGACCCCCTGTACTTTGGGGACGCACGTCAACGTGTTCACGGTAAAGTCGACAGCGAATGCAGCTCCGACTCATCGTCCCCCGTGCCACCGTACGACAACGTCTACGTGAAACCTCTCGGGGAGGAACACAGGACAAAGGCATTGGAACAAACGGTTCTTTCCTCAGAAGACGGTGAGCGATTATCAAGTGACGACTGTATTCTTCACACACTGCTTGAGGTTAATCTGCATGTTATAATTCCATGATCCCGTTTATAATCAAGAGGGGACGTCGCTTTCTCGCCTTCAATTACGGCAGCGTGAAATCGAGAAAGCGATAGAGGCAAGGAGCGTCTTGTTCGATCGCTTTTTCGTCTCGTGTTATGGCTTTCTTTTGTCCTCGCGGCCGTAATTGAAGACCAGAAAGCGATATGAGTGAGTGAGTTTAGTTTTACGCCGCACTCAGCAATATTCCAGCTATATGGTCTGTAAATAATCGAGTCTGGACCAGATAATCCAGGGATCAACAGCATGAACATCGATCTAGGCAACTGGAATACGATAACAGGTGTGAACGAAGTCAGTGAGCCTGACCACCCGCGATATCTTTAGTCGCCTCTTACAAGTATGGGTTAGTGAAGATCAATTCTAACCCGAATCTTCACAGGTATATAAATGATGTACATTAATGCAGAAAAAAAGTAAATTAATCGATTTTCAAAGATGAACTGCCCATGGGCAGTTGCATATTATATACGATTGAAACAATAGAATCACGTAAAAGTATTCCTTAAGTGCTAACTAAGCTTTTGGATTGGGATACGATGACATGTGTCAACCCAGTCAGCGAGCTTGACCACCCGATCCCGTTAGTCGCCTCTTACGACAAGCATGGGTTACTGAAGATCAATTCTAACCCGGATCTTCACAGGTAGAAAGCGATATCCCCTCTGGGACACCATACACAACCCGTAACAAGCAATCTGTGAAGATCCGGCTTAGAGTTCATCACCAAGAACTGCACCCCATTCAGTTCCACTTAGCCTGGCGCCCCAAGTATCGGCGTTACAAGCATGGGTTACTGAAGATCAATTCTAACCCGGATCTTCCCGGGTTGTGATATTTGAATCGGACTCAAAACCGAAGCTACCCGGATCTTCCCGGGTTGTGATATTTGAATCGGACTCAAAACCGAAGCTACGGCTTCTTGTCTGGACAAGACAAACAAGTGGTTGACAGCATGAGCACCGACCTAGGTAGTTGAGATACCTTGACACCTTTAAAGCGTTCGCCCGTCACGCTGAAGACCCGGGTTCGATTCCCCACATGGGTACAATGGATGAAGCCTATTTCTGGTGTCCCCCCGCCGTGATTTTGCTGGAATATTGCTAAAAGCGGCCTAAAACCATACTCAATCCCTCAGTCGAATAATTTGGTATTGAACATTTGTCTACATGGGAAATTACATTGTGAAAGTATTTCAATCCCTCCATCACAGGTTTCATGATGTATCCCATGTGCACGGTGGCAGATCTTGTACACACCGTCAACAGCAACTTCGGCAGCCTCGACCTCGGCCCAGCCGACATCGTCAGACAAGGTAGTACTGCACCTTCCTAGTTCTCTTGTGAAATGCTTAATCCAACGATTGCGTTTATACCAACGGATACGAACGGTATATATCTGGGAAAGACATGAGTGGGTGAGTGAGTGAGTGAGTAAGTTTGGTTTAACACTTCTTTGAACAGTTTCCAGTTAAGAGAGAACATCAAAACATTACCCATGGAAACCAAATGCAAGTAGGGTAAACTAGGGTTATAACGAAGTCAAAAGGACCACTGATTTTAATGCAAGTGGAGTAAATTAGGGTTATAACGAAGTCAAAAGGACCACTGATTTTAATGCAAGTAGAGTAAACTAGGGTTATAACGACGTCAAAAGGACCACTGACTTTAATGCAAGTAGAGTAAACTAGGGTTATAACGACGTCAAAAGGACCACTGATTTTAATGCAAGTAGAGTAAACTAGGGTTATAACGACGTCAATAGGACCACTGATTTTAATGCAAGTGGAGTATACTAGGGTTATAACGAAGTCAAAAAGACCACTGATTTTAATGCAAGTAGAGTAAACTAGGGTTATAACGACGTCAAAAGGACCACTGATTTTAATGCAAGTAGAGGAAACTAGGGTTATAACGACGTCAAAAGGACCACTGACTTTAATGCAAGTAGAGAAAACACCAGGGTTATAACGACGTCAATAGGACCACTGACTTTAATGCAAGTGGAGTATACTAGGGTTATAACGACGTCAATAGGACCACTGACTTTGTGCAAGTAGAGTAAACTAGGGTTATAACGACGTCAAAGGGACCACTGACTTTATGCAAGTAGAGTAAACTAGGGTTATAACGACGTCAAAAGGACCACTGATTTTGATGCAAGTAGAGTAAACCAGGGTTATAACGACGTCAATAGGACCACTGACTTTAATGCAAGTGGAGTATACTAAGGTTATAACGACGTCAATAGGACCACTGACTTTGTGCAAGTAGAGACCGACTGACTTTAATGCAAGTAGAGTAAACTAGGGTTATAACGACGTCAAAGGGACCACTGACTTTAATGCAAGTGGAGTATACTAGGGTTATAACGACGTCAATAGGACCACTGACTTTAATGCAAGTAGAGTAAACTAGGGTTATAACGACGTCAATAGGACCACTGACTTTAATGCAAGTAGAGTATACTAGGGTTATAACGACGTCAAAAAGACCACTGACTTTAATGCAAGTAGAGTAAACCAGGGTTATAACGACGTCAAAGGGACCACTGACTTTAATGCAAGTAGAGTAAACTAGGGTTATAACGACGTCAATAGGACCACTGACTTTAATGCAAGTAGAGTAAACCAGGGTTATAACGACGTCAATAGGACCACTGACTTTAATGCAAGTAGAGTATACTAGGGTTATAACGACGTCAAAGGGACCACTGACTTTAATGCAAGTAGGGTAAACTAGGGTTATAACGACGTCAAAAAGACCACTGACTTTAATGCAAGTAGAGTAAACTAGGGTTATAACGACGTCAAAAGGACCACTGACTTTAATGCAAGTAGAGTAAACTAGGGTTATAACGACGTCAAAAGGACCACTGACTTTAATGCAAGTAGAGTAAACCAGGGTTATAACGACGTCAAAAGGACCACTGATTTTAATGCAAGTAGAGTAAACCAGGGTTATAACGACGTCAATAGGACCACTGGCTTTAATGCAAGTAGAGTAAACTAGGGTTATAACGACGTCAAAAGGACCACTGACTTTAATGCAAGTAGAGTAAACTAGGGTTATAACGACGTCAATAGGACCACTGACTTTAATGCAAGTGGAGTATACTAGGGTTATAACGAAGTCGAAAAGACCACTGGTTTTAATGCAAATAGAGTAAACTATAACGACGTCAAAAAGACCACTGACTTTAATGCAAGTAGAGTAAACTAGGGTTATAACGACGTCAAAAGGACCACTGACTTTAATGCAAGTAGAGTAAACCAGGGTTATAACGACGTCAAAAGGACCACTGGCTTTAATGCAAGTAGAGTAAACTAGGGTTATAACGACGTCAAAAGGACCACTGACTTTAATGCATTATAACCGTAGTTACTTGTACGAATTTGAACTAACATAAACAAGAAGTAGCCGGGACAATAAATCACACTTCGTTATATCCGTCAGTTCGTTATAAACCTAGTTAACGGTAACCCCATTAGTTGGAGTAAGTCTCCTCTTAGACTCGTCATAGATAATTTACCCCTTAATTCCCATGTTAAACTGCTGCATAGAACATATATCTCAGTGTTACCGCACGCACGCACGCACGCACGCACGCACGCACGCACGCACGAACTCATATATGTTCAGTACGTCGCTATATTATCTTGTTTTGTCGCCGAGGGCATTTGTGTAGCCCAATGGTTAAAGCGTTCGCTCGTCACGCCAAAGACCCGGGTTCGATTCCCCACATGGATACAATGTGTGAACTTAAGTCCATTTCTGGTGTCCCCTGCCGTGATATTGCTGGAATATTGCTTAAAACGGCGTATAATAACCTCACTCACCTTACTTCACTATCCGTTATCAGACCACCTGAGGCGTCTACTGAGTCCGGGGAAGATCGACATCAGTACCATCCAAGTGTCCAGGAAAGTCTTACTGCCTGACATCTACATCCCGACGTCCGAGATGAATGTCCATAATGGCCCGAGGGGTAACAGACTGGTCATCAGGAGGAATGGTGTGATACTCAACACGCCATTTAAACCCAGGTACATTTTACTGACCAATCAAACTTTTTCCTTCTAAATCTAGGCATTTTGAACAAACTTCTGATCAAACAGATTGACAAAGTTTAAAATTCCAGAATATCTCAAACAACAAACAAACAAAGTCAGATCACACGGTTTCAGTATTAATCGACAGGGAGAAGAAACTAGGGACCAAGTGAACTCCCACCACGTTAACGTTCAAATGCAGTGGTTCTGGTGTCCCCCGCCGTGATATTGCTGGAATATTGCTAAAAGCGGCGTAAAACTAAACTCACTCACTCACTCAAATGCAGTGGCCATCTTCCTTCGACATTTCCAGATCGTTCTTGGAGGTTCTTACCAACAGCAACCATTATGAGTACTTCAAGCGGTTCCTGGCCGCTCGGAAGGTGACGGTTCCGCTGCAGTTCTGGCGCGCCGTGGAGGACCTGAAGGAAACGGGTAACTACAAAGCCAGACAAATGAAGACCAACCACATCTTCAGGAGGTTCTTTGGCAAGCAGGTCAAGTATGGTACGTATAGCGCGTATAGGTATAATTAAACCCCGCCTAATAATGTATTTGTGTGAGCGAGTGATCGCGGTGGGGTAGACTAGTTGCTAAAGCGTTCTCTCGTCACGCCGAAGACCCGGGTTCGATTCCAAATATGGGTACAGTGTGTAGAATCCGTTTCTGGTGTCCCCCGACTAGAAATTGCTGGAATATTGCGAAAGGCGTAAAAGCTCACCTACTCACTAAAGCGTCCTCGTAATTTAACTATAATAGTTCAGGGCAAAACTGTACTTTATTACTGATACATAGGGGTTAGAGCGAACTGTATTTCTTAACATACTGACGAAATAGTATTTTAATAATAAATATATCATTACTGAAGAAAAATATTCATGGTCACTAACCTTTTTGAGTGAGTGAGTGGGAATTATACGCTGATATTGGCAGAAGCATTGACAAGGCCGTGGGCATCTAGTCCATAGGCTTAGCATAAACCTGTGCACTTTGTACGAAATGTGGCACGCAATTGGTTTGTTGCAAAACATTTCAATTTAAGACAGGACCATTCTGCCCTATAGGGAATTTAGCCACATAATTATTAAGGAATTTGCTTTCAATGTCCTCGGATTCGTAACAGCTTGTTGCAACGTTTTATATATACTATATAGAGAATACTAAACGATGTCCCGTCTAATACCATATTTATGAAACGAGTGAATGGTTTGGTATCTAACGAGCGAAAGCTCGTTAGATACCAATACCATTCACGAGTTTCATAAATGTGGTATTAGACGGGACATAGTATAGTATTTTATTTATTACTCACCAAACAATAGCAAAATAATATAGAGCAAAGTAATTCTTTCCTAAGAATTCAACAAGTGTGATGACTCTCTATCAGCTTTCCGCCAGTCAAGCAAGGTCTAATACTATTGTGACAGAGGTATGAGCATTGTGACGTCATAACTGTAAACCACTTTGACGTTTAACGTACGGCATCACGTGATGTTATTACACAATGTGTAGTAACATTGTAAAATTATTAAACAGTGATATCTTCAACGGGTGAGTAATAAAAACGGATAAATATTTAGGCGGATGATCGAACAAATACGTTCACGTACTCATTTCGGTCTATCACAGGCTCGAACCTAGACTGCAGTGACGAGGTAATCAAACAGATCCCATATATAGAAAACGTCACAGCCGGCATGATGGTGTGCGCGCAGGCTAGCATCTTCAGGATGATGGAACGGAAGTGGTAAGTTGGGAGGAGGTCGATCTGGGCATTCGTAACTACTCGTGTCATTCAGGCAAGCCGGATGGCGTCACGGAAAGAGGCGAGTAGTTACGAATGCGATCTGGGCGGAGGAACTGTAAAACTGGGTCCCGATCCACAAAGCGCTCGTAGCGCTACGACATTCGTAAGCCTATAATAAACTATAGAGTTACGACACGAACACTTTGTGGATCATAACTTATGAGAATAGATCAAACAAGATGATCATGAGAAAGCATATCGATCATATTTTCATACGATACACAAATACGGAAACATGTTGATGTAAATGTTTTACACGTACAGTAAATTACGTTTCTAACGAACATGCTTATAACGTACCGACGGATATGACGAACTGTTTGGTTTTTTTATTCACGGACACTTGCTGTATATTTTAGTCGAAATGCGTTTAACTACGGTTATCTCGAACTTCAATTAGTGTAGTTCGTTTTAAACCATAGTTTGCTGTATAATCATATGGCTAGGCTAACATCTGGTCTCTGAAATGAATATATTTTGCGCAAAATTGTTTTAAATATATATTTATTAATATAATAAAAAGGAGCCCAGAAACTGTGGTAAACTATACATGCTACGTATTCTAGACGTGCATGGAATGTCATGGGTATATTTGTTTCAGGGTCTGCATAACAAACTATCATTTGGTAAGCTCTAAACGCTGATAACACATGGTAATGTTCACCTGACATGCCACCATGATACCCTTATGTCCTCAACGTGTATTATATTTGTGTTCAATACGACTTCCTTTTAGCCATGTAGAATACCAAACACCTAAACCAGGGACGGGTTCTCATATGTTCATCTGTCGAGCAAAACTATCACCTATATGCCCTTACATGAACGTAAACGATATATCTCCCTAAAACATGCAGGTATACTTTCTTATGATCGCATTGCAGTCATTTTTAAGTCTCATTTGGATGTGGATTTTAAACCTGAAGTGAACTATGTTACTTTTGAGCATCTTGAAGTAATTATCAAATCCCAAGCTGGCATTGTCAGATGTGCCTGTGTATATCGACCACCAATTTCGAAACAAAACAAAGTGCAGCTATCGAAATTCTATGATGAGTTTGAAATAATAAACCAGGAAAGCTTACTGTTTTTGGAGACATTAACTTTCACTTCGAGGACAAGAGCAATGCAAACACAAACAAACTTGTCAACATTTTGAACTCTCTGAATCTGGAACAACTTGTGAGTATACCAACACATAAACACGGACATATCTTAGATTTGGTTATATCAAGAAACAGTGAAGATACTATTCAAGTTCTCAACATTGAAGATCTTCAAATGTCTGACCATTTTCCAGTGTTTTACTGCATTAATGCACAGTTTGAAAAATGTAAACTAAAAAAACAGTGATACAGAATTTTTTAAAAACTGGACCGCGAACATTTCAGATGTGATGTTCTAGACTCAGCCCTGAAATCTATTGATCTTGAAGATTTGGAGACATCTGCAGACATGTACAACACTGTGCTACGCAATCTTTAGGATAAACACGCACCTATTCGTGAGAAATACATTGCTGATAAACTTCCATCTCCCTGGTATAATGAAGACATTAAGCAAGAGAAAAGTCAGCGACGTAAACTATAAAAAAGGAGGAAATCAAAACTTGAAATTGACCGCCAGAGTTAACTGTATGATCCGCACAGCAACGGTGGCTTTCTACAACCAGGAGATCTTACACACCGACACTGATTCTAAAAAGCTGTTTAGAATATCCTCAAATCTCGTGAACAAAACTAAATTTCAAATTCTACCAAATTGTGGAACGGATGCCGACATAGCAGCTATTTTTGGGAGACATTTTAAGGAAAAGGTGGATAACATTCGTGTGAATCTTGAGAAGGAAAGTCCTCAAGAAAACACATTGTTTGGTCAGAAAGACCATGATGTTATTGTTATACCTTTACATGTACTGTACATGTTCTCTGAGAATGAAATTCTTGATGTCATAAAAACTATGCCTGCCAAAACCTGTGTTCTGGATCCAATACCGACTGCTCTTGTTAAAGAGTGTATGGATGTTCTCCTCCCAACCATCACTGACATTGTCAACAAGTCCCTCAAAGAGGGTACAGTTCCTACAGCATTCAAACAAGCCGTTGTCAAGCCACTTCTCAAGAACGATAATCTTGATAAAAATGAACTAAAGAACTATAGGCCTGTTTCGAACCTGTCATTCATATCAAAGGTTCTTGAGGAATGTGTCTCTCTGAGGCTACGACAACATCAAATAACAACAGTTTATATGAAAAATTACAATCTGCCTACAGATGTGGGCACAGCACGGAGACGGCTTTGATCCGAGTTACGAATGACATCGTAACTGCTGTTGATGAAGGCAAGGTGGTAATCTTGGTGCTACTAGATCTCTCATCAGCCTTTGACACTGTGGATTATAACATTCTCTTAGGAATCCTTAAACACGACCTTGGCATTACAGAGATTGCACTTGCATGGTTCAAATCTTATCTAGCCGACCGAAAACAGTCAGTGGTTGTAAACAGCTCAACATCAGACTCGTGTGATCTTAACTGTGGAGTTCCACAAGGTTCTATATTAGGTCCTGTCTTGTTTACTCTGTATACTCGATCGCTCAACAAGATTGCAGACAAGCATGGTCTACAGCAACATCAGATTGCTGATGATAATCAGATATATATCGGATTCACGATTTGGAATGCAGATACAAGTGTGATCAAGGTTGAACCATGCTGCAGTGACATCAAGCAATGGACGCTGTGTCATCTACTAAAGCCCAATCAGGACAAGACAGAGTTCATGGCAATAGGCACAAAAAAGCATCTACAACAGTGCAACGGTATTCCCCGGCTTGTCATTGGAGATTCCGTCATCACCCCATCAGCAAAATTGAAGAACTTGGGTGTACTGTTTGACCAACAGCTGAGTATGAATCACCATGTTACTCGTGTGTGCCAGACTGCAAACTATCATCTCAGAAACATCGAGAAGATCCGTCCATACCTCACCAGACCTGCAGCACAAAAACTGACTGTTTCCCTTATTTTGTCCAGATTGGACTATTGTAATTGTCGACTTGTCAATACCGCTAAAGAACAGATCAAAAGACTTCAAACCCTTCAGAACACTGCTGCCAGAATCACATCCAGAGCGTCTAAGTTTGACCCCATTTCCCCAGTACTGAAGGAGCTCCATTGGTTGACAGTTTCTTTCCGCATTGACTATAAAATACTTTTGTATGCATACAAGTGTTTTCACAAAATTGCTCCACCGTACCTCACTGAACTACTCAACATCTATCGTCCTCCGAGACCTCTCAGATCACGAAAGCAAAAACTTTTCACCATTCCAAAAATTCAGACCTCAACTTTTGGCAAGAGAACATTCAAATATGCAGCTGCAGAAAAATGGAACTGTCTACCCGAAAATCTTAAATCTGTCTCTTCACTTGAATCTTTCACGACACAATGAAAGACTGTTAACTTCTCCCATGCTTTCCCTTGCTAGGCGCGCAGAGCATAGGACTGTGAATGATGCGCTATATAGATTCATGTATTATTATTATGATCGTCAGTCTAGTATTTTCGGTAATTAAAGGACCAACATGAAATAAGGGATGTTTGTTATAACCATGCGTGAATAGGTGAGGTTTACCATCGCTGATAACAGCGTGTCAACTTGAGGTGAGGTGAGGTGAAATTGGGTTTATCGTCGTGCTTGAGAATATTTCGCTCATATGACGACGTGCATGCGTGTGTATGTGTATGTGCGGCTGCTTGTGCTAGCCCAGACCTCAGCTGGTAAAATAGTGCTAGCCCACTGAGATACCATGCCGCAGTGAAGCATGAATACCCTACTCGGACACATTATACTGACTCCGAGCCGACCAGTCCTTGTTGTACCCATTAATGCCGAGCGCCAGGCAGGGACCAACAAGTACCATATTTTAACGTGATTTGGTATGACGCGGTCGGGGATCGAAACTGCGACCTTCCGCTCTCCGGGCGGACGCTCTAACCACTACACCACGGAGGCGGTTGTGTCAACTTGAATAGGGAGGGAAGCCCGATGTGACGTAATGAAGACGTTCACTGCGATGACGGCAGTCGTGAGCAAAAGTAAAAATATAATGAGGGCAAGTCTGGATTTCGAACCCACTGTGTCACCCTGTTTGTTTAGTCGGAATGTTTCGCGGCAAGAATAGGCCTCTATCACACAAATTCTTGTAAAAACAACTAACATACGAGTGTGTGTTTGTTGTTTAACGCCGCACTCAGCAATATTCCAGCTATATGGCGGCGGTCTGTAAATAATCGAGTCTGGACCAAACAATCCAATGATCAACAGCATAAGCATCGATCTACGCAATTGGGAACCGATGACATGTGTCAACCAAGTCATCGAGCCTGACCACCCGATCCCGTTAGTCGCCTCTTACGACAAGCATAGGTTACTGAAGACGAGTTCTAACGGGTTACGGGTAGTAACATACGGGGATTAGGACTCTAAATGGCCGCTGTTTATGACTGGATAATAGGAATGTTTATTTGTCCTCCAATGGATTGGTGCATACACTGCCGTTCACTAGAACCGGTGGCAAGTTATTTTTATCAAACTATTGCGAAACTTGTATAAACTAACATCTCTGGTATTTTATTTATTTTATGTATTATTTATTCATGAAAGGTTCCCGGGATATTTGGAAACGTTCCCAATAGATTCAGAGCTTCGGGATCTAGCGCCCTCTATGATCGAAGTCTCGCAGCATGACATCTCGCCAATGATGATGGAATGGAAGCCACGGAAGAAGCCCGTGAGGAAAACGGTAGGACAGGAGTCATCAGACAATAGCCACACAATACCGATTGGATATTTGCAGTGACTGTATGGGCAACGGGGCGGTGGGGTAGCCTAGTGGTAAAAGCGTTCGCTTGTCACGCCAAAGATCCGGCTTCGATTCCCCACATTGGTACAATGTGTGAAGCACATTTCTCATGTCCCACGCCGTGATATTGCTGAAATATTGCTAAAAACGACGTAAAACCATACTCACGCACTTCTTCCTTCTCATTTATAATCACGTGTCATGATCTACTTTTAATTTTTCTTTGAATAATAATTTTGAAATACTTTGTCTCCCAGTTTCATTTGTGGCTTGGCTTCGTGTCTGTTATCCGTGACTTCATGCGGAGTATGCGTAGCCAGGTAGAAGTCCAGCTATTCGAGATCTACTTGAAGAGAGAACTGGTCAGGCTTTCTTCAGCTGAGAGTGAGTATATCCCGACACGGTGCGAACAATACACGATCTGTACTGGCTACAAGTGTACGTGTGTGTGCATTCATTTATGTTTCACCAATTTTGTTCTGGGGAGGTAGGGGGGTCATCAATTTTGTACATGTGTACTAGGGGGGTCATCAATTTTGTACATAAAAATATTAAACAATTAGGCTTACAAAATATGGGAAGGGGTTGGGGGGTCATTGATTTTGTACATGATATGCAGAGGGGGGTCACTTACTTTGTACATAAATTTTAGGGGGGGTCAGTCACATTGTACATGCTTCTCCATAAAAATCATCATCACCCCCCTAGCCATAAATTATGAACGGTCCCTTAGTCTTCAGTAACCCATGCTTGTCGTAAGAGGCGACTGACGGGATCGGGGTGCCGTTGTACAAAGCAACCGTAGCGCTACGCCAGTCGTAAGTCTATGTTATGGTATGGGAGTTACGATCACCTTAGCGCTACGCCAGTCGTAAGTCTATGTTAAGGTATGGGAGTTACGATCACCTTAGCGCTACACCTGTCGTAAGTCTATGTTAAGGTATGGGAGTTACGATCACCTTAGCGCTACGCCAGTCGTAAGTCTATGTTAAGGTATGGGAGTCACGATCACCTTAGCGCAAGGATTGTTTTGTACAACGGCACCCTTGTGGTCAGGCTGGTTGACACATGTGATCGTATCCCACTTGCGTAGATCGATGCTGTTGATCACTGGATTGTCTGGTCCAGACTCGACTATTTACAAACCGCCGTCATATAGCGGGAATATTGCTGAGTGCGGCGTTAAACAACCAAATCAAACTCTTCATGCCAAACACTTGTAGGCATTGATAGTTTGATATGTCATTGCAGTGGACTTGACCCGCACATGACTGACCTGGATCTTCTGGATACGTTGTTTGACAATAGTGGAAGCAAAGTCCAACAAACAAAAAATGAATAAAACGTTAAATTTAATCTGTGGAATTCCCACTGTTGCAGAGCTAATGGAACCCCGTGAGCCAAATCCTCGAGGCCGTGACCTGAACTTCGACTCCCCCCTGTCCACCATGACACGGGTCGTCCTCCGCAACAAGGTGGTCGTCATCAACAAGCTGCCCAGAGACCTTTTGTTCTGGCTGGAGGTCAACCTGTACGTGGTTTCCATAGAAACCAATTTAGGTGGTTTTGGAATTCTTTCAAGAGATTTTAGTTCTCGTTTGTGGTGTTAGCATTGTTAGGTGACCTGTAGTCTGTTGGTTTCCACCTCCTTAAGGGGGAGGTGGGGTAGTCTAGTGGTTAAAGCGTTACGTCGCTCGTCATGCCGGACACCGGGTTCGATTACCCACATTCGCACAACTTGCGAAGCCTATTTCTGGTGTCCCCCGTCGTGATATTGCTGGAATATTGCTAAAGGCGGCGTAAAACTCCCTCACTCACCAAATTCAGTTCTTGCTGGAGATAAACAGGTAGTTAACGTATCCCTTCTTACCTTAGGTTTCCATGGAAACACCTGAGGGTGGTCAAAAGTTCTGGGCCTAGATTTTCGAAGCTCTCTTAGCGCTAAGATAGTCGTAAGTGCCATACATTAACATTAACTTACGACTATCTTAGCGCTAAGAGAGCTTCGAAAATCTACGCCCTGAACGTAGAAAGTAGAACGTTGGAAAACTGAAGTTAAAAGGTTCTCAAAGTACCGATTTCACATAGTGGATGGGCGGCGGGTGGCCCTGTCGTCTAAGGCGGGACAATTCGGGATGCAGAGTTGCGTCTCAAGGGTTTGAATCCCGATAATGTTTCTAGGTTTGTCAGCACCATGCCCATCGGTTTCAACAAAGGGGTGAACGTCTAAGACGTAGCCCAGTGGTTAAAGCGTCCGCTCGTCACGCTGAAGACATGGTTTCGAGTCCCCACATGGGTGCAATGTGTGAAGGGCCATTTCTGGTGTCCCCCGCCGTGATATTGCTGGAATGTTGCTAAAAGCGGCGTAAAACGATACTCACTCACAACCTGCATCACTTCCGGGTTTTTTCCCCTGCACCAAGCCGACATATCTGAATTGGGCGGTGGGGTAGCCTTGTGGTTAAAGCGTTCGCTCGTCACTCCGAAGTGTGAAGCCCATTTATGGTGTCCCCGCCGTGATATTGCTGGAATATTGCTAAAAGCGGCGTAAAACTAAACTCACTCACTCACATATCTGAATTACTGTTGGCGAAAACGTGAACTCGTAGTTAATCGTGTTATACCATTAAGGACAGGGTGTTAGTTAAGTCGTACCTGGTGTGTGTGTGTGTGTGCGTGTGTGTGTGTGTGCGAGCGCTCAGCGGACTCATTCCAGCCTAATAGAGCACGTTTCCCACTTCTCGTACAGTGATTTTCAGTCATGCTTTCGAACCATTTTTACCATTGTTTTGTCTTTTACGCCCAAAGGAATCGGTTTTGGGGCGTTAACGTTGTACATTATTTATTGTGCATGTTTAGACAGATGCCCGGATCTACCAACATTGGAGAGTAACGGTGTTTTCGGACAGATAATGATTATGAGTGTGCTCTGATAATCTGTTGGTAGAACATTGCATAGTAGATCAAGTGTTCGCCCGTTCCGCCGTAAAAAGCCCGGGTTCGATTCCCAACATGGGTGCAAAGTATGCAACCCCGATGATGGTGGGCTATTGCTGCCGATGACGCTAAACCCACCTCATTGGGACTGTGAGTGAGTGAGTTGGGTTTTACGCCACTTCTAGCAATATTCAAGGATTATCACGGCGGGGAACACCAGAAATGGGCTTCACACATTGTACCCATGTGGGGAATCGAACCCGGGTCTTCGGCTTGACGAGCGGGCGCTTTAACCACTAGGCTACCTCACCGCCCTCACTGTTACTGTACTCGTCCTCAGATTCCGGCAACAGGTCGACAGTGTCACCCAGTCCGGCACTTACTCCAAGGAGGACAACGACATGCTTCTAGAGAAGGTAGAAGCTATAGTCACCTGCTTCCTGGCGTCAGAAGTTCCTCCTCGCGTGCAGGTGGGGACCGGGCAGATGACTATAACTCATAACTTGCAATGTCAATCATTCTTCGAAATACCTTTTCTAGTTTGATAAACTAGGGGCGATAGGTAAAAGACACTTTTTTGTCTATATTTTCATGTTTCATTTAAAATTGTTGAAAATTTAGCGTTTTTATATATATCCAAAAACTTAGTTAGCACTTAAGGAATACTTTTACATGATTCTATTGTTTCAATTCGTATAAAATACGCAACTGCTGATGGGCAGTTCATCTTTGAAAATCGATTTATCGATTACCTTTTTTCCGGCATAAATGTACATCATTTCGGTACCCGTGAAGATCCGGTTAGAATTGATCTTGATTAATCCATGCTTGTCGTAAGAAGCGACTAAAGTTATCGGGTGGTCGGGCTCACTGACTTCGTTCACACCTGTTATCGTATCCCAGTTGCCTAGATCGATGCTCATTATGTTGATCACTGGTTTGTCTGGTCCAGACTCGATTATTTAGAGACCGCCGCCAAATAGCTGGGATAATTGCTGAGTGAGGCGTGAAATAACAAACAAAACACTGACTCGCTCACTCACTCACTCAGACTTCTTAAAGAACAAATAAACTTTGGACGCATTTTTGATTACTCTTTTAACTATTACATATGAAAGATTTGTGGTTAGACTTATGCGCCTGAACACCAAATTCATTCTTAAAAACTTTTGGTTAATTAATACAAATAAGCGATTAAAAGTTGCCATAAAAGTCGCCTGCTTCACTCTCGCCCGCCAACGAAACCACAGACAGGTTACGTAACTCTGTCGCCAGAGCACTGCAGTGACGTCATATGAGGAACGATTTTCAGTTAGTTGTATAGAAAGTGTGTAGCACGCTCATCATTTTGATGATTTCTCGACATCAACGACGACATGCCGAATCGTTGCTTTGTCGTCAATTGCTCCTAGGGGTCGGGCGATGGTGTCACCATGCACAGATTTCCACAGGAACCCGCAGTTCGTGCTAAATGGGTTATGTTTGTGAGTGCGAAGCGAGCGTTGTGGAAGCCTGAAACGATATCTTACTTGTGTTCAGATCGCTTCACGGAAGTTAAAGAATCAAAACTACTTACTAGTTGTAGTAAAATATGTATATGATTGATGACCATAAAGATTTTCCATGACACAACTTGTAACATAACGATTTCTTCCTCGGAAGCGAGGTTGTGGTCGAAGTAACAATAATATTGTAAGTAGTATTATATTGACACCCACCTCGCTGCCATGAGAGAAATTGTTATGTTATAAGCTATGTCATGCAAAATCCTATTGGCCATCAATCAAATACATATTTTACTACCAGTAGAAAGTAGTTTTGATTTTGTAACTCGGTGAAAACAAACCTAAATAGCATTTATCCTCAGACTGGCGGATGTTCGCGACAGGGCGCCGCCATTTTTGAAAATCGTAAAGTCACGGGCTAAAGTCTGTTAGAATTAATGAGATTATGGTTTGTTTTCATCAAGTTAGAAAATCAAAACTACTTTCTACTCGTAGTTAAATATGTATTGGAATCATAACCAAAAGGATTTTGCATGACACAACTTATAACATAACGATTTCTTCCACGGAAGCGAGGTGGGGGTCGAAGTCACAATACTGCGCGATAAATGTCTTGCTACATTCACATGGTTAACGTCCACTCACCAGTATGTAGATACTAGTCAATGTACGTCTATATATTTGGTCTTATAATCCTAATTAGTTTATTATCATAGTTGTATGCATTTTGAAACTTAATAAAAAGCAGACGATCTGCTGATACTTGTAGTGAATTTATAACAGAACTGTAATATCTAGACATTTTATAGTTTGCCAATGAGAATCATAATTCGCACACATTCCCTAGTGTATGTTGTCTGTCTCATTACACTTCACGGCGAAAACAATGATTCTGTTGAATGCTACGACAAATGAATAAAAACAAAATGCAAATATTAAAATTAAAACAGATTAAAGTTATAGGAACAATGTCAGGCTATTACCTTGTTCGAGGAATGTATCCATCAATATCCACAAAAACGAGTGATATGCCATTCATCTGCAGCTGTTCCAAGTGATGTGTCTTTTAACAGTTTAATATACGAAAAAGTGATAAATCTTTTCAGGTATTTCACATTGGTGTATAGTCTCATTGGTCACCCAAGATAGCACACCTGGCAACTAATTGCATAATGTCCGCCTTTCTTTAAAAACAGTAATTTAGTTAGCCAATAATGGGCAATCAATCAATGTATTGCCGGTTAATCCTTTGAAAGAAGGACGTTGTTTTTTACGCAGACACCGACACGACAGAGTGTATTCAGTATAGATTAGTAAATCTACATACATAAACACTACCTTTTTGACAAATCCGCTGTGTAAGATAAAAGTAATTAATCAATCAGCGTGTTATCGGTTAATCCTTTGATCGATGTTTATAATGTTGAATATTTACTCCAGACACAAGAAATGCCAAATGGGAACCTTTGTCGGGTAATCTAAGTGTGTTACCACTAATTATACCTGTTATAAATTCATTAACTGACCATCAAGTGAATGATGACAAATAACATGTGTAGGTTTATACCACCTAACACGGGTTACAACAAGGGAGTATTAATTGCTGTATTGCATGTGAAAACTTATGGGCCGACACTGTTTTGAGAATACAAACAGATTTTTACATGACATGATTAAATATCGAGGTAAAAACACAGAAATGGGATCAATTTGGATCAGTCATTATACAAATAAGGCCTAACGACACCAAGCGATTTTGACAGAATCGTCTATGAAAACAAGTTGTAACTCGGAAACTAGGCAAAGCAGGAGACAAAATTAAATGACAGTAGATTGTGAGAACATATAGCTTTCATTTTCCACAACAGTTGTCACGATTTCAGGTTTATACAAACCTGTAAACAAGATAATTTACCCCCTGAAATGTAGATGAATTCTGCATCGGCCCTCATATCTATTCCTCATATGACGTCACAGAGACGCCCCGCTCTGATTGGTTGAAATTTCGTTCGCGGGTGAGAATTGTGCACTGTTGTCAAAAAGGTCGATTTAAGTTAATTAAAGACCGAAGTGAGTAGTTTTAATGACGGGGTTTCATTTATAGCGATGCCAGTTAGTGATTTATGTATTTGTACCCCCTAGAGTATATGATCTTTGATCTTTAATGACTCATAATTCTTGTTTCAAATGATTGACTATATCTTTTCAATCCAAAATGAGAAAAAAATATACTCTTCAATGGTTTATTTGTAGATATAATGAAAAACGAAAGATTTGCGTTTTACCATTTTTTATGTAATTTTTGTCTTTTCTGTTTTGGCTAGACTTTCTTCAGAGTGGCTTGATATTATGCATTTCCTCTGTATGAGGAAGGTTTTCTTCAGAATGGCTTGACACAATACATTTTCTCTGTATAATGCAGGTTTTCTTCTGAATGGCTTGACACAATACATTTTCTCTGTATAATGCAGGTTTTCTTCAGAATGGCTTGACACAATACATTTTCTCTGTATAATGCAGGTTTTCTTCAGAAAGGCTTGACACAATACATTTTCTCTGTATAATGCAGGTTTTCTTCAGAACTTGACACAATACATTTTCCCTGTATAATGCAGGGTTTTCTTCAGAATGGCTTGACACAATACATTTTCTCTGTATGATGCAGGTTTCTTCTCAGAATGACACAAGTACATTTTCTCTGTATAATGCAGGTTTTTCTCAGAAAGGCTTGATACAACGCGTTTTTCCCTGTATAATGCGTTTTCTTTTTTTCAGAAAGGCTTGATACACGCGCTTTCCCTACGTTTTGACACAGTACGTTTTCTGTGTGATGCAGGTTTTCTTCAGAAAGGCTTGACACAATACATTTTCTCTGTGTGATGCAGGTTTTCTTCAGAATGGCTTGACACAATGCGCTTTCCCTGTATAATGCAGGTTTTGTTCAGAAAGGCTTGACACAGTACGTTTTCTCTGTGTGATGCAGGTCTTCCTCAGAATGGCTTGACACAATACGTTTTCTCTGTGTGATGCAGGTTTTCTTCAGAATGGCTTGACACAATACATTTTCTCTGTGTGATGCAGGTTTTCTTCAGAATGGCTTGACACAACGCGCTTTCTCTGTATAATGCAGGTTTTGTTCAGAAGGGCTTGACACAATATGTTTTCTCTGTGTGATGCAGGTTTTCTTCAGAATGGCTTGACACAATACATTTTCTCTGTGCGATGCAGGTTTTCTTCTGAATGGCTTGACACAATACATTTTCTCCGTGAGATGCAGATTTTCTTCAGAATGGCTTGACACAATACATTTTCTCTGTATAATGCAGGTTTTCTTCTGAATGGCTTGACACAATACATTTTCTCTGTGAGATGCAGATTTTCTTCAGAATGGCTTGACACAATACATTTTCTCTGTATAATGCAGATTTTCTTCAGAATGGCTTGACACAATACATTTTCTCTGTATAATGGAGGTTTTCTTCAGAAAGGCTTGACACAACGCGCTTTCCCTGTATAATGCAGGGTTTTTATTCATAAAGGCTTGACACAGTACGTTTTCTCTGTGTGATGCAGGTTTTCCTCAGAATGGCTTGATACAACGCGCTTTCCCTGTATAATGCAGGTTTTTTTCAGAAAGGCTTGACACAGTACGTTTTCTCTGTGTGATGCAGGTTTTCTTCAGAAAGGCTTGACACAATACATTTTCTCTGTGTGATGCAGGTTTTCTTCAGAATGGCTTGACACAATGCGCTTTCCCTGTATAATGCAGGGTTTTTTTCAGAAAGGCTTGACACAGTATGTTTTCTCTTTGTGATGCAGGTTTTCCTCAGAAAGGCTTGACACAATACATTTTCTCTGTGTGATGCAGGTTTTCTTCAGAATGGCTTGATACAACGCGCTTTCCCTGTATAATGCAGGGTTTTTTCCAGAAAGGCTTGACACAGTACGTTTTCTCTGTGTGATGCAGGTTTTCTTCAGAAAGGCTTGACACAATACATTTTCTCTGTGTGATGCAGGTTTTCTTCAGAATGGCTTGACACAATGCGCTTTCCCTGTATAATGCAGGGTTTTTTCAGAATGGCTTGACGCAATACGTTTTCTCTGTGTGATGGAGGTTTTCTTCAGAATGGCTCGACACAATACATTTTCTCTGTGTGATGCAGGTTTTCTTCTGAATGGCTTGACACAATACATTTTCTCTGTGTGATGCAGGTTTTCTTCAGAATGGCTTGACACAATACATTTTCTCTGTATAATGCAGGTTTTCTTCTGAATGGCTTGACACAATACATTTTCTCTGTGAGATGCAGATTTTCCTCAGAATGGCTTGATACAATGCGCTTTCCCTGTATAATGCAGGTTTTTTTCAGAAAGGCTTGACACAGTACGTTTTCTCTGTGTGATGCAGGTTTTCTTCAGAAAGGCTTGACACAATACATTTTCTCTGTGTGATGCAGGTTTTCTTCAGAATGGCTTGACACAACGCGCTTTCCCTGTATAATGCAGGTTTTTTTCAGAATGGCTTGACACAATACGTTTTCTCTGTGTGATGGAGGTTTTCTTCAGAATGGCTCGACACAATACATTTTCTCTGTGTGATGCAGGTTTTCTTCTGAATGGCTTGACACAATACATTTTCTCTGTGTGATGCAGGTTTTCTTCAGAATGGCTTGACACAATACATTTTCTCTGTATAATGCAGGTTTTCTTCTGAATGGCTTGACACAATACATTTTCTCTGTGTGATGCAGGTTTTCTTCAGAATGGCTTGACACAATACATTTTCTCTGTATAATGCAGGTTTTCTTCTGAATGGCTTGACACAATACATTTTCTCTGTGTGATGCAGGTTTTCTTCAGAATGGCTTGACAGAATACATTTTCTCTGTATAATGCAGGTTTTCTTCTGAATGGCTTGACACAATACATTTTCTCTGTGAGATGCAGATTGTCTTCAGAATGGCTTGACACAATACATTTTCTCTGTATAATGCAGGTTTTCTTCAGAATGGCTTGACAGAATACATTTTCTCTGTATAATGCAGGTTTTCTTCTGAATGGCTTGACACAATACATTTTCTCTGTGAGATGCAGATTTTCTTCAGAATGTATAATGCTTGAATGGCTTGACACAATACATTTTCTCTGTATAATGCAGATTTTCTTCTGAATGGCTTGACACAATCTCTGTATAATGCAGATTTTCTTCTGAATGGCTTGACACAATACATTTTGTCTGTGTGATGCAGATGCAGACTTTTCTTCAGAATGGCTTGACACAATACATTTTCTCTGTATAATGCAGATTTTCTTCTGAATGGCTTGACACAATACATTTTCTCTGTGTGATGCAGGTTTTCTTCAGAATGGCTTGACACAATACATTTTCTCTGTATAATGCAGGTTTTCTTCTGAATGGCTTGACACAATACATTTTCTCCGTGAGATGCAGATTTTCTTCAGAATGGCTTGACACAATACATTTTCTCTGTATAATGCAGGTGTTCTTTAGAATGGCTTGACACAACACATTTTCTCTGTATAATGCAGGTTTTTTTCAGAAAGGCTTGACACAATACATTTTCTCTGTATGATGCAGGTTTTCCTCAGAATGGCTTGATACAACGCGCTTTCCCTGTATAATGCAGGGGTTTTTTTTCAGAAAGGCTTGACACAGTACGTTTTCTCTGTGTGATGCAGGTTTTCTTCAGAAAGGCTTGACACAATACATTTTCTCTGTGTGATGCAGGTTTTCTTCAGAATGGCTTGACACAATGCGCTTTCCCTGTATAATGCAGGGTTTTTTCAGAAAGGCTTGACACAGTACGTTTTCTCTGTGTGATGCAGGTTTTCTTCTGAATGGCTTGACACAATACATTTTCTCTGTATAATGCAGGTTTTCTTCAGAATGGCTTGACACAATACATTTTCTCTGTATAATGCAGGTGTTCTTTAGAAAGGCTTGACACAACGCGCTTTCCCTGTATAATGCAGGGTTTTTTCAGAAAGGCTTGACACAGTACGTTTTCTCTGTGTGATGCAGGTTTTCCTCAGAATGGCTTGATACAACGCGCTTTCCCTGTATAATGCAGGGTTTTTCAGAAAGGCTTGACACAGTACGTTTTCTCTGTGTGATGCAGGTTTTCTTCAGAAAGGCTTGACACAATACGTTTTCTCTGTGTGATGGAGGTTTTCTTCAGAATGGCTTGACACAATGCGCTTTCCCTGTATGATGCAGGTTTTTTTCAGAATGGCTTGACACAGTACGCTTTCTCTGTATAATGCAGGTTTTGTTCAGAAGGGCTTGACACAATACGTTTTCTCTGTGTGATGCAGGTTTTCTTCAGAATGGCTTGACACAATACATTTTCTCTGTGTGATGGAGGTTTTCTTCAGAATGGCTCGACACAATACGTTTTCTCTGTGTGATGCAGGTTTTCTTCAGAAAGGCTTGGCACAATACGTTTTCTCTCTGTGATGCAGGTTTTCCTCAGAGTGGCTGGAAAAGTTTGACGCCCGTGAGATGTTGCGTCGCATTCTAGAAGAGGAGATGAGAGACGAATATTCCAGCCCCCACCACGGCCACGCCACCAAAATCGACTACACCAAAGCCACGGTAAAGGATTACAAAATACAAGGTGAGAGTCAATCGAAGTCCATGCGAGGTACCTATAAAGTATTTATTTGAGGCCTAGCATCCACTATCGTGGCCCAGCTTCAGGTAGATCTTCAGGCTGAATAGTAGTTCATCAACAGTTCCAGATCAAGGGATGTGGTTACAGCGTCCGCTTGTCACGCCAAAGAACCGGGTTCGTTTCCCCACATGGGTACAATATGTGAAGCCCATTTCTATTGTCCCTGTGGTATTGCTGGAATATTGCTAAAAGCAGTGTAAAACCATACCCACTCACTCACTCCAGATCAAGGTGTAATGCATGGTGGAATCGAACCCGTGTCTCGGCCTGACGAACCACTAGGCTACCCCACCGCCCAACGTTATTCAACAAACACACATTGTAAGATATGTGGCGTAATTTTTCATTCACTGTAGCTCACCTTGTTCTAACAGCTAACGATGACGAATCAATGAGGATCCACTTTTCCATTTCCCACGGAATTCGTGTTATGGTACCCAAACCAAAGGGACACTTTCGACCTGAACGCAAGTTCGAGGAGTCTCTCGCCTCCGTCTCTCCACAGAAGCTCGGCCAGTTTCCCAGCCACCACTCCGGAAGGAACCTCCACACGGAGACCAGTAAACGTCGCAGCTCGATTAGGGATACCGGCAGCGTTGAGAAGGAGAAGGAAGGCAGCATGTCGTCCGCCGAACGGGAATCTCCACGTGCCGATGTCGGAAAGATGAAAGCTCGGAGATTGAGTCTCCTGGTGGAGAGTCTGAACGTTCAGCATGGCCTGCCTACTAGTACCAGCCCTCCCCGGCTGTCGAGGTTTGGCAGACCCATGAAGACAATCCTTGATGTTGTAAATGTGGCACGGGCGTTAGGCCCAGAAGAGCAAGAGTCCTTCTTGTAGCTGAATACAGTGCAATATGATCATATATTCTGCCGAAATGTGCTAAATGTCAATGAAATATCAGTGTACTTTAATTAGTTACTTTAGAATTTTAAGAAAATCATTTCCAAGATTTTGGTAACTAGAAATTTTATACATTTTGTCGAAATGAACATATTTATAATAAACACGAAAAATAAATGTTTTGGGATTGTACTCTATTTCAATTTGATGTGGCGAAGTGGTCGTATATTGTTCCTGGGTCCCGTTCCACAAAGGGTCTTAGCGCAAAGTTGATCGGATCTTCAATGCTTTAACATAGGCTTACGATCATCGGAACTTGATCGTAACTTCCGTACCTTAAAAGACTTCGTAGAGATCGTAGTGCTAAGGTTGTTTACAGTTTACAGTCATACATAGATCATGAAGTCCAAAGCTTAGGGGGAAATACCCCTCAGGGAATTTATTTCGGGGGAGAAGGGATCCCCTCTGCACCATTGGCCACATTACACAGAGCGATCATAAGGTGATTTATGGAAAGTTACGACTGGCTTGTATAAGATACGAAGTGTTCTACATGTGTAGGTACAAACACGGTTGCGGTCCACAGAGTTGTTGTTACCTTTCCTTCTGAAGATTGTAGCTTTACTATAGTCGACTCCTTGCAGAACGCTAAGGTAACCTTAGTTAATGTGAAGGTTTAAGTTTGGTCTAACCCAACCATCGTATGGCTAAGTGGTGGTGGGGTAGCCTAGTGGTTAAAGCGTTTGCTCGTCACGCCGAAGACCCGGGTTCGAATCCCCACATGGGTACAATGTGTGAAGCCCATTTCTGGTGTCCCCCGCCGTGATGTTGCTGGAATATTGCTAAAAGCGGCGTAAAACCAAACTCAGTCAGTCGTATGGCTAAGGTTATTTCTTGATTTTCAACATCGTTACATTCTTGTTGCTGTGTGAGAAAACTGAGAGAGGGGTAAGAAAACAGCGTGACAGCACTGACTAGGAACTAACATGGTTAGATAGTCAAGCGAAACTATTTTTTGTCCAGTAGACAAAGTTCGTCCAATATTCAAAACACTAACACAGCAGTCCGATTCTATTAGAGTTGAATCTCAAGTTGACATTGACATCTTTAGCAAACTGGGAATTTCGGAATGAAACCGTGATTTGCATTTCCACAAGGAACTCTGACTCACCTACATAAACATATTTTCAACAGTCCTGCGATTGCTCTGCCCATTAGGGTCTAAGTAAGGCAGACTGACGCTACACTAAGCCTGACTAGTGTATTAGTGAGTATGGTTCTACGCCGTTTCCAGCAATATCACGGGGGACACGAGAAATGTACTGACCATAGGCGGATCGGAGGGTGGGTGGGTGGGGGTCTGCGCGCTCCCCCACCTTTTTAAAAAAAATTAAATGAACTGTGCACCCCTTTCTCAAAAAAGCTGTATTCACCCCTGCTGACTAGAAAACAATCTAAAAATGATTGCGGTTGTGCGTTCACTTTGTAAGGTTTCTAAAACAGGAATGCAGGGCCCCATTCACGTGTGCTTAGAGTGTGTGATTGAGTGACTGAGGTTTACGCCGCTTTGAGCAGTATTTAAGTATCGAGGCGTGTCAACCTGTGAGAGGACAGTTCGAACTCTTGTTCTTGTTGCTTAACGCCGCACACAGCAATATTCCACCTATATGGAGGCAGGTGGACCAGACAATCCAGTGATCAACAGCATGAGCATCGAGATGCGCAACTGGGATGCGATGACGTGTCAAACCACGTCAGCGAACCTGACCACCCGATCCCGTTCATCGCCTCTTACGACAAGCATGGGTTGCTGTACTCTCCCACCCAGAGTTCCATGCGGCCAGCCAGCATAGTATGCTAAGTCATCACTGCGCTGGAGTGTGGGGTTGGTGAAGACCAATTCTAACCCGGATATTCACGGGTTATGCAGAAGTATAACGTTTACCACTGTGGTGAAATCCACGATGTGGTGCTGAAAAACCTATAAAACATAATCGTGGAGAGAGAGAATGAAAAAAAATGAAGACTGTTCAAGGTGAGTTAGCTTTATAAACATGTCGACTAACTGAATTCAGCATGGTGAGGTATATACATATAACACACGACGTCAACATGTTTTATCGGTACATAAACACCAGCTATTTTCACACTAACCTAATGTCGCATGACTTATTCGTGTGGAAATCTTTATTCGCTATAATACTTTCAATTCTGGAAATGTTCACTGAGCTATTGGAAAATAGTCCTTGTAATTGATACAGCATTATTACGACAGAAAACAACAATTTTAGATGATTCGATCGCCCAAACCTTCGAGACGAAGATCGTTGTACATATACCTTACTGACTGAAGAACAGACTACTCCCTAAATAGTCATCAGCATGTACATAACACTTAGGTCGACATTGGACATTTATTTCATCGTTAGGATATATAGTGGTGAGGTTTTCAGATGAACATTGAAACAGACATCTTGTTATGTTATTGTGAAACGTCATCCTCTGACGTCAAACATGTATATCTTTTCAATAGTTTGCAAAATACGGAATATATAATTGAACTTAGATCCGTATCGTGGAGTTTCCGTAAAACGGAATGTTCTCATCATAGAACAGCCTCCCAGTATCTTGCGTGGCCATATACACTACAAGGCAACATAGATCTAGTCTCATACTGATCATGACAATACCTGCTTCACCCGTCACATTGCAGAGTATTGAGAAATGTCCACCCCAATCTATCCGAGGCGTCATGTGCACGTGAGATACTCATTGACATGCGCGTACCATCATCTTTGATATCGGTGTTAAATACATATCATCGAGAAAATATTTCTTGTTTTTCTCATTTTAGTCACCATCAAATATGAGTGAATCCTTTCTTTTGGTTTACTCCATGACGTCAGTCCGTGGTAACCTTGTGAGCAACAAGCCATGTAGACAAACACACTCGGTCGAGTCCATTTCACAATGGTCGGTGTTGTTTGTGTATGATCGTTGAAAGGCATCAATCCATAGTCTATTTCCTGACTTTATCGGCAACAAGCCATGTAGGCAAAACACAAGAGGGTGAGTCCATTTCACAACTTTGAAAGGCATCAATCCATAGTCTATTTCCTGACTTTATCGGCAACAAGCCATGTAGACAAAACACAAGAGGGTGAGTCCATTTCACAACAGGGGTCGGTGTTGCTTGCGTATGACCGTTGAAAGGCATCCCTAGCATCTGCGTACAGTACCTCTCTCACTGACTGATGACCGGAATGAACCCTTGGGGTGGTGGAGACGGAAGGACGACACCCAGACATCCAGGGTGTGGCTACACAGCGGTACTGGATCTGACCCGGTGCCCTCTGGAGGAGTGACCTTCCAACCGACGGAGCTCCGCACACCGGCATCCGGAACGGCGGTGGAAGGAAAACCGAGTCCAGAGTTCGTGGATGAAGTTGTGGAAAGATGGTGACACTCTTCAACTCATTCACTGTCCTGTTCATGAATTGTTCACTTACCGGCTTCTCAAACCACTCAGGTTCTTGTACAACTGGATGTTTCTGTAAAAGACTCACTGTATTCTTTTTATCAACACAAATCTTCGACACTACGGAATTCGTTGTCGTTTCTTTATTAGCATCAGCTTCATCTCTACCATTGCTGGTACCATCCTCAGGAACCGTTTCAGGATTTCCCAGATCAGTAGCATCCGGTGTTTCTTCTCTGAACATACACGAGTCCACTGTCTCGACAATCTCCTTGTACAGATTCGTAAAGCTGTTAGTCGGGATTGGATACCCTAGTACAGCAATGCTATCCCCGTATTCTAAGTCCTTCAGGTCCTGCAAGACCCCGGTCAGCCTCTTGGACCTACACCCCTTGATGAAGGAGCAAGGCTTTCCCTGAATAAGTCTGGTCACCAGGATGTAGAAGGCTAACTTCTGCAAATCCTTCAGTCGACGTTTACGCCGATGGTATTGGGCCATGACGTGACCTTTCAAACTATTCATCTTCACAAATAGCAGTTTCTTGTGACTGAAGATCTTGCTTGTGAGTCCTCTGGTTTTGTTGGGTTTATTCTGCGCTTCAGCCTCTAGGATTCCTTCTTTGACGTCTTCAATGAACTTCGCATAGTCTTGGCGGGATAAGACCTTTTGGAAGAAATGTAGCCATTTTGTTAGCAAATCCTTTTGTCGTTTTGTCTTGAGACGTGTGAATTGCTCAAGACTGGATTGTTCATCCTCTTCCTCTGTTGACTTCTGGCTGCTCCCTGACCTGCCAACTCGTTTTGTCTCTGTACAGATAGAGAAAAAAATCGAAGTATCACTGGGATTTGGGTTATGGAGTTTAATAATAATATTCCTATTGAATATATGTATTATAGATAACAGAAGAATGGCGACGGACAGAACTTATAACAGAACCAAAATTCCATTTTTCGTCATACATGTATATAACCAATAAAAATTATAAAAACCCAACTAATCTATCGGCAGCACCCGCCACTCACATTTTGTATAAAAATGTAAGTGACTTTTTGTTGTGTGGCGCCCGAAAAACGTTTAAGAAGTCCATCAGAGGCTCTCTCGAACGATGTGCTTAAATTAAGGCTAAATCGGTTTATCATCATGGTGAAATTTATGACTGAGTATAGTGCCTGGAGAAGGTGCGAATGCAAGTCTTGGTAAGCATATTTCGAGTTCCACATATTACTACAGGTTACCTCCTCTACTAATCCGCGGTTGATGTTTATCTTCATCTCTGACTGCATCACGCGCACGGATGAAGTACTTCATCTTCTCTTGTGGAGTCAGCTCCTGCGACCACTGTCGTCGAAGTAATTCATCTAAAGCTGCTGAAGATGCATCAGGATGAGACATCTGGAAGTGGCGACGATGCTCACTAAGAAGAGATGACAGAAGCATACGTCAACTTTGTTATACTGGTGAATGTAATTTCAATGCCATCGAGGTAGCGTACTCGTGTGTCTGTCAAATACAATGAGTAACATTAATACTGGCACTTAAAACACCACAGCAGTACACATATACAGGCATGTTTATATAAATAGAGGATACTAAACGACCTTCCGTGTAATACCATTTTTATTGAACGAGTTAATGATTTGGTATCAAACGAGCGAAAGCGAGTTTGATGCTAAATCTTTCACGAGTTTAATAAAAATGGTATTTCACGGAAGCGAGTTTAGTATTCTGTTTATTACTCTCCAAGATAAATTGATATAAACTGCCTACGTAGTTTGATGACTCTCAGCTTTCCACGAGTCAAGCAAGGTCTAATACCATTGTGACAGAGGTATTAATATTGTGACGTCGTAACTGTAAACCATTATGACGTCATACGTCTAGCGGTATTACACTGCAGTATCTTCCACGGGCGAGTAATAATATATGTTATTATATAGGTAGTATTTTTCCTGTACCACGATTGGTCAAAATACCGTCACATGATTGACTACAAAACACGATATTGACTTGAGTTTTCTGATAAATTATGATATTGACTTGGGTTACTAAAAATAGACAAGGAATCCCGTATGAAGGGGCTTCCCCCGCTTTTCAGCCAATCAGATCACTCGGATAGATGGCACAGTGTGTGCATTAAAAGTTTATGTTAAAACCCGTTTCTCTTTCATTATATAATAAAACAATTCTTGCGAGGTCGATATTGTTTTTCTCAGGTCAATAAAAACCGATATCGACCTCTACAGGAGTCTATAATTGTATATTATTACCTACGAGGGCGAAAATATCGGGGTTCATATTTTTCATACGATGCCCTAGGGCAAAATATCACTTTCTCATGGTGACGTGACGTCATGAACAATGCTATGACGTCTTGTTTCTTCTGTGACGTTGCGTTCTACATGAGGCGACGGCGGGTAGCCAGCCTGTTTGAAAGTAGATTTGGGTTTAATTTCAATTTGACGACTTCGGTAATAAACATAATATTATATTCGTGCCCACATCATGCTATGTTTACGATACTCGTGCCTAAATATCGGTATATCCCTCCTTCTCGCTCGGGAAATACCAACATTTAGGCACTCGTGTCGTAAACATAGTATGACATGGGCACTCATATAATATCCTCTATTTATCACAACAGTACATCTACCTTGACCACAGGACACAGTTATGTTTATATATCATCGAATATCACAGCGGTACACCTACCTTGACCACAGGACACAGTTATGTTTATATATCATCGAATATCACAGCAGTACACCTACCTTGACCACAGGACACAGTTATGTTTATATATCATCGAATATCACAGCAGTACACCTACCTTGACCACAGGACACAGTTATGTTTATATATCATCGAATATCACAGCAGTACACCTACCTTGACCACAGGACACAGTTATGTTTATATATCATCGAATATCACAGCGGTACACCTACCTTGACCACAGGACACAGTTATGTTTATATATCATCGAATATCACAGCAGTACACCTACCTTGACCACAGGACACAGTTATGTTTATATATCATCGAATATGACCACAGGACACAGCAGTAGTACACCTACCTTGACCACAGGACACAGTTATGTTTATATATCATCGAATATCACAGCAGTACACCTACCTTGACCACAGGACACAGTTATGTTTATATATCATCGAATATCACAGCAGTACACCTACCTTGACCACAGGACACAGTTATGTTTATATATCATCGAATATCACAGCAGTACACCTACCTTGACCACAGGACACAGTTATGTTTATATATCATCGAATATCACAGCAGTACACCTACCTTGACCACAGGACACAGTTATGTTTATATATCATCGAATATCACAGCAGTACACCTACCTTGACCACAGGACACAGTTATGTTTATATATCATCGAATATCACAGCAGTACACCTACCTTGACCACAGGACACAGTTATGTTTATATATCATCGAATATCACAGCAGTACACCTACCTTGACCACAGGACACAGTTATGTTTATATATCATCGAATATCACAGCAGTACACCTACCTTGACCACAGGACACAGTTATGTTTATATATCATCGAATATCACAGCAGTACACCTACCTTGACCACAGGACACAGTTATGTTTATATATCATCGAATATCACAGCAGTACACCTACCTTGACCACAGGACACAGTTATGTTTATATATCATCGAATATCACAGCAGTACACCTACCTTACCACAGGACACAGTTATGTTTATATATCATCGAATATCACAGCAGTACACCTACCTTGACCACAGGACACAGTTATGTTTATATATCATCGAATATCACAGCAGTACACCTACCTTGACCACAGGACACAGTTATGTTTATATATCATCGAATATCACAGCAGTACACCTACCTTGACCACAGGACACAGTTATGTTTATATATCATCGAATATCACAGCAGTACACCTACCTTGACCACAGGACACAGTTATGTTTATATATCATCGAATATCACAGCAGTACACCTACCTTGACCACAGGACACAGTTATGTGTATATATCATCGAATATCACAGCAGTACACCTACCTTGACCACAGGACACAGTTATGTTTATATATCATCGAATATCACAGCAGTACACCTACCTTGACCACAGGACACAGGCATGTTTATCTAACACAGGGTTGGCAAGCAATTCTTCATCTATGTTTGGACCCTTCTTTCTCCGTGGTGGTAGACATGACGGGATTTGCTGGAGCTCAGGTCTTTCCCTGAAAGAAACACAAAACATTGCCGAATTTTATCACTTCGATTTTGTGCAACTACATTAGCACAAAGACAAAAATCAGAAATCATATCCCAGATGAATCTATGATCCGAACCATCGAATATCGGATCCTCTCACTGATGAAGGCTGTTATTTAGTAGCCAACAAACATGAATGAATACTTCGATAAATATTTACTTTTTTAGGATAATTATGTTGCAGGACAAGGCATGCTTAACCTTATTGCAAAGACCTTGGCCCGGTTGTTCAAAAGCCTGTTAACTTTTAACGGACCGTTAACTAGTCCTTAACGGCCCGTTAACGTGAAGACAGCGAAAGCCTGTTGCTCAAAGCGCCGTTAACCTTTAACGGCCCCTTAAGACCACGTTAACTTAACGTAATGGGAGGGGGTACATTAGCTCACTAAAGTTACCATTAGCTTCAGTTCTAGGTCTAGCTCCATGGTGACAACATGGCGTTTATTGTCCAGCCTAATGTAGCATTCATGAACATTAGACCACAAAGAAAACCAAAGGAATGCAGCATTTTTTCTGTTTGAGCTTTTTGGGCCATGTTTCCCCATTTTTCTTTCACTTGATCCACAGTACGGCAGCAAACGCATTTGTTGTTTACACAATCTGTTATTTTCTGCCAGATTGCAGCCTTGGCCTTATTGGTAACCTCATTGCTGAATGTTTTATTAAGAATCTCAGCACTTTCCTGAAACATTGCCTGAATGACATTCAGCACTCTTTTCGGCACTGAAATGTTTTCTTCTTTTTCTTTTTTTACAGTCAGAGGTTACTGGGGTCATTTCAGTTGCTTCTGGTAGCGATGCCATTTTGACAGAGAATCATGGGACAGTGTGCAAGGAATTGTGGGTAATGGTTAGGTCCTTTACAGTCTGTTAACCTCTAATCATACCATTAGTTAACGGCGTGTTAAAAAGACCTTCCAGCAACCAAATGTTTAACGTACTGTTAACTAACTTTTCGTTAGCTATTTAACGGGTCGTTAGTGTTTAACGGTACGTTAAAATTAACGGCGTTTTGAACAACTGGGCCCTGGTGTCTTCACTGATTGTCAGTGGTCCATTCATAATAATTTCAAAGCTTATTGCCCGTTACACCAAACTGAACATAACCAAGACTGGATATTCGTTTGCATTGGTCTTTCACATTCCATTGCCTGGCAGTTAACACTACAATTAACATTACAAATTTGTACAAACCTTTGATCAAGAGTGGTTCCAGAACTTTTCTTCAGAGCCCCTTGTGTATTCTTGAGATTGCGCTTCACCTTTTTCTTCCATCTTGCTTTCAGGGGCAGGCCGTGGTTGCTGTCTGTCTGTACCACCTCTCTCCCCTCCCTCTCTAGCATCCTCAGTTGTCTTGGGCTCAAAACAGTCACGTCAATATCAGAAATGTTTCTGTCAGTAGACGGGCCTGCTCCTGCATCCTCTTCCCCCTGACAGTTATCAGAGCTGGACCTCCTCCTCCTGGATGGAGATGGGCTTTCTGTGGACGTCCTTGTTTTTGTCTTGTTATCGTCTCTTTTAAGCGGAGTATAGACAAAATCGTTACTCCTACCACATTGGCCGGATGCTGAGGAATCAACCTTTTTCATGAGTCGGGCACTCCTCTTAATTGGTGTCAGGGAAGTGGAACCGGATGCTGGACTTTCTGATGTAGCTGTAGATTCATCTGTCTCTGTCATCGATTGAGGCCTTTCTCCTCCATCATCTTTGGGTTGAGGAGAATGTCTTTCCTTGGCTCTTAAGCTACTTTCTTTACATTTCCGAAGAACAATTTTTGGAAACGAAATTTTTCGTTTGTCCTTCTTCTTACTCCAAAGCAAAAACTCACCAGAGGAGGAGGAGGAAGACTTGGGTTTTGATGCTTCACTACTGGTGGGTTGCATGACTTGCTCACCAGTCTCCTTTGCAGTGTCACTGTCAATATTGGCGCAGTCGGACCGTGTTACCATGAATCTGACAGGAGATTTCTGTTGATCACTGTCCTCCGTCAAAGAAACGCTAGTGTTTGTATCAGAAGATGTCACTGACTGAATATCATCTGTGAGGGTTGTCAGGTTGCTGTTTTTTACTTCAGCTGAAATGTCCAGCTGGCCATCAGTACCTTTTCTTTCCATCACCTCTTTGAAGACTCTACCGTCTACAGCATCACAACTGTTACTCAATGAATCATATTCATCCTTAGGTATACGGCAGCTCTCCAACCCTTGTTCGCTTTCTGTATGTAATGTGCCTAAATCCGAACTGTTACTATTGGTGGCAAGTGGACTTATAGCTAATGGGTCTGCAACTGGAGTAGCCCACCCTTCACTGTTGGCCTTATCACTCCACCACACGCTCTCTGGTCCAGATGGCATGGGTGTACCTGGATCACTACAAAATGTCAGTTGACCTGATGATCGACTTCCAGGCTTCATACTGAATGATCCTTCTGTACTATATTGCTGTTCATTTGGAGATGTAAATTCTCTGGATATGAATGTTGATGCACATGATGAAATGTCGCTAGAAAAGATGCTCTTTACGTTTGTATCGAGTTCAGAAAGACTGTTATTTGCAGCTGCTTCCAAGTCATAGTCCAGGACACGTTGAAGAGAAGATGCACCAGCTTCTTCTTCAGATGCACCTGCTTCTCCCTCAGATGTACCACACGTACTACATACTGGAGTTCCTTCCTCCAGGCTTGGAACCTCCTCAAAGCTCACATGACCTTGACAAGAGGACGATTCCGTATCTGTGAGAATAGAGTCAATCTCACTTATCAAACCAATTGTGGAACTGCTCGTTCGTTCCTGTAACGATTCATTAGATGATGAAGCTGGTTCAGATGAGGGATTATTTACATCTGGTACATCATCACCTGTGTTAGTGTCATATTTGCTCTCATTTTCATCTTTAAGCTTACTTGGGTGTTTTCTAAATGGTGTGACTGAAGGCAAACCTTCCCACAGCTCATCCTGTTGGGATTCGCTTCTTAGCCTCCGCCTTCTGATAACAAAATCGTTTAGATCGAACCCTAAATTTTTATCTTCATCTTGAGCACTTGTAGAGGATAGACTTGTTATGTTCGATGACTCCTGGGATGTGATAATACGTAGTGATGCGCTGTCTGTGTTTGAGATCTTCGTGTTTGATGTTCCTGGTTCACTCCCACCTACAATTCCAGACTCTTGTATTAGGACTGTTCTCTGTAAATCAATATTTCTCGCTGATATATTTTCTTCCAAAGACAGAGGCAACACTGTATCGCCTTTGAGCTCATGAGCACTGCTTTGGGAGTAATCATGTTCTGATGTCAAAATAGTTATTAATTTAGAGGGCTTTCTTTTGAGTGGTGCGTTAAGACCATCATCATCAACAGCAGCATCTCCAGATTTGCTTCTGCTTCTTGTCTGCCTGATGGGTGATGGAGTTATTGTCCTTAAGTTGCATCTATCCTGGTGTGTTGCTTGTCTATCTTCCGGACAAAACCCCTCAATCGATGTAGCATGGGAGGTGGTAGCCACAGCCCCATCTTGACTCCTGAGATGTTTAGGTGGTGTTTGATTTGATATCCTTGTAATATATGTCCTTAGTAACTCAGAATCGCCCGTGCTGGTTGATTCATTCGAGTGAGCTCCCAAAGCCTTTTCGACAGATTTCTTCCCTATGTCTTGGGGAGATCTGACGACTTTAGGGAATGGAGACATGGATGGGGATGATGATACGCGCTCCTTTGCCTTGCTACTGGATGACAGATGTCTTGTTCGTGGCCTACCAACACATCTTTTGATTGGAGTTGTACCACTCGTGTTGGACGAATTTGACTCATTCGCACTATCACTGTCTAAATATTTTGGACGTCCTCGGGTGTTAATCTTAGCGTCTGGCACATTCTGTTTGGTATCATAATCTGAGGACTGATTGGATAATGTTCGTGATCGCAGTTTCTTAGGGCTTTTTGTCTGGGTCGCCTTTGGGTCTTCATTTGAACTTGACGATGTCGGATATTTAGAGCCTTGTATTGCTGACGGGAAATTTGTTAATTTTTGATGGATATTTAGTCCCACTTGTCCCCGGTAGGTTTTGTTTGTCGACGGATGCCTGTGAGGAGTCTGACGTTCCTGATTCCCCTGATGTAGTGTATGACCCTGTTGAGGAGTATGTATACCCTGTAGTGGAGCTACCTGTTTCTCCTGAGGTGTATGATCCACTGTTGGAACTTAAAAACGAAGATGAATCAGTTTTGGACTTGGTGCTTGAATATAAAGAAGCGCTTGATCCAACACCGGAGCCAGAACTAGTACTGGAACTAGACGTCATGGTTTCAGCATCAGGGAATTGAATTTGCCGCCTACTTTTTTTGCTTGGTGTCCCCTGTTCGTCTCTATGTGACCTCGTCCTGAACGGGGATAGCTCAGACGACAAGGCATCATGCAAATTCTTTAGTTCCCGCTTGGTGTTGCTGGTAGTGGGTTTACTGCTGGCAGGTTTGTTGCTGGTAGAAGGTTTGTTGCTGGGAGAAGGTTTGCTGCTCGTAGAGGGTTTATTGCTGGTAGAAGGTATTTTGCTGGTAGTGGGGTTGTTGGTGGTTGGTTTACTGTTGGTAGTGGGGTTATTGCTGATAGCTAGTTTACTGTTGGTAGTGGGGCTATTGCTGATAGCTAGTTTACTGTTGGTAGTGGGGCTATTGCTGATAGTTGGTTTATTACTGGTAGTTGGTTTATTGCTGGGGACGCGGTTATTACTAGCAGTTGAAGTGTTACTTGTGGCTGGAGTACTATTAATAGTGACTGTGGCGGTTCTATTTGTTCGAATGGCGATGTTGCTGCTGTTGCTGCTACTGCTGCTGCTTGTACTGCTGCCGGTGGTAGACGCGCTGCGTCTCTCCCTGCCTGATGTCCGAGATGGGGGCTCTGTATAAAACAACATTGATTGGGAGTTTCCACTTTTCTGATATATAAATTTTAGAGCCCAATCAGACGAATCTAATATAACTCTAAACTGTCAAGCATACAAGTTAAACTTCTCATTGTGTGCCATTACCCCGGAACCGCATAGTATCAGCCCCTGGGTTGTTTGTTTGTTGTTTGTTTGAACATATTTTATTCAATGTTGAAAGGGATTGAGCACAAGTTATGTAACTTATTACCGCCCATTGCCATCAGAAACATGAACAATAATGAATGGACGTAATGAATGGACATAATGATATTAAGACATATTATTCATTAATCGAGGTGCTTACTTCGTACAATGTATTTATGCACATGACCAAAGATATTTTCATTAATAGTATTTGGCAAAGCAGGGTTGCCGTAAAGAATGGTATCAATGTCTAAGTGAACTTTTGATAGTTCAAAATCTTGGTTCAGATCAAAATGGCAGCTGACAAATTTTGGACATTTTAAAAAGAAATGGTTAGCATCTTCCACCGGAGAACCACAATTGCAAGCTTTAATCTCTGATAAATTAACACGAAAAAGATCCGCATGTAATGAACTACACGAATGTCTTAACTTCGTGAGTAGTATATTTGTCTTTCTTTCACCAAATAGAAAATAATTTTGAACTTTGTCATATATTTCAGATAACTTTGATTTAAACGATTATAATGAATTTGTACATTTTGTTGTAGAGGAGAGAGCATTCCATAAACTTGCAGAATCACATTGTGTCTGGCTTCTTGGTGTCTGGCCAAGACTCGAGTGCTTATGGAATGTTCCGATATATAAACAACAAAGACCTATGTATTACCTTGGTATTCTACACTCACACCGTTGCTATACATCACTTTCCAAACAGCCATCAGATAAAGCACCGCGGTAAGGTAAATTACTTTGAAGATAAATCTGTCGTATAGGTTCAGTGTTTCTTCTAATTAAAAGGCAATTGAAATTAATACACTGACCATTGTGATATCTCGTGACCAAGAGAACAACAAAAGCTCCAAACAACCCAGGTAAGATATTGCTAACGTACTGAATATTCGACCTAAAATACGAACACATCGACTTAACAACAAAGGAAGGTGTCGTTATTTATCTCATTCTCGATTAGAAATGCATTATATATGTAGGCATTAATTGTTGATAATTTTATACAAATAACTGAATAATCGACGTTGGATTCTACAGCATTGTCTCATTCCTCGTTTAATTCACGCGCGTGGGTCACAGTTGCTAGTATGTTTGTGAACAGCTACACAACATCAAGATATAGCAGGGCTTCGATAGTAATTAATTTTAAATGGTGATATAATACGCTCTTTTTATTAAAATTAATTATTCATAAACAGATAATGTTTATGTGAAGTTTACTCGATATAAGGCCTTTTCATTGGACGAGAGGTCGGTACGTGAGCTAAAACTGACGTTCATAGGTCTACTACATAATAATGTACTACAACAAGTCAGGAAAGGTGTTGTGACATTACTAAATACATGGCAAATACAATGGCAGATACAATTGTCATATCTAAGCAAGGAAGAGTGAACTATGTATCGATTTGGTAAGACTTCAGAATACCGGATACCTTCCGCCATCTTTGAAAGCACGCGAGTTTACTTAGGGTTAGGGTTGGGTAAGGTTTAGGGTTTAGGGTTAGCGTTAGGGTTAGGGTGACATGACACTAAACACTATGGCTGGTAGGTATCCTGTATTCCGTAGGTGTACCGCCAATATTCCAGCAATATCACGGCTAGGGGACACAAGAAATAGGCTCACATATTGTACCCATGTGGGGAATCGAACCCGGGTCTTCGGCGTGAAGAGCAAACGCTTTAACCACAAGGCTACCACCGCCATTGGAATCTTTGGAGAACTGACAAGCTTGAGGAACGTGCAGTACAACGGTTACTTATACTAATTCTTCATTGAACTATTCAAAGAGGGAGGGAATGGATAGAATATGAAACATATTTTCGAAAAAACATCATGACGAAATTTGATTATGTGTTAAAAAAATATGTTAAAATTATAGCGTAATATAAATTCTAAATTCCAAAAATATACTCTTGACGAAAGATACTTTGTGTTAAAATTATGTGTTTGAATTGCGTAGTTACGTCCGCCATCTTGGATTATTAAGAATACATAGTTACAGCGCTGTAGAGACCAAATTTGTGGGAGTCGAACACGAGTCTTCAGAGTGACGTGCACTTAATAACATACTCCACCACTCCTTCACCTCCGACAATATAAGGCTATATGCTGTCAAAAGTATAATGAAGACGTCACAAAATAAATTCAACCAACCTTTGAATCGGAATCTGTTCGAGCTTTCTTGCATTGAATGTTTTCTAAAGATGCGGGTCTTGATCCAGGGGCGCTGCTCCGGCCTTGAAGTGATGACCCACTTTCATCTTGAGATAGTTTCCTTTTTCTTCCACGCTCCATTGTCTTATGTTTTACATATAATTTCATAAGTAGGAAACGGCGATACAGTCAGTCATGTTTGCCAGTGTTTACATTTGCCATTGCTATGTGACGTCACGTTGCGATGACGTCACAATTGTGGACACATGACGTCACTATCCGTTCTTTGTGTCGGGAAAATGTTTCGTGTTTGCCTTCTTTGGTTGATCTACACCGTTCATCAAAACCATGAACATGAACAGAGACATAATATATTATCCTGGTATTATGGGTTTTCGGACACTTAAAGAACACCCGTTTGTGTCTCTGTTATCTCAAGAACAATTGTAAAACATGCCATTTGCTAATAAAAATAAGTTTATCCTAAACACAAGCCATCATTCAAGAATTTACAATGTCTGTGTGACGCAACACCCCACGTTATGTACAGAGCGAGTGAGCACTGCTGTCTGAATATGTATGACCTGATCCATCGACCCAACCTGTTCGAAGCCCACACTGGAGTTAATCAATGAAACAGTTGTAACAGATCTGACAAATCAAACCACAATCCAAGATGGTGTTATAAAATATTTTGTTTGTCCACTGAAAGCCTTTGTTTATTGTGAAATGCTAGGAACATTTAGCATTTAACCTCACAACACCTACCGCAAACCGATCAATGGGTGAAACGCGTTCACCTCCGTAACATTTATCACAGAAAGCCGCTTTCAAATCTCTGCACCCGGCAGTCTTGTGTTTTCAATATCTCGCGCCCCTTCCGCCATACCGGGCTTACTCATGGCAATGTACTTAAACGGACCTTATTCTCGAAACGTTCGTAGCCCTAAGAATTCTTAACTTTGATCGTAGCCAACGTTTTAAGAATGGGCTTAAGAAGTTCGTTGGGCTTCGAGAATAGCCAGCCAGCTTCAGAAATTTGCTGTAGAAAACGTACGTGTCATTTATATGTGCCGTCTGGATCTATATGTATCTACTTCTTCTCTATTGTATGTCACAACGTTTCTGGGCTTTTACTTCAACACCAACTTCTAAATGCCTCTCAAGAACCTCACTATTTATCTATATTTCAATTCGACAAATGCATAAACCCGAACCCGATGATATATCAATCCTATGTTAGAGTCCCATACAATATCCGTTTGGAGTTCCCGTACTCTCCAAAAGATCTAAAGCTGATCGGGTGTTAACATATCAGACGGAGATCGTCATGTGTCCTAAGCAGCTGACATCGTTTCTCGTGCCATCAAACACTGGATAATCTGATCGAGACTTGACAAAATCCAGGTCGGCGTCAGAAATCTGGATTACTTGTGACTGTGCCATATGACAACATTCACTTCCTAATTCACTCGCTGACTCTCACGAAACTGGAGAAATCGAAATATCCATAAATGACTGTGGAAAGAGCAGAGTAATCGCTGGCACATGTAACGTGAAGATTGACATTGTCTGTATCAACAAAGCTGGCAGGTAATATTTCATTACTAATTATTTCAAACCATACACCTCAACAAACTTGTACAAATATATGTACACGTACTAAATTATAAAAAAATGCTTCTAATGTAGAATATTTGATTTTTCTCGTCAAATAACACTTTCATCTTACCCATGTATATTCCAAAGTAATGTTTTATAAACTGACAACATGAATAATTGATGTAAAGTCAAACACCGTTGTATCGAAGTTGAACGGACCTTCGAAAATACTTCGAGTTGTCCGAGGTTTGCCACAACCGCAAACTGATGGCTAAATATAGAATACGCATATTCTACTGTTCCGAGAAAACCGCAATTTTGATTTTATTTTAATGTTTGGAGATGGCATGCTCAACCCAATCATCAAACATTCAATAAATCGTCTTGTAATGTGTAGAGAAAACACTATTGTATTTCGTGGGATGTCAACACGGGTGAAGAGACCGGACATCTAAGAATGGACTGACCGCTACACGTTAAAAGGGAACTGTTACATAGGTTTGCCTCCCAGTCCCTGATTCCCAATAGTTTCCCTGATATTTTAACTGAAGCAAGTCTAGATTTTCAACAGGTTCTGAATTTCCAATCTCACTAGTTCTCCTTTTCAATTTAAATAGAATTAATAGTTCACTGTTGAATTACTAGATAGGGCACATGCATGTGGAGCGCTTAGACTGACATTGCCCACAGAAATAAACTTACCTCATTTTAAAAAGATATATTGACAATTACATAAAAAATAACCCAAGAGGATTCCGGAACAACTCTAACTTTCAAAGCTGAGATAATCTAGACCTGCCCAGTCATTCTAAACATGAGTTGGGCGGTTTTAATACTTATTTTCTCGGGTCTGAAGAGACCAATGCTGGGTCGTCCATGTATCGACACGTGTGTTCCGATAGCCGGGTACAAATCACGTGTTCGGCCGTTCGGGGAGGAATGCAGGGTCTTTCATAGTGTTGTTAAGGTTGTATATAAAGCGTAGGCGTGGTATCCCAGCAACCAAACAATCCGCAGTTGACTTGAGGGATATTGAGTGACAGTCGGAATAATCATTCAGATCTTCCGCGGCGATAACGTTGTTAAGTTTCAACAAGAGTGTTGGCACTCGACCTGTATAGGTTGTTTTATCTACCGAATTGTTCCAGCACGTATAGTTTTGTGTATACAAACTGAAATTGATACTTTTATTTCGCCTTTTTCTTTCTTTCTTTATATTTATTTTTAATAATGATTTTGTTGTTGTTTAAACAAATTCCCGAACTTGCATAAATTATAATATATTTACACACATTTATATCTGGACAGAACACAGGGTCAGTTATGAGTTCTATTCACCACACGGGTACAACGTGCTATTGCTGGAATATTGCTTAAACCATACTAAGGGCCTATTCGATTATGCTAAACCGGTTTTGGTTTCGGGAAAACAATGCACTCGATTATGTCGAAACCTAAAACTGGGTTCTGAAACTTCGAAACAATCTCCGAGGCAGGTTTCGCAGTTTCAGTTTCGCGTTCTCTCACAACAAACATGGCGGAATGTTCAGCTGATCTTGGTGGCAAAATAGAGCAGCAGTTTTGGGAACCAAAATAATGATAAAAATCAACTGAGAACTAGGAAAATATTATTTAAAGCCCCAGTCTATTGAACATGACTATTTTATGTAACTTGTATATATATAATTACTTTTATCAGTATAATTACATATACGCAAATATTTACCTCCAAAAGCATCTCATCTCTTTATTATTTGTTAATTCACTGATAAAATGAAAAACATATGCTGTCATCCAATTCGTTCCACATATACAGTAGCTGAGACATTTTTTGGGTATCCATTTTGAACCGGATGGTGAAACCATCCACTCATTTATAAAACTAGAAATTAGTTTCACTTTGAAACCATGTATCCGAAACTAGACACTCGTTTATAACAGGAGAAACCAGTTTCAAAAACCAAAACCAGTTTCGCAATAATCGAACAGGCCCTAAGTCAGTTGTGAAGGAAAATATCTACGGAACTGACAAAGTACAATCAAACTGAAAAATCTATCACTCACTCACACTCACATTTGAAACGTACAACATACACCAGCTTATAATTCGGGACCGTTCATAATTTATGGCAAGGGGTGTGGGGTGAGGTGATGATGATTTTTATGGAGAAGCATGTACAATGTGAATGACACCCCCCACAGAATGTATGTACAAAGTAAGTGACCCCCTGCGTGACATGTACATAATCAATTACCCCTCTCCCCTTCCCAAATCTTTCAAGCATAATTTTAAAATATTTCTATGTACAAAACTTCTAACCCCTAGTACTTGTGTACAAATCATGTGATGACCCCCCCCCCCACCCCACCCCACACACACAGAACAAAATTAGGAACGGTCCCTTATACTTGGGCGCTGAGGTAGCCAATTGACGGTCAAGCTGAAGACTCGGATTCAATGTTCGACTCCTGTTTTGCATACAATGGGTGAAAAAAACATCGCAAAATGCCTGATACCAAAAACAATGTTTACAAACGTAAACCAGTGTTAATTATACCACCCAACAAAAGTTTAGACTCAGCTAATGTTACTCACTACATGTTATGTACAGATATGTAGTTACATCGAAGATGAATTTCTCCACTAACTTGGGGGAACCATCTGCAAACATTTTGCAGATGCATTGCACGAGAATCATACATCAAATAGCTGAAAAGCATGTGCAAATATCGCGCATGTGAACAGCTGCGTTTTGGTGAAAAGTTTTGTTAAGAATTCGCTAATTTTCACCGAGTTGAGGTTTTAAATAAAAAAATAAAAAAAATAGAGCTATTATAATTTCGCTATATACCTCTGATTTTCTGTTTACCTCCATTCTACCGTAACTGTGTTATTAAAATTTAAGAAAAATACATATTGTGATGGAAAACCAGATGTATATAACGTGATTATGTACCTCTGAATGACTTCATCGATCACAATCAAGTATTTACTGAAGTCGTGGTAGAAATGAGGTTGGAGAACTCAACGAATGGTCGTCTTCGGCAAAAAACATGTAAGTTACATAATCAATGTGTATTTGATTGCTTGAACTTGTTTTTGTTTTTTAATATGTGCACTATTTCAGAACCACAATTGTGTGACAATGGTATACAAAAATGTAGCTGTTCAAGCCAGGATAAAACATATATACATTCGTCTAACTGAATTTTGCACAAACATGTTTAGAGAAAACGGGGATTTTGCACACCACCAATAATTTGGGTACATTTTGTCCATTTAGTTCTATTCACTGATGAGGGGCGGTGGGGTAACCTAGTGGTTAAAGCGTTCGCTCGTCACGCCGAAGACCCGGGTTCGATTCCCCACATGGGCACAATGTGTTAAGCCCATTTCTGGTGTCCCCCGCCGTGATATTGCTGGAATATTGCTAAAAGCGGCGTAAAACTAAACTCAGTCAGTCAGTCAGTATTCACTGATGAATTGATTTGTCAAGTTAAAAATGGGAACGATGTGAAGAAGTGAGCTTAATCTGACCGTAGCCAACCAAAGTACATTTGGATGAATATGAAAACTAAGTTCATTAATCGGTTTTTGCTTGGCCTAAATGGCAACATTTAGAAGATTTATTGTACTTGTAAAATAAACACGGGGAAAATGTGAATGGAAACGAAAGTAAATTACAACAAGAATATTATAATTAGGGACCGTTCATAATTTATGGCTAGGGGTGGTGGTGATGATCTTTATGGAGAAGCATGCATAATGTGAATGACCCCAAAAAAAATGTACAAAATAGGTACCAAATAAGTGACCCCCCGCATGTCATGTACAAAATCAATGATCCCCCCTTCCATAATTTATAAGCATAATTTAAAACATATTTTTATGTACAAAATTGCTGACCCCACCCTAGTACGTGTGTACAAATTTGCTGACCCCCACGAACAAAATGGTGTGACCCCCACCCCACTCCGTTAAAATCATCACAACCCCTAGCCATAAATTATGAACGGTCCCTTACGTAAATACAACATAAAATCATTGTCATAAAGTGATAGTAACGACATAATTCTTTTAGAGCGATACTGCATTTGATATGATCAGATATTCTTTGTTCAAACAGGGAGACTATATAAGTTGTAGAGTATCCCTGGTTCAAAGTTCCACATTCAACGAGCCATGTTGTCAACTCTACAGTACCTATGAATGCAATGACCCGTTTTCATGTGGTATTTCAGCAAACTCGACGATCACAAATAACATAATAATAAACTATAGACAAACATTATTTTACCATTCTGTATGATTCCATCACACACAATACCCACGTTTCTGATAAAACATATATGATGTATCAGAGACCATATACCGGTATATGGTCTCTGGATGCATACAAGGATTAAACCTATTTACAGGTGATTTTATATAGACCCATATCCATCCATGTCCGGGAATGAAATACTTTATGTATAGATCTGTATGTCGTTGTACGAATGTAAATTTACAAAAATTGCAGTAATTATGAAGTAAATATAAACCAATAACTGGGAAAGTGACACATGAGTGATATTCCTCGTCACGTTTGACATGACAATGAAGAGTGTGATCCAAGGGAGACGACTCTATTTGCTTCCGCAAATCGGCCATTGGCGCACGTGTATCACAATGGCAGAGACGGGAGAGAAACTCAGCAAAAGGTTAGCGATGTTTGGACTCTAAAGATAAAGTCGTCATGTGATGTGTGGGTTTCATACAAACATGTAGAACGCAAACCGGATCGGCAGTGAACTTGCTGATTATTGGGTGTTTAACGTGAAACTCCTACTGTGATAACAACTGCTTGAGCAGTTGCCGCCTTGTTGCATCATCATAAATATTACTGTGTGACAGTGTCAGGACGTGTTTATTTCCGACGAAAACACTGTCCCCGGTTGTTAAACTTGGTCCCTACCTCGCTATATGGTTACATCGGGGCAGTGCGACTTGCCGGCTGCTCCAGCAATGTTCCGTAAACAAGCATTTTATGGTGCTTTAGTAGATTTGCATATAGGTTTGTCAACGTGTGTAATTTTTGACGATCGCTTTAGTGTATGATCAATAAATTCGAACTCATATTGACCAAAATACAGGCTTAGTATGTCATAGTCATATTACTTTATTCCAGATTGTTAGGTCAAACAATCATACACTTGCTGTACATACTTTCATTACAAATTCCACAACATGTATACTAGTATGGTGAACCAAAATACAACATGAACATATAACCATCACGCTGATGAAAACCCCTCACCTTAACTATCAGTATCATAACGGGGCGGTTGGGTAGCCTAGTGGTTAAAGCGTTCGCTCGTCACGCTGAAGACCCCGGTTCGATTCCCCACATGGGTACAATGTGTGAAGCCCATTTCTGGTGTCCCCCGCCGTGATATTGCTGGAATATTGCTGAAAGCGACGTAAAACTATACTCACTCACTCACTCATAACTTGTACTGTTTATGATACACTTATGAGACGTACGGGGCACTGATGACCCTTTGTGAATGACTGTCCTGGCACCTATGATATGGGACGTCACACGTCAGGCTGTTGGTGTCATTGTTACTCATGCTTTTGATCACTGGATTGTCTAGTCCAGACTCTATTATTTACAGTCTGCCGCCATATGGCTGGAATATTTCTGAGTGCTGAAGTCACGAATCAAGAATTTTATGAATCAATACGTATCACGATACCAATGTCACGATTCGACACGATCAATCACAATTTCGATACCTATTTTCGCGGCATTATTGCGTCCAAGATTTAGTTACATTTTGAACATTAATATTTCATATTTTATAATTGTCCATGAAAAGATCAACATTTTTTATTCTCAGAGATCAAAAAGTTCTAATTTCCCATCTTTGTGCATGAAAAATAATCATTTATAACTCTCATAACATCCAAAAAACATGATACAATTGCAAAATGTAAACGATACATAAACATATTTAAACCGATACTTTCAAAACTAAATATCGATGCAGTTTTTAATGTATCGATAATTGTGTCATCTTAGAAAAAGTGTTGATGCATTGATATATGGAAGTATCGTGGCATCCCTACTGAGTGCAGTGTTAAACAACTACCCAACCAATGACGGCAATGTTACCATGGTTACTGATGCAGTCAACCATCAGCCTGCCTAAGACTTAAATAGTACTGGTTGCCAGTTAACTGGTACCCTATAAAAGAAATTTTAAGTTCTGATATGTTTATATTAGAGTGAGTGAGCGAGTTTAGTTTTACACCGCACACAGCAATATTCCAGCTATATGGCGGCGGTCTGTAAATAATCGAGTCTGGACCAGACAATCCAGTGATCAACAGCATGAGCATCGACCTGCGCAATTGGGAACCGATGACTTGTGTCAACCAAGCCAGCGAGCCTGACAACCCGATCCCGTTAGTCGCCTCTTATGACAAAATGGGTTACTGTAGGTTCATTCTATTTTAGAAAGTTGGGATATTTTTCATGTTGAATCTAAGCATACACCAGTATATATAAAAGGAAATAGTAAACATTTGAGCATGCAATGGGAAAACAGATACATCTGGTAATAGAACAAGTGCAGGCAGGCAAAGTGTGATAAAATATGTTTTGAAAGTTGTTTTCTTCAAAGTTAGAAATTCTTAAACATATTTATGGACTTTTCTTTTATTCATGCGTATTCTAACATTGTACTTCGAGATTGCATCAATTTCATTTGTAAGCCTTTAGACATTTTTTGCTTCAAAGGGTTTGTTATCTGTGAAATTCAAGTCTACACAGCCAAGCAACATTAGTTGTGACCATAGTACCCTTATTAACATGAATTGGGAAATGAGTAATTAAAATTTTGGATTAACTGACATTTGCTGGCTGGCTGTGTAAACATCAAGCCCCAGAACAGGTGTAGATAAACCCTTGGAAAAACTGACGCTTAATGAGCTCACTAGATAACTTTGTCACTTTGCTCAATTTTACCAACACCAGCCCCATCATCTGAGACTGCAACATCGTGACATGATGCAGAGTCTGACGTCACTGCTCCGACAAGCCTCTTGGCAGTTTATGTCTGTCCAGCGGGTTACATCTCGACTCACATCGTCCCCCCTCCACACTGCATCCATGTTGGGTCCATGTAGTCGTCGGAGCCCTTCTCTTCAAATCCAGCCGCGAACCTTCTCAACTTCACCTTCTTTGAACAAATCACGGTAAATATACGTCAAGTCCCAATAGTGCAACCCTTTTGTTACCATAGTTACATAGACATTGAGATATTATATTTAAGTTTTCGGTACGGAAGATATTGACCTCTGAGAATGGTTGTGTTCAGATTTGAGAAACTTGATAAACACAATTGCAACGTTTTGAGAGTCAAGACAAATCAGTGTTGAATTATGCATTGCTTGGTTTGAAATGTAATGATACCAAAAGGGGTGGACTGTACATCATATTGGAAACTTTATCAACCTTTTTGATATGCATGAAAAGTACCAATTCCAACAGATATGGTTATAATGAAGATTATCCAGATTTACTCATTGTGTAGTTATAGCTGCCATCTATACATCGTTGTCAAAGTGCAACAAATCATGAAAATACAACTTCCTCAGCTTAATTAAAACAAATAGTATGCCACGCAAACAAAGACACAAAGTTGCTAGACAACAATTGAAGAAAGGGTAATTATTTGGAGTTAAACTTTCTGCTACATGTTTTTTATTGACTGGTATAAAGTGGGTGGGTGTATTTACAGTGTAACCCCTGTCTATCCGAGATAGTCCACACATATTACCCCAAATTGTCGTATTTGAAGAAGTAACAAAATTAGAAGTTTGGGAATCCTGTAGGTGTGCACGTTTCTACTTTGGTGACAAGACCAGATGAGGGTAACAAAATGCAAATTGTAATTTGTGAAAGTTGGCAGCTCTGCTAATGGCTTGTTAAGATGTTTAGAACTATTGAGGTACTATTTTCCTGGCAACATTTTGCATGGTCATCAGTTTCCCGCTGGTTGTTGTTTTGTTTAGCATTGTTTAGTCTTCGACTTCCTGTCTTGTTGAAACAGGATGAATGTATGCCAGATAAATGTTGTAAAGCCTCTAAGATAAACAAGTTACATAAACAAAATGTTCTCGTATTCATCTGAATAATGGTAAATATTTGCAGTTGTTGCACAAGACACTTCTACTTGGATAGTGAGACCGAGAGATTTAAATAGTAGTGTTATGTACACAATGTTCAAGGTAGGTATGAAATACAAGTGTGTATTTTCAGAAATAAGAAATACTGACGCACCTGTACATTTCCTGATAAAAGGGTTGCACTGATTGGCGAACTGATGTATTTTACCTTTTCTAAATGTTCTATCCAGGTTGTAATACTTCTATAACATAAACCGCCTCCGTGGTGTAGTGGTTAGAGCGTCTGCCCGGAGAGCGGAAGGTCGCGGGTTCGATCCCCGACTGCATCATACCAAAAGACGTTAAAATATGGTACTTGTTGGTCCCTGCCTGGCGCTTGGCATTAATGGGTACAAAAAGGACTGGTCGGCTCGGAGTCAGTATACTGTGTGTGAGTGGGGTATTCATGCTTCACTGCGGCATGGTATCTCAGTGGGCTAGCACTATAAAACCAGCTTAAGTCTGGGCTAGTACAAGCAGCCGCACATTACACACACACACACACGCATGCACGTCGTCATATGAGCGAAATATTCTCAAGCACGACGTTAAACCCAATTTCACCTCACCTCTATAACATAAACACCCACATCTGCTTGAAGATTTGTGTTATGATCCTTGCAACCATGTAACACCTACAGGATCCTTGGAGTGGAGCAGTGGTTGTGAGGTTGCACAGCGACGTGTATGAGTTACAGTGAACTATATGCTTCTTTCAGCAAACTGTGTGTCCCTACACTATCTGCTTCATTCGGCAAGTTGTGTGTTTCAGTGAGCTGAAGAGGCGGTTGAAGGCGGAAAAGAAGGCCGCTGAGAAAGCAGAGAAACAGGCAGCAGTGACAGCAGCTGAGTCAGTCAAGAAACCTACTGCGGAAAAGAAACAGGATGATGAAGACATTGACCCAAATGTGAGTCTGATATTTATATTTTGATGTGTGAATAATAATTTAAAGCAAAATTTTAAAATACTATAGATACCTTACCGATACTTTTCTTGTGTCAACAATTAAGTCATTTTAACAGCGTCTCATATTGTGTCAGTACTGTAGTGTGTACACCAGTCCAGATATGGGTTTGAACTAGTCTTCCTCTGCACATGCTTGTCGAAAGACGCAACGCCGAAGACCCGGGTTCGATTCCCCACATGGGTACAATGTGTGAAGCCCATTTCTGGTGTCCCCTGCCGTGATATAGCTGCAATATGGCTAAAAGCGGCGTAAAACCTCAACTCACTCACTCATTCATTATGTCAAGCACTGGATTTGTCAAACATATTAAATAGAGTCAACATCGCAAGGTTTTCATTAAATTGATAATTAAACATGTTTTTAAAAAGTCTTCAGCTAAACCTATCAGTGAACTATAATGTGATGAGGAAAAGGTGAGACTTACTAGTTACTTGTCTGTGATGGATTGACATTTTTTGACTTGTGACATCTCAGAGTTAACACTTGCTTTACAACTGGTCTACTTTGAACTTCATCTTGAACTCTTGATCAGGACTAAACTCACAACAAAATAAAATAAGTAGCACCTTCTCTGAGTACTGCCCTGGCCAGTTATCTCCCCTGAGTGTCACCAGAAAAAAATCAACATGGCTGAATTGTTAAGAAGCTTATCAAGATTACCAGGATTAATTTCCATTTAATTCTTGTCATGATTAGTTGTGCTGATAGTATTTTTTTTAAAACAAAGTAGGTGATTTACAAGTTACAACTTTTACATGATGATTGCATCAGCTTACTGTTGCCCGGTCCAGTGTCCATCCCAGGGTGTCCTTTATACAGGAATAGTACAAATTGCATCAGCTTTTGAAATCTGCAATGTTTCTATATATCAGTGAGTAGCTACAGGTGTCCTTCAGTTGAACTAAGTTGTGTCCCAAGTGATTTGCTCGGTTGTCACAAAGAGAGGTGTTATTCACTGACCAAAGTCGCTTTTCTTAGCAAGAAAACTTGTCAGATTTATTTGTCTTTTTGAGGTTAACACTATTTCTAGAGATAAGGATGTCAAGTTATCTCGAGGGAAAGGACAAAGACGGAACTGCAGCTGAAATTGGTGTTGATAATGTTTCTCCCCAGGAGTATTTCCGTTTGCGGTCTCGAGCGGTTGCTCAGTTGAAGGAGGAGAATGACCATCCCTACCCCCACAAGTACCACGTGGAGGTCTCACTGACGGAGTTCATAGCTCGGTACAATGGCGTGGCTGATGGAGAGATCCTTGATGATGTCGTCTCAGTTGCAGGTAGGACAGTTGTCTGGGGTTTACATTAGGAGAGGGACTTGATGTTGTAAAGGAAGGCTAATTTATTGGGCTTGATTTTGGCCGGTGCCAAATATTAGCGAAACCATGATTCTTTTTCCAGAAACAGATTCGGGTGATATCTATGACTTCATGATATTAACCACTTGATATATAAATAATTTCTCTTACGTCTATTATCATTTGGGGGTGGTAGGGTAGCCTAGTGGTTAAAGTGTTCACTCATCACACCGAAGACCAAGGTTCAATTCCCAAAATAGGTACAATGTGTGAAGCCCATTTGTGGTGTCCCCGTCGTGATATTGTTGGAATATAGCAAAAAGCGGCGTAAAACCAAACTGACTCACTAACTATTATCATTTGGAAAGATTCACACTTCAACAAATATTTATAGTTTCTTCTTAGAATTGGTCTTCAGCAAATTCAGGCTTGTAAGAGGCGACAAAGGGGATGGGTGGTCAGATTCTCTGACGCATGTCATTGTATCCCTGTTGCAAAGATCGATGCTTATGATATTAATCACTGGATTGTCTGGTCCTGATTATTTACAGACTGCCTTCATACAGCTTGAAAATTGCTGAGTGAGGATTTATACAACATGCAAACAATGCATCACAAAGTCATCGTACTGCTATGATAGTTGCAAGTCTGTGTTAAAGAGGCAGGTCTGTCATTTGTGGTCTTGCTTACAGCTCCACCGTATCCCAATTACGTAGACCGATGCTCATGCTGTTGATCACTGGATTGTCAGGTCCAGACTCGATTATTTACAGACCACCACCATATATCTTGAATATTACTGAGTGTCATTAAACAACAATAAAAATATATAACAAAATCATGGTCTAGTCTTTCCTGAGAGCGGCAGGATGGAGGTTAAACACATAGGCGGATCCAGAGAGGGGGTGCGCACCCCCCCTTTTGTCCAGAAAGTTTGTTATATGACCATTGAAACTCAGGTGGAAATGAAATGTGCACCCCCCCCTTTTCTCAATAGTGTGCACCCCCCTTTCTCAAAAAGCTGTATCCGCCCCTGAAACACTAGGCTGCATCATATGAAATGACATTAAGGATGATACGACGTGTTGTTAGTCGGGCTGGCCATTGACAGACACACCGGGCACTAAGAACTTTGGCCTAGTATGGAGACTGATGTGGTGGTGTGTGGTCCTGTGCATAGAGCCCAGGTTACAAATCAGATAAAGTTAAGGAACATTGGTATTGGAGAGTCCTTGGACCGTGTCTAGCAGCTAGACTCCTGAGAGTTATAGGACTTCAGTCCTGCCTCACTAAGCACACACGACACATGTGGTCTCAACCTTGGTAAATGAGTTTGTTCATAGATTGCCTCTGTTTATCCAGCTGTGAATGGGTACCTGGTGGGATGACTCATATGACTGTTAACCTTCTAGACCCAAAGGCAGCTTGGGTTATCTGGGGTAATAAGTGGTAATAATGAGCTAGCACAAGTGTGTGGAAACAGGCGCTTTATTAATAGCCATTGTTATTATTGAATAACACATGTTTGTGTTTCAGGTCGTATACACGCGAAGAGGTTGTCTGGTGCCAAGTTGATCTTCTATGATCTGCGGGGTGAAGATGTGAAGATCCAGGTCATGGCCAATGCCAAGTGAGTCCCACGTTCGTCAGGAAGGGATGTAGCCCAGTGGTTAAAGTGTTGGTTCATCACACCTAAGATTCGTGCTCAATTCTGTGCTCAATGTACGTAATGTTTGATGGTCGTTTGTGGTGTCCCTCTGCAGATATCGAAAGTGTACCTCTGAAACATGACTTCTTTTTGTGCTGTAGATGAAAGGTTTTTTAACATTCACGGGCGGCGATGTAGCCTTGTGGTTACAGTGATCATCACCCAAAATTCTGAGTTCAATTCCCAATGTGGGTTCAATGAAACCCACTAGGTGTCATTTGGTGTTATGTTGCTGGAATATTGGTCAAAGTATCACCATTAAATTTCTGTAAAACCATCCAAAGGTTAAGATGGTTTGCATGGCGTAGGTTGTTGAAGTGTAGCTGTGTTCATCTACAGGTACTACCAACCGGAGGCGGCCTTCGAGGGTGTCATGGACAAGGTGAAGAGAGGTGACATCATCGGTGTCCGCGGGCGACCAGGTGAGCTACAGTCATCCGTTGTTTGGGGCGGTGGGGTAGCCTATTGGTCACGCCGAAGACCCGGGTTCGAATCCCCACATGGCTACTATGTGTGAAGCCCATTTCCGGTGTCCCCTGCCGTGATGTTGCTGGAATATTGCTAAAAGCGGCGTAAAACCAAACTCAGTCAGTCAGTCATCCGTTGTTATGGGTGACAGCTAGAGCCAGTGATAATACATAAAACATTTTTCCCGTAACCTCCAATAACCTCCAATAACCCATGCTTGTCGTAAGTGGCAACTAACGGCTCACTGGCTTGGTTGACACATGTCATTGGTTCCCAATTGCGCAGATCAATGCTCATGCTGTTGATCACTGGATTGTCAGGTCCATTATTTACGGACCGCCGCCATATAACTGGAATATTGCTGAGTGCGATGTAAAACTAAACTCACTCACTCACTCACTTACTCGGAGGATGTGAGTTCGATACCTGGATGGGACTTAACACAACATCCGTACTAGAATCTTTACCACTTTCTAAATGGCTTTGTGTGTTCATGCTCGCCGGCCAGTAAACAACATTCACTCACTCACTCACTCACTCACTCACTCACTCACTCACTCACTCCTAATCACTTGCACTTTGTTTTATTTGTACAGGGAAGACGAAGAAGGGTGAGCTGAGCATCATACCCTCCGAGATCACCTTGCTGTCCCCCTGTCTACACCAGCTGCCTCATCTGTACTATGGGGTCAAGGATAAGGTGAGCTTCGGGATACCTTCATAAGGATCCTGGTTAAAAGTGATCCCCAACAACTGATGTAAATATGTTGAAATCATTCATTAGCTGCAATACTCATGTTTGATTTTCTGCTTGTGAAGACCTGGTTAGAATTCAGTGACCCATGCTTGTCATAAGCAACTAACGGGATCAGGTGGTCAGGCTTGCTGACTTGGTGGATGCATATTATGGTATTCCAAATGCGTAGATCGTTGCTCATGCTGTCAATCTGCCGTGATATTGCTGGAATATTGTTGGCATGATCAGTGGGATGTAATGTAAATATCGCAGTCAACTTCACTGTAATGATGTTCCTGCTGTGTTGGTAATATTTCAAATGGCAATAAAACAACATCCACGTTTTACAGCCTGTTTTTATCGTGTGTCATTCACAGGAAACAAGATTCAGACAGCGATATCTGGACTTGATTATTAATGAGCCTGTCAGAAGAAAGTTTGTCACTCGAGCCAAGATTATCAACTATGTACGCAGATTCCTGGATGATTTAGGATTCCTGGAGGTGAGTTGTTTGTACAATACATGGTCATCAAACTGCTAGTCTATGTAAAGGGATTTATTTTACTATTTATTTTACTGGAATTAGAATTCAGCATACTTTGAACGTAATTCGGACAATTCTGGTTTTGGTGCTTCCGAACAATTCAGTATGGCATTCATTGTGTAGCAGGGGCGGTGGGGTAGCCTAGTGGTTAAAGCGTTGGCTCGTCACGCCGAAGACCCGGGTTCGAATCCCCACATGGGTACAATGTGTGAAGCCCATTTCTGGTGTCCCCAGCCGTGATGTTGCTGGAATATTGCTAAAAGCGGCGTAAAACCAAACTCAGTCAGTCAGTCAGTCATTGTGTAGCAGAATTAAAATAATGAAAAAATTGCAAGTTACCCTCTCTTTTTTTGCAAACCAAGCAAATCTGATTTTTCTTTCTTTATCTGTGTGTAGGTGGAGACACCGATGATGAACATGATCCCAGGGGGTGCCACTGCCAAGCCGTTCATCACTCATCACAATGATCTGAAACTAGATCTGTTCATGAGGGTAGCGCCGGAGTTGTACCTCAAGGTAGGAGGGAGCATGTGGCCATGACGTCTAAGACTGTTTGGTTGTGATTTAGGGTTTGAATCCCATTTTGTCTCTGATATGTTTCTATGTTTGTCAACACCATACCCATTGCCTTGGCCCACTTGCAGAAAGGGATCTTAGCGCTATGACGATCTTTAGCCTATGTTGGAGAATGGGATCACTTTGTGCAAGTGGGCCCTGCTACAGTAGGGGCTTTTCTCAACCATTAAGCTGACTGTTCTGGAGGGTCCAGTCGATTAAAAGGGGATTTCATGTTTAGTTGATTATTGAAACGTTTAGTTGATTAAAAAGGATTTTCGCTTAGTTAATTGAAGGGGATTTCACGCTTAGTTGATTGAAGGATTTCACATTTAGTTGATTAAAAGGGGATTTCATGTTTAGTTGATTAAAGGGGATTTCACAGTTTTAAAAGGGGTTGATTGAAAAAGGGGATTTCACGTTTAGTTGATTAAAAGGGGATTTCACGTTTAGATTTCACTTAGTTTTAGTTGATTAAAAAGGATTTCACGTTTAGTTGATTGAAGGGGATTTCACGTTTAGTTGATTAAAAGGGGATTTCACATTTAGTTGATTAAAAGGATTTCACATTTAGTTGATTAAAGGGATTTCACGTTTAGTTGATTAAAAGGGATTTCACATTTAGTTGATTAAAAGGGATTTCACACGTTTAGTTGATTGAAAAGGATTTCCTTAATTTAGTTGATTCCGTTTAGTTGATTTAAAGGGATTTCGTTTAGTTGATTAAAAGGGATTTAGTTGATTAAAAGGATTTCACGTTTAGTTGATTGAAGGGGATTTCACGCTTAGGGAAGATTTCACATTTAGTTGATTAAAAGGGGGATTTCACGTTTAGTTGATTAAAAGGAGGGGAGTAAGTACATAAGGGTAGTTTTAGACTGGGCTTGGTGGAGGGGATTTCACGCGTTTAGTTGATTAAAAGGGGATTTCACATTTAGTTGATTGAAAGATAAGTCAAAATGTATGTAGTTTAGTTTAACTTCCACTGCAAAACATAGGTATTTTAGTTTTTATTTTCCACTGCGTACCACTGACACACAGTAATATAGCATTTGAACCAATTCATAACAGATTAACTAAAAAACATGAAATCATTGAGTGATCCTTAATTTCTTTTGAGAAGTATAGATAAATATCATCATTAGGAACCATTAGTGGTTCAGTTATTCATTCGTCACACCAAAGACCCGGGTTCGATTCCCCACATGGGTGAAATGTGTGAAGCCCATTTCTGGTGTCCCCTTCTGTGATATTGCTGGAATATTGCTAAAAGCAGCTGAAAATCATACTCACTCACTCATCATTTAAAACGAGTAAACATACACTGATGAAATCTCTTCAGATGTTGGTTGTGGGAGGCCTTGATCGGGTGTACGAGATTGGCAAGCAGTTCCGTAATGAGGGTATCGACATGACACACAACCCTGAGTTCACAACGTGCGAGTTCTATATGGCGTACGCCGACTATCAGGACCTAATGAAGATCACCGAGTCCATGGTCTCAGGTCAGTGTTGTCCACAGGGCTGTAGATATATTCCTTGCTGTCTTAGTGAAGGACGCTGGTAATAAATAGATTGATATGCTGAAAATCATCATAGTCAAACATGGAAATATATACGAATCATTTCAGCATAAGATGCATCAGTTTCCTTACTTTTGTTGACCTGTGAAGATACTGGTCTTCAGCAACCCATGCTTGTCGTAAGAGGCGACTAACGAGATCAGTTGGTCAGGCTCGATGACTAGGTTGACACATGTCATCGGTTCCCAATTGCTCAGATCGATGCTCATGATGCTGATCACTGGATTGTCTGTTCCAGACTGGATTATTTACAGACTGCTGCCAGAAAGCTGGAATATTGCTGAGTGCGACTTTAAACAACAAACCAACCAACCATACCTGTGCTTGTACACCTCATTGGCTTGGGGTCATTTCTTAATTACCTTTTAACAGCCATAAACTTTGCCACTACAGTAGTGCAGCTAATGTGTGAAAGACAAATTTCTGTTAGAAGTAATACTGTTGTCATTGCCCTATAAACATGATAAATCATTGAGCTTGTGTTAATGCGCACATTCTAGGAAGACACGTGGGGTAACCTAGTGGTTAAAGTGTTCGTTCATCACGCTGAAGACCTTAGTTCAATTCCCCGGATAGGTACAATGTGGGGATGACACGATCAGATGGTCAGATTCGTTAACTTGGTTCATGTCATTGTATCCCAATTGCGGTACATCAATGCTGTCAATCCCCCTATTGTCTGGTCCAGACTTGATGTTACAAAGTCTACCCAAGTTGTATATATCGGTGCTCATGATGTTAATCACTGGATTGTTTGGTGGAGATTCCATTATTTACGGGCAGTGGGGTAGCCTAGTGGTTAAAGCATTCGCTCGTCACTCCGAAGACCCGGGTTCGGTTCCCCGCATGGGTACAATGTGTGAAGCCCATTTCTGGTGTCCCCCGCCGTGTTATTGTTGGAATATTGCTTAAAGTGGCATGAAACTAAACTCACTCAGTCACTACTATTATTGAGAGAGATTTCAAAATGACATTACCTGATGAAGAGATTTTTAATGTTTTGGGATGGTAAATTCTGGGGAGAGAAGAGTGATGCTATTGTTTTGCTAAAACCTAACATTCTGTTCTTTTGCTACAATTGAAAATGGGGGAAATATTGCTGATACTCAACAGAGCTTCGAACGTTTTGGTTAGACTTAAAATAGTTAGCATAGCAAGAATATACATGGTATGTTGAAGCTTTGACTGTTTATGTTCAATACAGGATTTTTACCATTCCTAAATGTGTGATAACTTCTGTTTATCTTAATTTCATACCTTCTTGCTGCCTGTAGTGTAATATGCCACATTAACCTGACTATTTATCTGATTTTTACCTGTTTACCTGTGTGTACAGGTATGGTGAAGTATCTTTACGGGGTTACAAGGTCACGTTTCACCCTGATGGGCCAGATGGAGAAGGGGTGGAGATCGACTTCACACCACCCTTCAGGCGTATCAGTCTGTGTGAGGAGCTTGAGAAGATCCTCAAGGTGAAGTTCCCAGAACCAACAGCATTCAACACAGAAGGTGGGTAACATTGCAACATTGGTCATATAAGTGCTGTGACTACCTTTACCACAACCCATGTATCAGGAGTTTGTGTCAAAATTGCTCTCCAACTGTCCATGCATATTGTAAGAGTAAGAGGTGTCTGATGGGTAACTTGGCTGATTTGGTTTAATATTGTTGACTGTGGTAGGCTTGGTTGACTTGCTTTACTTTGGTTGGCTTGGTGTACTATCATTGATTTGGTTAACTGGGGTTGACTGTGGCTGCTTGGTTGTCTGTGGTGGCTTGGTTAACCGTTTGGATTGGTTGACTGTGGCTGCTTGGGGTTGTCTGTGGCTGCTTGGTTGACTGTGGTTGCTTGGTTGACTGTGGTTGCTTGGTTGACTTTTGCTTGGTTGACTGTGGTTGCTTGGTTGACTATTTTGCTTGGTTGACTGTGTTTGCTTGGTTGACTAGTTGCTTGGCTGACTAGTTGCTTGGTGGTCTGGTTGCTTGGCTGGCTGGCTGTTTGGCTTGGGTGACTGGTTGACTGGCAACTGGTTGATTTGATTGACTTGGTTGCCTTGGTTTACTGTGGTTGGTTTGGTTGATTTTGTTTACTGTGGTTGATTTGGTTGATTGGTTGACTGTGTTTTATTATTAATAATGTCAATTACTTGATCATTTGGCCACCACCTGATGATGTACAGTCTGTGTGGGTTTCTTGGCAATACTAACAAGGAATCAAACCTATGCCGTATTTCTATGTTTCCAAAGTTATATGAAAGTGAAACACAAATGAGTGACTTTATATACACAGGATGTCTTCATTTTATTTGATTTAGTTGTTTCTGATTATAGGTGGTTAGTAATGATAAACAAAGAAGGACTTATCATATTCTTTTGAGAATTTTATTTCTTTGAAACCATTTTTGTTATTTTGATTAAGTTAAGGTTGTGTTATGCTCCATTCAGTTTATGTTTGTGTCTGCAGGAGCCCGCAAGTTCTTTGATGATTTGTGTCGTAAGCTGGAGGTGGATTGTGCCGCCCCTCGGACACTCAGCCGTCTACTAGACAAGGTATAGTTACCATGGTTATAACAGTGACCTGTTAAATCCCAGTTGAAATCTGTCTTCAGCAACCTATATATGTCATAAGAGGCCCCAAACAGAATCAGGGCCCCGTTTCACAAAGAGCCTTCGTAGGGCTAAGATTTCGTAACTTTTCTCGTAGCATTCGTACCTCCTATACTGTAACGTTGATGTGCGATAGTCGTAGCGCTATGAAAACTTTGTGAAATGGGTCCTTGATGGTCAAGTCACAACACATGCTCATAGGATTGTCGCTGTATTGGTGCAATAATTTTGAGCGACATTAAACCTCATTCGCCTCGCCTCAATTCTGACTGTATATGTCTATTATTGGGAGGGTGGGGTAGTCCAGTGGTTAAAATGTTCACTCGTCACGCTGCAGACCCAAGTTCGATTCCCCACATGGGTACATTGTGTGAAGCCCATTTCTGGTGTCCCCTGCCTTGATGTTGCTGGAATATTGCTAAAAGCTGCTTAAAACCATACTCACTCACTCACTATGTCTATTACTTAGGAAGAACTACTAGCATGAGCAACTCTACTGAGGTTTATTTCTAATCCTGATCACTGTGCAACTTTAATGAAATTGACATTTTCTGTTATCTAAATCTCATCTTATGTTCGTCTTTGATATATTCTCTCGTCTTGTTTCAGCTGGTGGGTGAATATTTGGAGGAGAAAATCATCAACCCCGCTTTCATCATTGAACATCCTCAAGTGATGAGTCCACTAGCTAAATGGTCAGTTCTTGTCAGGAGATAGGGATGTTTTGACGATTCTAACCTGTGTGCCCTTGGCAAGAAAATTAGAGGAGTATATGATTTCGCCATTTGTGTTAATGAGTTCTATTTAGTTTGTGTTTGTCAGTCAGTCAATTACATCGTCCTGCTACTGACTTAAAAAACCATGGTAGCCCGTGAAGATTCTGGTTAGAATTTGTCTTCAGTAACCCATGCTTGTCATAAGAGGTGACTAACGGGATTGGGTGGTCAGGCTTGCTGACTTGGTTGACACGTCATCAGAATTACATAGATCGATGCTCATGCTGTTCTTTCCAGACTTGATTAGATAAATGTATAGACGGTTGCCATATGGTTGAAATATTGCGGAGTTCAAGAACAAACAGAACGTAACCGTGGTAACTCAAGTATCATGTTGCAGGCATCGGTCCAAGCCAGGTTTGACGGAACGGTTTGAGCTGTTTGTGATGAAGAAGGAGGTTGCCAATGCTTACACAGAGTTGAACGACCCTGTTGTGCAGAGAGATAGGTTTCAGCAGCAGGCCAAGGTATGTATGACACAATATTGCATGAGTGGGTGGAATGGACTAGTTTTGTGGTGGCCCATGGTCCTGTTTACAGTGTAGTTAGATAGGTGACCACATGACTCCTGAATATTTCTAACTCGGATTGTAACCCCTTCAAAATATGTACAGCAAACATTAGGTCTCCTAATGACTTCATTCAAAATGTCCCAGCAGTAGATGGGTAGCCAGTTCGATGAGATGGTATTGTGACTGATAGTCATGAAACACATCACAAGTCAGTCTGGGGACGTTAAACTGGCAGTGTTAATACCCATGTCTCTCACCATCTTGTTAATTCTGTTCCAGGACAAGGCAGCTGGTGATGATGAAGCCATGTTTGTGGATGAGAACTTTTGTACAGCACTGGAGTATGGGCTTCCTCCCACCGCAGGGTGGGGCATGGGGATCGACCGACTCACCATGTTCCTTACCGACTCCAACAACATCAAGGTAGGCAGATTAACCAGCTCTTAGGATTATCTGAGGCGAGGGAGTCCTAGGTGTGAATCCCAAAATCCATCCGACTCTTTGTGTCACCTGCTGTGGTATGGCTACAACAGTGCTTGAAGCTATTAAAACCTTACAGATTAGGATCACACAGGATTAAAGATTGTGGGTTTGATAGCCTGATTTTCATTTTGTTATTCTTGGTTGGTCAGCACCATATCCATGACTGCTTGTTTTAATTGGTTAATGTCTGGGATGACATTGCTTTCCCTTTCCAATGTGTATGTGCACAAATTGTGATTTGGGGCATGGGATCAGAAAGCTGAAATAATTTTAAAAACAGTTTGAAACTGAATTCTCACATAGTCTTGATGCTGTAAAGGTTCGTTCATTTACCCGGGACGTTCAACATATGTAATTCTGAGATCATTTTTCTGTGTTACTCATTTTCATTTTATGAAAGAGAAAAAACAATGACTATTCATGGTTTCACATGCATTACTTCAGACTTCCCTCCAACATTAAACGGACACATTTATCTAGAATATTGTTAAGGGCAGCATTTTAAACTCAACTCACTTATTTTTCTATGATGAATTACATATCATTATTGTATCAAGGACATCTCCATCCTAACCACAATGTTTTTGTCCACAGGAAGTACTCCTGTTCCCAGCAATGAAACCAGAAGACAACAACCCCAAGCCAGAAGACGCAGCAGACGCCAACCCGAAGGCAACGTCTTAACATCAGCTCCACACATCGCCTTCATGTCCGTGTCTACATGCCTTTCTAGGCATCACGCCATTGTTGGAACAGCCATTGTTAATCTTCGTTGTTTTATTTACCATGGCTCAGTTTCAAGACCAATGTCCACTATGTCGTCAGTAGCTACAGGGTAGGGTGAACGTGTCTATGTCAAAGATCAGTGAATCAAGGCTTGTAGAGTCCAGGATAGGATAAAGATGTCCATGAGTGATTAATTCTAAATGAATTGTACAGTTGTGTCAGTGTATCATTGATACCTCAAATGTTGAATCATATGGGAATTCAGTTTGAGTCGTATCGTCTCTCTGAAAGGACTATCATAAGATATGTTCCTGATTGAGAATCCATTTTGAGTCAGTATGCAATTTTGTCTGTGAAAGGAGCTTGAACGATTTCCTATGACCCGAACCCCCAGATTATATCTTCCATTTAACAAACAGAAAATGTACGATAAAACCTTGTTGACACTGAAATATTGTTGAAGACAAATTGTTTTTCTTGTTAAGGCAACAAGTTGACTTAGCCTGAAATTGGTGGTAGTGCTCTTTTCCTCGAGCAGAACTAAAAAAGCGCTTCACTATTTTCTTATTCATAGATCTGGTGGTGAACCCCATGGTCTAATAATGACTATATATGAAATTCGAACACCACAGTAGGTTGTTGAAAGTGGATCTGATGATGAAATTAAGGTCTCATCAACAATGTTTTCATTATCAGTTGTTCAAGTTTCATGTGAATTGTAACATATTCCATACAACTACTCACAACACTGTATCATGGCTGACATGTACTATACTGCTCAAAACAAGTTTGGGAACACTCCTCTTTCGTATGTTGTCACAATTAACACTACGACAGATTAAGAAGTCAGAAAAACACCTGTGATCTCTAATTTCTTTTGAGTAGTATATATTAGTTAAGAAACTGAGAGATTAATCTATTTTATTCATCATTATGTGTAAATTGTGTCATAATAGCTTGAGGTTTTATTACTTACAAAACCACTGATACTTGATACTTAGCGATATCAGATGGGAATGCAACCATATTACTGGTAACTAAGATGTGTTTAAGGTAAATATGTCATGGGTTTCTGTACAGTTGGCGCCATGATTCTTGTCAGTGGACTGTAACATAACCTGTGAATAATTTATTTGGAATATAAATTCTTTGACCAACGAGTGTCTTATTGATTGTGTTTGGGAGAGAAAGGTGGGTTATTTATTAACAGTAGTGTAAGAGGAATGGTGTAATTTTGTTCTTTTATATTCTTCAGATATAAATGAGGTGGGGTAACCTAGTGGTTAATGCGTTCACTTGTCATGCCGAGGGCCAGGTTCAATTCCCCACATGGGTACAATGTGCCCATTTCTGGTGTCCCCATTTTGTCAACTATACTCAGCAGCAAAAAAAACCGTCAGTACAAATTCAAAATTAGATAGGCACTGTGATCAAATCATTACAGAAATGGACATAATAAGCGGAACAAAAACATGTTTTGTGTACAATATCTTGACACATCAATGAATAACTCTGCACAATTTCAAGACATTACATGAACGTTTGCAGTCCATTCAGACTCTTGACTTCAGTATCTAGTGTGACCACCACGAGCGGCAATAACTGCAGCACAGCATCTATGCATGAAGTGCACCAATCCATTGATGAAGGCCATTGGCTACTGGACCCACACTCTGAGAAAGACCTGTCCCAATAAATCGGCTGTGTTCGGCGTTGGTATGACATTATTCAGTCCCCTCTGATTTTCATCCCAAAGATGTTCAATTGGGTTTAAATCAGGACTCAGGGCTGGCCACTGCATAATGTTGACACCGTTCTGCTGTAAGAAGTCCCGTTTAGCTCTAGCAGTATGGGCCCGTGTGTTATCATGCTGGAAAATGTTCCAGTGACGTGCGAAATGTGGTATGACATGGGGTCTGAGAGCTTGTTCTACCTGAAGTAGCGCCTCGCGAGAATTTATAAACCCTATATGCAAACAGTATTCTCAGTTGTGACAGTAAACCACCGATACCTAACCTTGAAGGATCAAACAACACATAGTAAACTGATCTGACAATGAGACAATTGATATTTTATTGAGATGGCATGCAATGGACACAATGGAAATGTGATAACAGTGATCGAGTGATACACAAATACACGTCATCAAATCTTGGATGTCACACACAATACTGGTAAACACACCTGATATATGCTACCCCAACCTATGAATATGAGTGGCACAGTCTGAAGTTAGGCTGTGGTCCGAGTGAATCTATCACCTGCAGCAGTATCACAGATACACATGGATACTGCTTCTTTCATGCACTGGATGCATGGTGTCTAATTTTCACAAATGTGTATCTACTAGTGTTGGGAATTGGTTAAAAGCTCACAATTGATGATTGGTTCATTACAACCGATCAATCATCGAAAAAAATTGGCTAGCGTATTTATCAAATTCTCCTGGTTATGTTTGTTAATGCACAAAAAATATAGAAAAAACATGTAGTTCTTTTGGTTGTTTTTTTTTGCAAATTGCACAAAATGCATTTACAAATTTCACATCTTTAAAGTATGACTAGTATGTTAGGAACATAAATTTCCTGGAATCTTTAAGATAAATTCAGTCAAAACTAGGAAAGAGCTTGTAGTACTTATGAAATGTAACAGACAAAACCAACCTTTTGAAAAATGTTGTTAATGCAAACAAGTGTTCCAAAATTGTTTGTGTTCGATTATGAGAAAACATGATCAGTTGCTTGGTCGTTTAGTCACTGCGACCAATCTTCGATTATTTCAATTAATCGGACCACCACTAGTATCTACATCATTAACGTATCTACCAATGGTTACTGTTGTGGTCCTCCAGTCATTACTATAATGAAATACCAGACCTTTGATAAACAGGTGACTACAGGGACTTGGCTAACTAGCAAGTACAAGGTTCCAACACCAAGAGTTGTATTGGATGCACCTGGAGTATTTGGCATTACAGTATCACATGAGAAGGGGTTCCTGATAGTGACAGCATTAGGGAGCATTTGGACATCATGTATACAATATATACCACAGTATGCAATACAGGTGGGTCGGTGTGCTACATTCTGGTGTGCAGTGTGGGAGGGGGGATAAGCTTGTATACAAGAGGGTCAACTTGTATACAATGTATACTAATATGTTCAATATATACCATGGTTTACTATAGGGGAAGGAAGGTGGGCTTGTATACAATATATACCATGGTGTGCAGTATCAACTGACTGACTGAGTTTGGTTTTACTTATGTACAATATATACCGTTTACTATAGGGAGGGAAGGTGGGCTTTTAGCAATATTCCAGCAACATCGAAGGTGGGGGGGACACCAGAAATAGGCTTCACACATTGTACCCATGTGGGGATACAATATATACCATGGTGGTCTTAGGCGTGACGAGCCAACGCTTTAACCACTAGGCTACCCCACCGCCCTTGTGCAATATTAAAGGGTGGGTGATCTTGTATAGCTTGTGCATAGGTTGTAAATTGTTAGGGTGGTAATGTTGTATACAATACATATCATGAAGAGCATGTATCCAATATATACCATGGTGTGCAATAGAGGAGTCAGTTTGTATACAATCTATTCCGCTATGTGTAATAACTCCCAGCTAGGTGAATGGTATAGACTTTTCAGCCTGTAGTCATGGAGATTACAGTTCCTTGTATTCCACTAAAGCTTTTTAATCATACCCTCTGATAATGATCAAGTCTAAAACGCCAAGATGGCTACACAGTTGTCTGTGACTAAATCTGACTTTGGGACAATAGAGACTAGAGACATTCTGAGGTAAGTTGTCTTGGATATGTGTGATAAATATGTCGTATCAGAGCAGGTGCAGGAAGCCTACATACATTACACATTTTTGTTGTTTAACACCTCACTCAGCAATATTGACAGTTGTCTGTAAATAGTCGAGTCTGGACCAGACAATCCTGTGACTGACCCTAGCCATTTAGCCACCAATCTTAATCTTGACCTCCACAGGGACAAATATGGTATGATGCTGCAACCAGGCCAGTAAATAGAAACGGTGACACCTTTATGAGTTTTCACATTACACACTAAAAAGAAAGGAGCCAAAATATATGATAAATTCTAATAAATATTTTAACATTTATTTTTATTTCACCAATTTCAGATGGATAAGAAAAATGAAGATTGACACCCCAAGAATCGTTAGAAAAATATACTTTTTGAATATTTGATAAAGTCCATTTTCTGCAGTAGCTGGCTGCTACAAACTTATAATACACACAATTGTCTGAGTGAGTGAGTGAGTGAGTTAAGATTGTCTGAGAAAATATCCATTTTGCTGTTGGAATATTAAGTATACTGTACTTCAAATTGTACTGTTATTTGCATCAATGGTTTTCCAAAAACTTCCCCAAACAACTTCTTAAATTAAAGAGAAATGTAATGAGCTACATCACGTATATATATATACTTTTCTCTTGCTATTTGGTTTTCAAATCAACACAATAAAATACACACAATAAACACACCATACTGATCATTGAATACATTCTTAACTACAATCAACAAATGTAAATGTTGTAGTTTCCTACAGCTAAATATCATCACATAGAATTTTTTGTACTTTTGAACGGGGAACACAATCCTTTGTTCAAACACCTTAAACTGTGCCCTTGGCTAAGTCAGTTTGAGACTTGCTGTTGTGTTCAACCTTCCTTCATGCACGTAGCAAGCCAATGTTTTCGTGTAAGCCTGATAGGTTGCAAAGCTGTATATCAAAATAGTATTGGGGCAGTGTATGAAATAAGGCCCGTCCAACTGCCCAAGACGGGCTAGATTTCTGTTGGACCGTCTAATTTTACAGCTAGCCAGCCCAATGGACGGGTGAAAAAAATATTCAGATAACGTGTCCATTGGCACTGTCATTTAGTATGTAAGAAGGACTGGTTAAATCTCTTCTGGGCTGGTAAGTTTTTGAAGTTACCAGCCTTGATGTCTGGCTGGGTTTTTGGCTTATTTCATACACTGATTGGGGGCTATTTAACAATCATGTGTAAGCCCGGGTTAGTTTTCATAAAGGTAGCTATGCCCCCCGTCCTTTAGATAATATCTTGATCTGCCACTGTAAATGATGTGTAGTCCTCAGATCTAACCTTCAACTATGGAGTAATTGATGGGATATTGCTGTTGCATTGTCAAAGTCTTTAAATGGTATTGAGAAGTGATACGTTCAGGAGAAATGTATGGATGTCAGGTTTTGTTGTATGAGGAACAGGACGTTTGGAGTCATCCTCGATAATCTCCAGGGTTTACTCAATCACTCACCAGCCAACAATTTCCGGCTTTTTTGATTTTGCGCCCCTTGTCAAGTTACAAATCAAAGCTACCGTTAAAAGTCACAATTAAAGTCGCATGACAGCCACTCAGATTTTGAAAACAAATTGAGCAAGTATACAAACCATTTTTCAGAGCCCAATTTTAATACAGTCACAGAATTTTACACAGCCTTGTAAAATGGCTCAACTTCCCAGCATAGGCCTGATGATGACACATCATGACATCATTCAGGTTGGTAATTTGGCTAAATGTTAGAGTCATGATTTGAAACAGAGTTCTTAATATCACACAAACATTTCTTGTTGTTGACAGGCCCAAATGACATGCTTGTTTGCCAGCCAACCCAGTAATAACTGCATTCAGCACTAGAAAGAAATACACAGCCTTGTAAAAGCATGATTATTGGATGGAGTGTAATCAGTAGTCATGACAGTAATATGACACATTGCAGCTTTGATATAGAAATGACTAGAAAAAAAAAAAAGTAAATTTGGTTTCATTTCATTCTTGAAAGTTTTGTACATTGGTTTACTTTGAACAGGTGTAGAGCACTGGTCAGTATATCAGTTCTCAGAATCTGAACCTACTCTCTGTGCCTCGGTTCAAACTGCAAACTTTGGAAGGAAATCCTTTGCCTGCTCTGCCCCTCTACTCTGGAACTCTCTCCCTATCACCATTAAATCAGCAGTTGACTTTAATTCCTTCAAACGACTTCTCAAGACTCATCTGTTTTCACTGCATTATGACTAGCTACTATAGTCCCTCATTGTATATATGTATATTATCCACTCACTTTGTTAGCGCTTTGAGCATGGGCCTTGTGCATGGAAAAGGCGCATTATAAGTTCACATTTATTATTATTATTATTATTATTATTATATTTTACAATATTGTAAATAGCCTGAATGTATATTTCCGTAGCGATTTCCCTTACGTCAAATGTTTTGAGTACCTCATGAAATTATTGCACCAGATACGCGGTAATTACACGTCAATTAAAACCCTGCAGCAAACAAAATGGCTGTCCCCTTGTGGTTGGGCAATACCACAGAATAAAACAGCTGGACATTTTCTAACCTACTCATGATATATATGATATATTACACGACCCGAGCATCAGGAAATATGTAATAACAAACAATCCAACACCATTATGCAACTGTTGTAAGAGTCCAGCCTTTCACACAATGACCCTGATTGGTCTTTGAGACGTTCCTCTTCACCTTTGGCTGATCAGGTGACCTTGACCCTGTTTGTCTTGTCATGTGACCTTGGAGATGTTTTTCCTATGTTATATCAGGGTTAGCTGAAGCCGTCCTCCTGCGTGTCTGGCTGCTTCTCCTTCACCGAGTTGTAATGCTCCCCGAGTCCAAATGCATGGCGGTGATACCTGAAAAAGGAACATAGTGAGTGAGTGAGGGAGTTTAGTTTTATGCTGCACTCAGCAATATTCCAGCTATATGGCGGCGGTCTGTAAATAATCAAGTCTGAGGAACCGATGACATGTGTCAACAAAACCAGCGAGCCTGACCACCCGATCCCGTTAGTTGCCTCTTACGACAAGAATGGGTTACTGAAGGCTCATTCTAACGTGGACCTTCAGGGGTACATAGTGAAGGACCAAATATTTGTGTAAAACAGGCCTACCAAAGAAAACTTTCCCACTGTGCAGAAAAACGCAGAAAAGCCCACATTAATCATGGAAATAGCAACATAAACATAATACCTCGCTACTGAAACAGTAAAAACCGCAACGAAAAACTATGAAACTGCAACATTTTACATCAGTGAATTTTGACCTCTACTGCGCATGCGCATTACGATCCGCACTTCATTCCAATTTCCGAGCAACCGTGAATCGCTTCTCGTAGAAAAAGTATTAAATATGTCGAAATAATTGCTGTCAATCGTTTCATACCGATGGAAAGTAAACTAAGCAAGTGTGCACACAAGTATCATGATGATAAATGCCAAATAACACAGCAGAAATACTTAAAAAGGAATGTAACTTTTGTCCAAGCTGGAAAATGTCAACATGCGGTCGGGACTTCCTCTTCCATAAAGCATAAGAGATACGCCAAAATCAAAGTTGCAGGCTCTTCGTTTTTTTATGCAGTTTTAGCGATTTAAAGTTGTTGTTTTTACTGTTTCAGTAGCGAGGTATTATGTTTATGTTGCTATTTCCACGATTAATGTGGGATTTTCTGCGTTTTTCTGCACAGTGGCAAAGTTTTCTTTGGTAGGCCTGTAAAAGGTGACTAATAGGATCAGGTAGTGGGGCTTGCTGACTTGGTTGATTCAAGTTACCATATTCCAGTTGTGTAGATCGGTGCTCATTCACCTGGTCCAGCATCATTCACCTGGTCCAGACTACCATTATATAGCTGGGATATTGCTGAGAGCAGCATTAAACAACAACAAAAAGGGGCTTGGCAAACGACTTAATATTTGGAGGGGCTAGGCAAACGACTTAATATTTGGAGGGGCTAGGCAAACGACTTAATATTTGGAGGGGCTAGACAAACGACTTAATATTTGGAGGGGCTAGACAAACGACTTAATATTTGGAGGGGCTAGACAAACGACTTAATATTTGGAGGGCTAGGCAAGCGACTTAATATTTGGAGGGCTAGACAAACGACTTAATATTTGGAGGGGCTAGGCAAAACGACTTAATATTTGGAGGGGCTAGGCAAACGACTTAATATTTGGAGGGGCTAGGCAAACGACTTAATATTTGGAGGGGCTAGGCAAACGACTTAATATTTGGAGGGGCTAGGCAAACGACTGAATATTTGGAGGGGCTAGACAAACGACTTAATATTTGGAGGGGCTAGACAAATGACTTAATATTTGGAGGGGCTAGGCAAACGACTTAATATTTGGAGGGCTAGGCAAGCGACTTAATATTTGGAGGGCTAGGCAAACCACTTAATATTTGGAGGGGCTAGGCAAAGCGACTTAATATTTGGAGGGGCTAGGCAAACCACTTAATATTTGGAGGGGCTAGCAAACTAACTTAATATTTGGAGGGCTAGGCAAAGCCACTTAATATTTGGAGGGCTAGGCAACGACTTAATATTTGGAGGGGCTAGGCAAACGAATTTAATATTTGGAGGGGCTTAGGCAAACGCACTTAATATTTGGAGGGCTAGGCAAACGACTTAATATTTGGAGGGGCTAGACAAACGACTTAATATTTGGAGGGGCTAGACAAACGACTTAATATTTGGAGGGGCTAGACAAACGACTTAATATTTGGAGGGGCTAGACAAACGACTTAATATTTGGAGGGGGCTAGACAAAGCGACTTAATATTTGGAGGGGCTAGACAAACGACTTCCATATTTGGAGGGGCTAGACAAACCTAACTTAATATTTGGAGGGGCTAGACAAACGACTTAATATTTGGAGGGGCTAGACAAACGACTTAATATTTGGAGGGGCTAGACAAACGACTTAATATTTGGAGGGGCTAGACAAACGACTTAATATTTGGAGGGGCTAGACAAACGACTCAATATTTGGAGGGGCTAGACTAATGACTTAATATTTGGAGAGGCTAGGGAGAAGCAGTGATTCAGACTTTTGTTTGAGAGAGAATATGTTTTCAGTCAGCGTTACAAAAACCTAATCTTTTCTCTGAATGGAGAAACCAGAAAATATTTCGGACCCACAATACTGTATTCAGAACATTCAACAAGTTCATAAACTATGAAAATTATAAAATTGCTGATCAAGTTGCAGTTTCACCAACATTTTGTCAAGAAAAGATTACCCAGCTGCCTTAGTGTACATGGTTGTTCATGTTCATAGAGACCGCCTCTTTGGTGTAGTGGTTAGAGCGTCCGCCCGGAGAGCGGAAGGTCGCGGGTTCGATCCCCGACCGCGTCAAACCAAAAGACGTTAAGATATGGTACTTGTTGGTCCCTGCCTGGCGCTTGGCATTAATGGGTACAACAAGGACTGGTCGGCGCGGAGTCAGTATAATGTGTCTGAGTGGGGTATTCATGCTTCACTGCGGCATGGTATCTCAGTGGGCTAGCACTATAAAACCAGCTTCAGTCTGGGCTAGTACAAGCAGCCGCATTATTACACGCATTTAACGCCGTGGCCATATGAGCAAAATATTCTCAAGTACGACGTTAAACCCAATTTCACCTCACCTCACCTCACATCACCTCATGTTCATAGAAATGAAACTTTTTCAAGAAACAAGACTGAGGAGTGAGTGCAAAAGTATGGATTCTTTCCGCTTTTAGCAATATTCCAGAAATATCACGGCGGGAGACACCAGAAATGGGCTGCATAAGTTGTACCCATATGAGGAATCGAACCTGGGTCTTTGGAGCAATGAATGACAGCTTCCACCACCAACTGCTCCAACACTGAAGAAGATACTGCTCTCAAGAGATGCAATCTGCAGAAATTCTGTGACCCTTGGAAGCTGTATCATTAACATTTCAAACTTGAGGATCACCTTTTCAACTTAATTTTAGTTTCACACTGAAAATTTTAATGTTTAAAACAATGTAGTTTTGTACAGAAAGAGACAAGAAAGATGGTACATACGTGAGAATGACTGGACTGCTGTCTGAATACTCCTCCCCGACCAAGATGGAGGGCCCCTCTGCCTGGATCACCTCAAGGGGGAGACGCAACACATGTGACAGAGCCCGTAGCTGAAACAGTTCATACATATTCTCAATATGATCATTTAGTCAAAACCAGTGAAGATCCGTGTTAGAATTGGTCTTCAGTAACCCATGCTTGTCTAAAGAGGAGACTAACGGGATCGGGTGGTCAGGCTCGCTGACTTGGCTGACACATGTCATCATATCCCACTTGTGTAGATCGATGCTCATGCTGTTGATCACTGGATTATCTGGTCCAGGCCTGGTTATTTACAGACCGCCATATAGCTGGAATATTGCTGAGTGCAGTGGAAAACTAAACCAGGGGCGTAGCTACCATTATACAAATAAGCTGGGCTTACACATGATTGTTGTTGAAAAGGTTGGGCAAGCCCTCAATACTATCTAAATATAAAGCTTTGCAACCTATCAGGCATACACACAAAAATTGGCTTGCCATGCACCTGTAAACTCACTCACTCATTTTATCAAACAATATTTGATCAAACAATATATGTCCTCCCTTATATGCTTGGATAAGTTTTGAATCCATACTCACAGCCAACTGAGCATTTCAGGTTTAAACATGTGATCAGTAGCCTGTGTTGGTAGTATGGAGAAACATAACTTGATGCTTAAAATCTCAAAGCACGTTTATAATGACAATAAAACAGTATGCGTAATCATTATCTAGATCTGCAGTTTGGCAGATATTGTTTTGTATATTTCTTCTCATGTAAATAGTGTTTTAATCATTACATGTTACTGTAGTGTTAATAGGGTTAATTCATTATTATGAAATAGATCTGCAATATGTATTGCAATATATTGTGAAAGTGTAACACATGGTTTAAGGTAATGAAATTACTGCTTCCTTTCTTTTGAAACAATGCCACTGGCCACTGTCAGGAGTTAGATAATGATTGTTCAGTTGAAAATGTTTCAAATTGAAGTAAATATTTTGGTTTGTACAACAAGTGCTTATCAATCTATATATTTTATTTATATGGTTTAAAAATCACACAAATGCAATTATATGACCAATAAACATTCTCAGAATACTAATGTTTAATAATATAAAGGAAATACAAATGTTAATATTAGTTTTGACAATAAGATGAACCGTTTGCTAAAAAATTGCACGGCAATATAGTTGAAGTTTGAACAATATGGTGTAGCATGATAACGATTTATAGTTGTTTACATTGGTGTAAATGTTTAGTTTAGGCTTTACAGTTTCTTGAAGTAGTTCAATGTTATGTTGGCCGTATCCATAATTACAACTTTGTAAACGTAAATGTTACTATACCTCATTTCTTTATATTAGCGATGTCAGTAAGTACGTTACGATGTAAATAATCAAGAGTTATGTCCCTTTGTGCAAAAACCAATGTTAACAAACCTTCATGGTTGGTAGTACGAAGAAACATAATATATCGGATTGTCCAACTCAATGATTAGGTTGATTGTATGTCATTGCGACCCGTGACATGGGGTGTTGCTCATAACATCAACCACTAGTTTGTCTGGTCCAACCATCGTAATGTTGTGGAGTATGGTTGGGCTTGGCAGACATCAACAAACATGACCTCAATACAGTCGCAGCTGGTTCAGTAATATACTCCCGATCAACAGTTTAAACTCACTAGTGTAAATGCAGCCACTTAAGTCAACTCTTCTGAACTAGATTTTGCAAAATTTTCCATACTGTTTAAAGGTACTGTTTACACATGAACTGATGTATTGTAAAACAAATTCGTAATGTTGAAAAGATTATTGTCATGGGTTAAAAGGATGAGTGAAAATTGGCAAATTTTTAACAAAATTTTACACCACAACACAGCTGTTCACATGCAGGATATTTGCACATGCTTTTTAGCAATTTAATGCATGATGATTGTGCAATTCATCTGCATAAAGTTTGCAGTTAGTTCCCCCAAGTTAGTGGAGAAATTCATCTTCAATGTAACCATACATATATGCATAACATACAGTGAGTGCTTTAAGTGAGTCTAAACTTTTGATGGGTAGTATAGTTCAGCTGGACAGGGAACATTTAAACTATCTACTCAGTATGTTACAAATATGCAGTTTATTATGTCATTTTAAATCATTGTATTACTGAACCTATTTATGTATATATCATCATAATATATACTGAAGTACATCTATTATTACATGACCTGGTGATATAGGCCCTTGTATAAATGCTAAATTTGTAGAAACTATGTATTAATTTTTATAACTATCTAAAGAGATTGTGACCCTCACCTCGAGGTGGCCTCCCCAGGCTGATGTTGATGCTATATCATTGCAGTAGTTCTGAAACTCCTCTGAAAGAAAAGTGTCACATATCATGATAATTATATTTACATACTCCCTGCATCAATAGGGTGAGTGAGTGAATGGGGAGGAGAGTGGTTGAGTGAGTGAGGTAGTGGGTGGTTGAGTGACTGGGTGGTTGAGTGAGTGGCTGAGTGAGTGGTTGAGTGAGTGGGTGGTTGAGTGAGAGGTTGAATAAGTGGTTGAGTGAGTGGTTGAGTGTGTGGTTGTGTTGGTGTTTGAGTGAGTGGTTGAGTGTGTGGTTGAGTGAGTGGTTGTGTTAGTGGTTGAGTGTGTGGTTGAGTGTGTGGTTCTGTGGGTGGTTGAGTGGGTGGTTGAGTGAGTGGTTGAGTGTGTGGTTGAGTGTGTGGTTGAGTGTGTGGTTGAGTGAGTGGTTGAGTGAGTGGTTGTGTGGGTGGTTGAGTGAGTGGTTAAGTGAAAGGTTGTGTGGGTGGTTGAGTGAGTGGTTGTGTGGGTGGTTGAGTGAGTGGTTGAGTGAGTGGTTAAGTGTGAGGCTGAGTGAGTGGTTGAGTGAGTGGTTAAGTGAATGGTTGTGTTAGTGGTTGAGTGAGTGGTAGAGTGAGTGGTTGAGTGTGTGGTTGAGTGGGCAGTTGAGTGAGCGGTTGAGTGTGTGGTTGTGTAGGTGGTTGAGTGAGTGCTTGAGTGTGTGGTTCTGTGGGTGGTTGAGTGGGTGTTTGTGTGGGTGGTTGAGTGAGTGGTTGAGTGAGTGGTTGAGTGTGTGGTTGAGTGAGTGATTGAGTGAGTGGTTGTGTGGGTGGTTGAGTGAGTGGTTGTGTTAGTGGTTGAGTGAGTGGTTGAGTGAGTGGTTAAGTGGGTGGAGTGAGTGGTTGTGTGGGTGGTTGAGTGAGTGGTTGAGTGAGTGGTTGAGTGAGTGGTTGAGTGTGTGGTTCTGTGGGTGGTTGAGTGGGTGGTTGAGTGAGTGGTTGAGTGTGTGGTTGAGTGTGTGGTTGAGTGAGTGGTTGAGTGAGTGGTTGTGTGGGTGGTTGAGTGAGTGGTTAAGTGAAAGGTTGTGTGGGTGGTTGAGTGAGTGGTTGTGTGGGTGGTTGAGTGAGTGGTTGAGTGAGTGGTTAAGTGTGAGGTTGAGTGAGTGGTTGAGTGAGTGGTTAAGTGAATGGTTGTGTTAGTGGTTGAGTGAGTGGTTGAGTGTGTGGTTGAGTGGGCAGTTGAGTGAGCGGTTGAGTGTGTGGTTGTGTAGGTGGTTGAGTGAGTGCTTGAGTTTGTGGTTCTGTGGGTGGTTGAGTGAGTGGTTGTGTTAGTGGTTGAGTGAGTGATTGAGAGAGTGGTTGTGTGGGTGGTTGAGTGAGTGGTTGAGTGAGTGGTTGAGTGAGTGGTTGTGTTAGTGGTTGAGTGAGTGGTAGAGTGAGTGGTTGAGTGTGTGGTTGAGTGGGCAGTTGAGTGAGCGGTTGAGTGTGTGGTTGTGTGGGTGGTTGAGTGAGTGGTTGAGTGTGTGGTTGAGTGTGTGGTTGAATGTGAGGTTGAGTGAGTGGTTGAGTGTGTAGTTCTGTGGGTGGTTGTGTGGGTGGTTGAGTGAGTGGTTGAGTGTGTAGTTCTGTGGGTGGTTGTGTGGGTGGTTGAGTGTGTAGTTCTGTGGGTGGTTGTGTGGGTGGTTGAGTGTGTAGTTCTGTGGGTGGTTGTGTGGGTGGTTGAGTGAGTGGTTGTGTGAGTGGTTGAGTGAGTGAGTGGTTGAGTGAGTGAGTGGTTGAGTGAGTGAGTGAGTATGGTTCGTGACAAACTAAAGAACAAAAAAGGAGTCAGTGATGGACTTAAATCCATATACAGTATATATTGTCATAACAAACACAAATGGACCACTTATTTATAAACGTCATAAACATAGTTGACTGAATGTCAGATCCTTGCATGAGTAGGTGATGCAACTTTGTGGATCATGACAGAGTGAATAATTGCCATTGGTTGTCAGTTAAATTAGGACATGTGGAAGGAAAGTTCAACGTGCCTAAAGTTGATAACAATTGTGATGGTGACATACAGAGGCTTATGACAAACATTGACAGACACTGTCCCTTTTCGACCCGTGAAGATCCGGGGTAGAATAGGTCTTCAGCAACCCATGCTTGCCACAAAAGGCGACTATGCATGTCATAAGAGGCGACTAACAGGATCGGGTGGTCAGGCTCGCTGACTTGTTGACACATGTCATCGGTTCCCAATTGAGCAGATCGATGCTCATGCTGTTGATCACTGGATTGTCTGGTCCAGACTCGATTATTTACAGACCGCCGCCATATAGCTGGAATATTGTTGAGTCGCGTAAAACTAAACACACTCACTCACTCACTGTCCCTTTTCACCAGGTTCCCAGATCTGATGCTCATGCTGTTGCCCAACCTCACTGGATTGTCTGCGACCCATTTGTCCAAAGCACCACATATTGCTGTGAGTTGTGTAATGACGCTATCAAAGGAACTATATTTGTGGTTCTAATCCCACATTGGCCTCATTATGCTTTCATGGTCTCTGACCAAGCTCACGGGTCTACAAAGGTAGGACATATCTGGAACCTACATAATTTCCAGCAGCTCTTCCACATCAGACTGTGACTTTCTTGAAATACTTGTAAAATCAGTGATACACCTGTCTCACTTAACCAATTAAAAATACATGAATCAGAGAAACATTCTCTGGAGTTGAGTGAGTTGGTTTGGTCTTATGACGCTTTTAGCAATATTCCAGCAATATCACGGCGGGGGACACTAGAAATGTTCTTCACACATTGTACCCATGTTGGGAATCGAACCCGGGTCATTCACTGTGTAAATCACACACTTCGTGTGGCTTCCTATACCTAACTTCACCTACTACAACTCACATAAATTATTCATACATCCACCTGATAACACTAAAAGTACAGATGGAATCATGTCAAGCCATGATTATTGATTGTTCCTTCCAACATAACCATTATATGTCCTTAGGAAAATGTCACCTCCTGTTGTCATCAGATCACTGGTTGCAATGGCAGCACAGACTCATGAATAAGTAAAATAAATACCCACTAGCTAGTTATATGTCTACCTTACTGTACAAGTGTGATGAGGTCAAAACTGACAATTGTGTGTGTGTTGATTTTACTTGACATATACAAAGTCACAGAGTGATTCCAGGTTTAAATCAACCTCTGCTGAAATACCCCATAGAGAACCTAGGTTAGAATGTGTCCTTAGCAACCTCTGCTGCTCAAAACAAGTGAGTTTACTTTTACGCCGCACTCAGCATTATTCCATCTATATGGCGGCGGTCTGTAATTAATCGAGTCTGGACAAGACAATCCAGTGATCAACAGCATGAGCATCGATCTACACAATTGGGATACGATAACATCTGTCAACCAAGTCAGCGAGCCTGACCACCCGATTCCATTAATCGCCTCTTACGACAAGCATGGGTTACTGAAGATTAATTCTAACCCAGATCCTCAAAAAGAAGTGACTTAATAGATAAGATTTTCAGACTCATCTTGTCACCATTGCTCAAACCATCAATGTCTAGATTGTCCAGTGTTCCAAACATTATTATGTAAAGGCAGCTGCCATCATGGTCATATAACTGGAAAAATGCTGATGGGGACATTACTCATTCACACACATAGATGATATAATATGAGAGCCCATGTCATACTATGTTTATGACCTAAGTGTCTGAATGTTGGTATTTCCCGAGCGTGAGTGAGGGATATACCGACATTTAGTCACTTGTGTCGTAAACATAGTATCATATGGGCACGAATATAATTTTCTGTTTATTACTGAAGTCGTCAAACTGAGGAAAATATACCCAAATCCACTTTCAAACATAGGCTGTGTACCCATTCATCGCCACACGTAGAACACAAAGTCACAGAAGCGTGATGTGGTCTACTGGTAACTTAATAAAACTCTAAAAGATAAAAGTAATTAACCTACTCAGATAAATGGCTTTAAAAGTAAACACTTTGTGTAGGTAACTTCATGATCATTTGAAAGAGAAATTAATTTACCTACTCAGATTTATGTGTTTGAAAAATCTAGCAATAACTGTTGTCACTATAATTAATCCAAATGTATTTATTAACCTTTGACTTCTCTTTCGGATCACCATTATGGCAGGCCTTCAACAAGTAGAATATGTCGCAAGTTCACGATAATCTTTTTCAGTATTTCAGTATCTATTGAAAACAATAAATGCTCTTCAGCGAACAATGTCTTCTGTGTTGATTAACTCTTCAGCAACAGGGCTGTTCCCACTTTCATCGTAGGGATTGGGAAGCACCACCCGTGTGCACTGAACCATCAATTAATGTGTCTCAAAACTGGGAGTTCTCACAAATGGGAGGACACCCATGATGTCATAGCATTGTTCATGACGTCATGTCACCATGACAAAGTGATATTTTGCCCTAGGGCATCGTATGAAAAATATGAACCCCGATATTTTCACCCTCGTAGGTAATAAATAACAGTCTTACATGCAAGCCTGCATGGACACAAGTGTACAACACACAACCATCACATCACTGTTTACCTGGTGAGTAGGGGTCTCCAGTGTCCAGCTTACATGTACACAAGCACACTGTACAACTAACAACCATCACACCACTGTTTACCTGGTGAGTAGGGGTCCCCAGTGTCCAGCTTACATGGACACAAGCCCACTGTACAACACACAACCATCACATCACTGTTTACCTGGTGAGTAGGGGTCCCCAGTGTCCAGCTTACATGTACACAAGCGCACTGTACAACTAACAACCATCACACCTCTGTTTACCTGGTGAGTAGGGGTCTCCAGTGTCCAGCTTGGTCAGAAATGGTAGAAAATCATCTTCATGACTCCGCATGAAGTCGGCTGTTTGTGTCCGTAGGATTTCATTGGAAGACTACAAAACAAACATTCCCATAATTCATTATTAGTTATTGACATTCGATAACCATGTCAACATTCCTCTCCATGTTTGTTGCATAAGTTTAAAAAAACACCTCCTCTTCATCTCTTATATATAAATAAATCAAACCATTGACAATATTCAGTATATATGGTTTAACAGAAAAATAAACACATTGTACTTCAATGTTTCAATTAAGATGAGTAGTAATTTCATGCAAACATGGTCAACTTTGAAATCTTATGTCATAGTTGTAAACTCATAGTGAATTGAGAAAATATATTGTTGTTGATCATTCTGAGATGCAATCATATTATTCATAAGGATATTGCATGAACTGTCATTATCAACAACACACTGGCTCAATGGAGATATGGACCTGAGTTCAGGTGGCAGATGGCAGATAGCAGATCCCTGAAACACTCATTGTGACTACAGTTATTTGTGGACGTACCTCCACCCCTCGAGGCACCAGCTGATGGGTGATGGCGTTGTACAGGCTGAAATAGAACAACACTGAATGAATGAATGAATGAAAAAGAGTGAGTGAGTGAATGAATGAGTGAAAAAGAGTGAGTGGATGAGAGTGAATGTGAGTGAATGAATGAATGGATGGATGGATGAATGGAGAAAGAGTGAGTGAGTGAATGTGAATGAATGAATGAATGAATGGATGGATGGATGGATGGATGAATTAATTAATGAGAAAGAGTGAGTTGGTGAGTGAATGAATGTGTGAATGAATGAATGAATAGATGGATGGATGGAAGAATGAATGAGATAGAGTGAGTCAGTGGGTGAATGAGTGGGTGAGTGAGTGAATATGTGAGTGAGTGAGGGTGTTTCTATATTTGTCAACACCATAACCAGGCCTATGGTGTTTCAAGGTATATTTCTAGGTAACTTCTTTGAGTAGCATTTTAGAAGTTGGGAATAAATTGCTGCTTGAAAACAGTACAAAAATCTGTATCGAACGTTGCACTCAACGAAATAAAAGAAGTTGTTATCCAGATGTTTGTGTATATTGTATATTTCCAGGTTTGTCAACATCATACGCACGCTTGTGGGTTTCACATGGGAGTGGTGAAGTTCATAGACAGGGATTTACCTTGAGTCCTGTATTTGAGGGTCCCTGGAACTCATACTCTTAATTTTCAGGGGTCCTGGACAACAAAATGGGGGTCCCAAACACTAAAATATTATTATTAATACTGTTATTGTATTGTGTATCATGATCATCACATTGTTACAGTAATTAAATTGTAAATAATACCATAACCCAGCTAGTAGCAAACTCTGTGATAAATTATTGTCACTTTATTTGGATCTTTTCTGAGTCCCTGTGGACGCGCTAATAAACTTTGTTGCGTCCATTGTCAATTTTTATGTGTATAGGATGTAGGAATTAGCGTCCTGTAAATCCCTGCATAGACCTGCATCATCAGGTGTTCCCTCCGCATCAAGCTGACTTTGTGAGATATCTCCGGTACACTGCTTACGGTGGTGCTAAACCAAAACACTACTTAAGTCAGACTGGTCATTCTCAGATTATTCTCAGGCAAGACTATTCTATTCCTTGTTTTCAAAACCATTATGTGAGGAAGCGAGTTGTGTTTTACTCCACTGTCAGTAACTGAGTGAGTGAGTTTAGATTTACGCCATTTTTAGCAATATTCCAGCAATATCGCGGCAGGGGACAAAAGAAATGGGCTTTACTCTCTATACCCATCTAGAGAATTGAACTCAATTCGGTGTGACAAGTGAAAGTTTTAACCACTAGGCCACTGTCCCTTAAAAAATCTTAACAAAAATATCTGTATGTATATCATTTTTATCAAGGTTTAGGTTTTACTGTCGTTATGGGGAGAGCTAAATGCATAAAAATTATATTTATGGAGTCAACATTACTGTCCATGTCAGCGCTTGGTTAAAATAAGAAAGGACTGCCATGGATCCAAAAGCTGTCATACAGTTTCAACAAGAAGACAAAGTCATTAATATCCCCCGCAATGGCAAAATACTCTTCATGATTATGTCTACGAGTTATGATTATGTCAAATATTTAGGTGTGTATATAGGAAAGTGGAAGGAGAGTATTGAAAGGTTTTTAAAGTTCTGCTCCAGAAAGGAGCACTACCTCCAATTTCAGTCTATGTCAAACTTGTTGCCATGGAAACGCAAAAAATATTTTATTCAGAATTCCCAAAACTACCAAAAGGCACCAGTACACCACCAGATCTATCTATGTGCCAAGTTTGGTGAAGAAATAGTGAGCGGTTTTAGAGTTCTGCTCCAGAAAAGACAAATGTGTCAAACGGACTGATGCCATGATTCAGAATTGACTACCAAAAGGGACGCGACAGATCTATCTATGACCAGTTTGAGTCCATTTTAATACCCATAAAGCGGCGTTGCGGGGGATAATTATGATGATAATGATTTGGAGATTTGTGCTTTCTGACATGATGTGTATTTCTCATGATCATTGAGTATAAACAACACCAGGGTTTGAACCCAGACCTTCTACTACCTTGGCAGACACTCTATCCATTACACCACAGAAGCCTGACTTGAGTTGAACTCAAGCAACAGTCATTTCCAGATCCGTTCAACAGATGGAGCTGTGGTTTTACGTAGTACGCTGTAGTCAGGAGTTACACAATAGACAGCTAGCTGTCACCATTCTGCCAGTGAATGCTACCTATTAACTTCTGGTCAGCCACCTGTGCCCCAGTCGATGAAAGTCCCCTAGTACAAGACATCAACACAAGCTGTGGCCACATATTTGGCCTTGACTAGGTGTCTCTGAATGTACTCAATTATAATACTGACTGACTGAGTTTGGATTTACGACGCTTTTAGCAATATTCCAGCAACATCACGGCTGCCAATTATAATACACTTGAATAGGATACATATGTGATGTATGAAGCAATTCTCGACTTGACATAGCTGGAATCAGTTTAGAAATGAGAAATAAATTAGTTATTAAAAAGTTCAAGTTAAGGAATATATATGTCCTTGTTCTATAACCTTTACACTGAAATCAACAACACGAACATATATCAATATCAATATCAATATCAATAACATCACCTTAAGGTACTTAGTTTGTTATCTTAAGACAGTTAATTACACTGTGGATATCTATTATGGTTTATGGAAGGCCACAGGATACACTAATTATTTTTAAACATCATCAGTATTCAAGATGATTCATAAACACATGCTCATGGTAGAGTTGGGATCGTACAACTTATTGAGATTGAATATGGAAAGGTTTTGTAACTTTTATTTACTTAGGACCAGACCAATTATATTTCTTGTTTTACGGATTTTTGTCCTCAGAGAACCTAAAGGCAGGAGGGAAAAAAATAAATACAATAAAATCACCAAAGTAATATTCTTTCTAAATACTCAAAGTATTTTACTTTTGGCAATTTATGAAATGTATATGGGGGAAAAAAAGCGAAGACAATCTAAAAAAACTTTTTCTGTAAGTTTACATTTTTGGCCTATAAAAACATTAGGATTTTATTTTTTGAGTGGGGAAATTATTTTTATATTTTTTTCTAATTCTTGAAAAAATAGGCTGATCAGGCTGATCAAGAAATAAAATTGTTCTGGCCAATAATAGAAAGTATGATTTTGACACAACTCATCCTCTTTATATCAAATAAAATAACGTTTGTATAATAATTGTTTCAATTTGGCTGCTTAGAGATGGAGGTGTGATTCTACTCTCAGTCGATTAACAAATCCTTTCTCTGTTTTTAATCTAACTGTTTGTTTGTCCATTTTGCCAATACTGAACTCACATTACACTCAGCTGTTTACTTATTTTCTGTATGTAAATACAAACATACCCAATCTGAATTATATAACTATCTGGTTGTTTGTTTGTTGAATATTTTCACGCAGCACTCTCTTGTCCCACTTTCTTGTGCTAGTGTCATGCGCAGTGAAGCATGAAAAAGCATCCAGGGCTCCAGATTAGGGCCATATTGGACGTATGTATGTATAAAAAAATATGCACGATACGGTAGGAAATAATTTTGAAAATGTAGCAGATGTGTACGGTCTAAGAATCATTTACAGAGGTATTTATCTGAAAAACTATTGTTTTATTGTTTATTGACCTGTTTACACAAGAGTAACAATGTTGTGGTGCATATATGAAATGAAACACAAGATTACTGATTACTAATTTCCATTCAGTACTCTAAATGTACTCTTAAGTTTTTCCAGTACTCCTATATTTGAAAAATAAGGAGTATGTACTCCTGATGTTGAAAAATTATCTGGAGCCCTGAGCATCAATTTTTTTTTCCAATTTTGTATTTTGTCATGCTGAGAACTACTATTAGATGAGGTATAAATGGAGCAATACAGCAACATTGTCTTTCTAAATGTCATCAAAGATATAAAATGAGTCATACTGTCAAACAAAACGTTTTACAGCTGATGACAAGACTAGGACTACATGAATAATTTGTGTCACCTGAATCATATTACACTCCGACAAACAGGAGAATGTAGTGATCTAATGGATTATTTACACATTTCTCTGTGACTGTACCTTGAGGATGTGGGTTAGTGTGTTTCAGTGAGAGTGAGTGAGTGAAAAGGGACTTGAAATGGGCTTGACATATTGTACCTATGTGGGGAATCAATCTAGAGCATTAGGTAGGAACATATCAACCACATCCACAACTGGTCGATGGATCAGGGTGCACTTGGTCCTCATTCTCAGATACTTGGGATGAGTGAGTGAGTGAGTGAGTGAGTGAGTGAGTGAGTGAGTGAGTGAGTGAGTGAGTGAGTGAGTGAGTGAGTGAGTGAGTGGGTGGTGGGTGGGTGGGTGGGTGGGTGGGTGGGTGGGTGGGTGAGTGAGTGAGAGTGAGTGAGTGAGTGAGAGTGAGAACATTACAACTGACACCATTATCATGGTTCTGGCAATCACAAAATATGTCAGCTTTATTCACTCCTAATTAGTGAGTGAGTGAGTGAATGAACGCCACACTCAGCAATATTCAAGCTACATGGGCGGTCTGTAAATAATCGAGTCTGGACCAGACAATCAAGTGATCAACAGCATAAGCATCGATCTGCACACTCCTAATTAGTAGCATTGAGAATTTTTCAGAATTGTCGCTCTGAAAAATACTACAAATCGATGAGGACGACTATCTTTGGACTTTTTATGTCACCAGAACTATATGTCATTATCAGGCTAGAGGACTAACATGAATTCTTTATCTTACATCTTCAGCTTATTTCAGAATCATGGTTTATGTAGGATAATCAGGATAAAACAATTAGCCTTCTAGATTTTACTAGTCTCTGACTAACAGGCTAGCGGTTGTGCTGATTCCTGCCTATGAACCCCATGCAGAGAGATGTTATACATTAAGAGATGAACTTACCAGTTTCCATCAGAGTAGATCTGGAAATCAAAGAAAACATGTTACCTGAGATTGATTGAGTTCATACATTCAGAGCCAGGGTATAGGGGCATGGGCACACAAACCAATTAGTGAACATTAAATTCTTAGTACATTAATTTTCTTAGTGCATGGAGTGAGTGAGTACGTGAATGTATTTTGGAGACACAGTCAGCAATATACAGGGTGTAACAAAAGCATGTTTTGTTTTGGTTGCTGTTTAATGCTGATATCAGCAGTTTTCCAGCTATAACGATCTGTAAATAATCAAGTGAGTGAGTTGAGTTTTATGCCACTTTAGCAATATTCCAGCAATATCACAGCAGGGGACACCAGAAATGGGCTTCACACATTGTACCCATGTGGGGACCTAACCGGTCGGGTGGACGAGCTTAATGCTTTAACCACTAGGCTTAATCGCCCGTAATTAATGGAATCTCCACCAAACAATCCAGTGATTAACATCAAGAGCACCGATATATGCAACTTGGGTAGATTTTTGTAACATCAAGTCTGGACCAGACAATAGGGTGATTGACAGCATTGATATACGCCAATTGGGATACAAATGACATGAACCAAGTTGATCTGACCATCCGATTCTGTTAGTAAGCCTCTTATAAGGTGGGGTTGCTAATGATCAGTACCCAGATCTTCATAGATAACAAGGCATGTGAATACCTGGGCCTTGACAAGTAAACCAACGATTGATAGCATGAGCACAGCCTGTACTGATAGGATCAGGTACAATGGTAACGGCATTGTGGCATATCAAAAGCATGGTATACATAACGTCAACCAAACTATTTGATTCTAATCAGTGGGTCATAGATGGTTTCCATTTCAGTCATTACCATGGGCATTGGTATTGACAAACCAACAACCTTAATATCCAAACAAATCGGGGAATCAAACCCATAATCATCGGATTCGGTACTCCAAAGGGACATAACTCTCGACAGCAAATGGGTCAACACAGACAACTAGGCAACCATTTCGAAACCTCGGACTTGTTCCATTGTGGTGATCGTAACTCGAATGTTTCAACATAGACCTATTACAGCTGTGGAGCTATGACTGCATTGTGGAATGGGCCTCTCATCTTCCGAGAAGTAAACCGAGCACATCTGTAGATGTTACTGTGTATTTTAGTATGGCCCACCTCATGTATCTGGAGGCCCCTCTTCTCCAGGAGGGACTTGATGGTACGGGTCTCCGTGTGCCGGGCGCCCGTCAGGCTTTCCACCGCCTGTTCCTTGATACGTTCTTCGCGTTCCCGAAACTGGTTCGCCTTCTTCTCCTAAAACAGATATATGAGTGAGTGAGTGAGTGAGTTTGGTTCTACACCGCTTTTAGCAATATTCCAGCAATATCACAGCTGGGGACACCAGAAATGGGCTTCACACATTGTACCCATGTAGGGACCACGACCCGGGTCTTCGAATTGTGGCGAATGCTTTAACCACTAGGCTACCCCACCGGCCCGTAAATAATGGAATCTCCACCAAACAATCCAGTGATTAACATCATGAGCACCGATATATGCAACTTGGGTAGACTTTGTAACATCAAGTCTGGACCAGACAATAGGGTGATTGACAGCATTGATGTACGCAATTGGGATACAAATGACATGAACCAAGTTAACGAATCTGACCATCCGATCGTGTTAGTGGCCTCTTATGAGGCGTGGGTTGCAAAAGACCAGTTCTAACCCGGATCTTCATAGATAACAAGGCATGTGAACATCTGGGCCTGGAGGAGGTAAACCAATGGTCGATAGCATGAGCACAGCCTGTACTGATAGGATACCATGGTACCAGCTGAACATCGTTGTGGTCACTCGTCAAAAGCATGGGATACATAACATCAACCAAACTATTTTATTTTTAATCAGAAGGTCATAGACAGTTTCCAATTCAGTGATCCCCATGGGCTTTGGTACTGACAAACCAACAACTTTAATATCCGAACAAATCGGGGATTCAAACCCATAATCATCGGATTCGGTACTCCAAAGGGACACCACTCTGCACAGCAAATGGGTCAACAAAGACAGCTGGGCAACCATTTTGAAACCTCGGACTTCGTTCCATTGTGGTGATCGTAACTCCAATGCTTCAACATAGGCCTATTACAGCTGTGGAGCTATGATTGCATTGTGGAATGGGCCTCTCATCTTCCGACAAGTAAACCTCGCACACCTGTAGATGTTACTGTGTATTTCAGTATGGTCTACCTCATGTATCTGGAGACCCCTCTTCTCCAGGAGGGACTTGATGGTACGGGTCTCCGTGTGCCGGGCGCCCGTCAGGCTTTCCACCGCCTGTTCCTTGATACGTTCTTCGCGTTCCCGAAACTGGTTTGCCTTCTTCTCCTAAAACAGATATATGAGTGAGTGAGTGAGTGAGTTTGGTTCTACACCGCTTTTAGCAATATTCCAGCAATATCACAGCGGGGGACACCAGAAATGGGCTTCACACATTGTACCCACAAGTGAAATCCAACCCCGGCTTTTGGTGTAATGAGCGAACACTTTAACCAGCAGGCTACCCCTCCGCCCTGGAAACTTTCAAGAACCAGTTTATGAAGATTCGTAAGATGTATGATCGTTACACATCTGTATTTCATTATTGACTCATTGATATTAAACTGAAGCAAATCAATAATGCATGACATTGATTGATTGGGGCATCCAGCCTTCCAACTTTCCAAACATTCATCCATCTATCTACTTGTCAACCTTTTATGAATATATTTCCACAGCTGACTTCAAATAAGTTTCGTGTTGCTCTTTAGCCAACTGGAAAAGTCAATTCTACAGTTATATGAATCTTTTACAATTATTGAACCCATGGATGTGATCTAGTACAGAAATATGGCTACAATTAGTGAAATGTTATTTCTATAACTTCAAGAGAGAACAAGTCTGTGACCTGAGGTGAATTTTCAACATAATTTATTTTTACAATCTTTATGAACTACATATCCAAATAAAATGATCTTGGCTTCAGGACTTGCCCCGAATTGACATGTGTGCTTCTGTCAAAAACCCATAACAACCACTAAAATAGAATTTTAACATGCCAATGAGTAGCATCTCCACATAGGTTATCGATAATAAAAACCATGTGAGTGTTGAAAAGTGCAAATTTGATTCCAAAATTTGCAATTCTAAAAAATCCATATGGAGCTGTGTCCTTGAGTTAAAGTGCATATCAATAGAAGGGCTGTTTAGATACAGTAAAGATGGATTCTGTAACTATATGCTTGGTATCAATCTTTCAAATGATTCCTTGAAAGTGCTTTCCATAACTGTTAATCCTGGTTTATTAAAAACTGAAACAAACAGCTGAAGCTTAATCATGTTTCTTGACTCAACTACTTTGATAATATTGTCACATGACAAATTACTAATTCACACTTTTGGAAGTAGCTGTTCACAACAGAACAAGTTCAGTTAATTCCAATCTACAAGACCGCCTCCGTGGTGTAGTGCTTAGAGGGTCCGCCCGGAGATCCCTGACCGCGTCATGCCAAAAGACGTAAAAATAATTTACTTGTTGGTCCCTGCCTGGCGCTTGGCATTAATGGGTACAACAAGGACTGGTCGGCTCGGAGTCAGTATAATGTGTCTGAGTGGGGTATTCATGCTTCACTGCGGCATGGTATCTCAGTGGGCTAGCACTATAAAACCAGCTTCAGTCTGGGCTAGTACAAGCAGTCGCACACATACACACACATGCACGTCGTCATATGAGCGACATATTCTCAAGCACGACGTTAAACCCAATTTCACCTCACCTCACCATTCTACCATTACCAGGCTAGGAGGTAGGCAGTATCTATACTACCCATCAAAAGTTTAGACTCACTTAAAGCACTCACTATATGTATATATATATGGTTACATCAAAGATTGATTTCTCCACTAACTTGGGAAACCAGCTGCAAACCTTATGCAGATGAATTGCACGGGGATCATGCATCAACTTACTGAAAAGCATGTGCAAATACAGTACATGTGAGCAGCTGCGTTTTGGAGTAAAGTTTTGTTGAGAATTCACCAGTTTTCTAGTTCTATCATGTATTGAACTCATAACAATGATCTTTTCAACATTATGAATTTGTTTTACAATACATCAGTTCATGTGTAAACAGTACCTTTAAACAGTATGGAATATTTTGCAAAATCTAGTTTAGAACAGTCGACTGAAGTAAGTGGCTACATTTACACTTGTGAGTCTAAACTTTTGATGGGTAGTATAAGTATACAATTACCAGACTAGGAGCTGGGCAGTATCTAGTATTATGTTTTCAAACTCTTATTCAAAAGGTTATTTTTAAAACTAAAGTATGTCAGTGTGAATCATTTACCTAGAGCTGGTGGTTTTATAGCACATTGTAGGCCTATTATTCTCTCCACAAGGCCTCATAAAATATATCTACAGTCAAATCCCGATGAGTCGAATGCCGGTGTCTCGAATATAATGCATAACACGAAGTACCTGTCGGTCCCGACCATTCCCTGCTGTTTTTGTCATCATTTGAGTTCCGGTGACACGAATTCGTCTCATAAATACACACGATGACTCGAAATGGAAATTTGGTCCCTTGAGATTCAAACAATAGTAATCTTGTATACATAAGCCGAAGTCAGTCAATGAGAAGTTAATTGGTGATCCAACTACATGTAACTGATCCAATTAACAAACCAGCGCGGCTCGCACCTTTCCGCTATTGTCGGGTGAGTTCAAAAGGCAGATTAGTGATTTTACGGAAGCGGAAGAATTAGCACATGACATTGAGTTAACTCAATCAAATCGGTTGTGTTATATAGCAGCTTTCATTCGGTTATTACTATTCATGATCTGTACATCATGGCGCGGAGTTACAATGTTCCCAGCAATCTGGGGGATAAACCGATCGGAAACATCAACTCCAAAACGGAAGCGCATTCTAAAAGTGCACACTATTGACAAGAAGTTTGCAGCGATCACTGCAGTGGAGGCAGGTACCAAATCCAAGAGTGAAATTGCGAGAGAGTTTGAAATTCCGCCTAACACTCTTTCTACTTGGTTGAAAATGGCAGATAAGATTAAAGAATCCATGTTACAGTCAGGTGCAAAACGTCGTAGGTTAAAGGAGGCTAAGTTTCCTGAACTTGAGGAAGCACTACTCAAATGGTTCAAGATAGCTCGGGACCAAAATGTCCCAATTAATGGTCCATTATCCATTATCTATGTCACCTAATGTATTGTTGTGCTATATTTAGATATGATGTGCGGAATAAAGGAATTGTTCAATATTGAATCATCTTTTTTTTCTACCCTCATAGACATCCCTATGTCTCGAATACATCGATAAGCCAAATCTTTTACTTGGTCCCCAGCGATTCGACTCATCGGGATTTGACTGTATTCTTATATCAGCTCTTGCAAGTAGATTAAATAGAAAATGTCTCACTAAATCATTACACATTACAATATAGCAACACGTGTAATCATGCTAGGTGGTTACTGGACAATATAGAACAAACTTTATGGATAACAACTTCTTTTTATTCGTGAGTGCGACGTTTTGATACAGATTATTGTACCGTTGTCAAGCATAGTTACTGGATAGCCTGGTGTATAATGAGCTGAGCAGAGTAGACACTTTACAATGTTGGCACTGGGTGGCATTTGATGTGTAATATTATAGTGTGTGTCTACACCATAATGAGATTTGTGAGTCCTTACTGTGAGTGAGTGAATGGGTGGGAAGGTGAGTGGGTGAATGAATGGATGGATGGATCATATAGATGGAGGGATGAATATGGGTGGGTGAGTTGATAGAAGTATTGGAGCATAGTTTTGTTTTAATATGTCAGATCTGAAATACCAAATCCGTTGAAACCTGTCATTATCTATTTAACCACACTCTGAAGAAGTGAGTGTGTGAGTGAGTGAGTGAGTGAGTGAGTGAGTGAGTGAGTGAGTGAGTGAGTGAGTGAGTGAGTGAGTGAGAGAGTGAGTGAGTGAGTGAGTGAGTGAGTGAGTTAGTGTACTTTTACACCGCACTCAGCAATATTCCAGCTATATGGCGGCAGTCTGTAAATAATCGAGTCTAGACCACACAATCCAGTGATCAACAGCATGAGCATCGATCTACGCAACTGGGAACATTTGTCATCCAAGTATGGGTTACTGAAGATCAATATTCTAACCCGGATCTTCACGGGTCAGAAGAAGAAGAAGAAGAAGATAATGAAAACATATGGTTTTAAAAATGTAACAGTATGAGTCCAGTGTGGTGTTT